TCATGGGATCCCAGAACGAGAACAGCAACAGCCCCGGAGAAGGAGGAACGGTTGCCTCGCTGCCCATGGCTGCCCTGATGAGTGCCAAGGCAACTGACTCCGAGGTGGATGTCTCGATGAAGACGTCCTTCGAACGGCTCGAGACCACCGGAGCCCACTTCTCGAGGGCCAACAACTTGGATCAGGAGTATAGTGCTATGGTGGCTTCAGTCTATGAAAAGGAAAAAGAGTTGCTAAAGTAAGTAAAGTTATTTCGTTGGCAGGAAATAATTTTATAAAAATATTATAAAATTGAAATAGAAGCCTTCAGTAGAATCTTAAAATCAAACAAAGCTAGACAAAATAATTCATTGTTTTTTAGATCAATAAACAAATAGGTAATAAAAGTTAGCTATTGAGCTATTATACTATTTTTATAATATTTGCTTTATTTTTCAGTTTAACAGTTTCTAAATGAACTACAAAAATAACAATAATTATTCATTGTTCTTAGCAGTAGTCTCCAGAAATCCAATAAAATAATAGTCATCACAGGGAGTCTTAAATTGAAACCAAAAATTTCATTTCAATGAAGGCGAGGCACCAGCCTCAATAAAAGTTTAAGCCAAGACAAGATATCGACCTGGCTAATTGACAATTAGACAGATTGCGAAAATGGCAGGCGAAACCATTGACAGAACGTCATTCTGTCAGTGCGTTTAGTGAAAAAAAGCAAAAAATAAAGACAAACTAAGGTCCGAACCGAAGCTTCTATGCTCTTTACTTTGTTTTTATTTTAAGCCCTAAGGGGATTTCTTTAAAACGACTTTAAAATCGGTTTCATATCTACCTTGGTTACCACATTTAAATAGGGTTTTCTAGAGATTTTTCATAATTTTTTTTTTTAGACTAAATCTAATTATAAAGTACCCTCTGTAAGGGTACAATTCAAGCCTAAAGGCAAAAAGGAGAGCATGCCTGGCATTGCTGAACAGTGTCTCACATAAATTTATGGCAAGCAATTATTCAATTTCAGCCATTTTCGGCTTTAAATGAAAGGCGGCTCCAAGCATTTTTCACCAAATTTTTTTTTCCTATTTTTGGCAAACGAATGCGATTTTAATGCAAATTTTGTGTTTTATTTTTGCAGCAGCGATAATGTCTCTGTGGCCTCGGATCTAACCAGAATGTATGTGAGCGATGAGGACGAAAGGCACGAGTTCCGGGTTCCACATTATCACTAGGGATTGGTCCACAATTGTACCTCTAATTGTACCTTAATCCAGGAAGTAGAACCTCTAAGTTTAAATCAGAAAGAGTACCTAGTACTACTATGAAGATACTACTATATGTATATGACCTCTTTAAAAGCTGAAAAGTATATATACCTGATGGAAACAAAAAGTGCATTACGTAGTGAAAGAAAATGAAAAAGTTGAAATCGAGGCTCATTTAAGATTCTCCCAATGGCATTAATTAGGCTTAAGGTAATTATAGTCTCCAATTGTATTCTGTATACTTACAACATACATGTATAAATGGGCAGTTCCTGGTTGAAATAGTGCAAATATACACACGCAGATATCTAATTAAATTAGCACTAAGGCATTACTGTATATCTTATTTGTATTATATCCAGCATCCATCTGTATATCACTATCCCTAATCCTAAGTTATGTTCCATAGAAATAAAGCTTTCTCTGTAGTCGAAGCCACAAATCTTTGTCTGCGACTTATTTTTAAATCCAAGACTTATTGTAATGCCCCAGCCGAATGTGAATAATGTGCAGCAAATTGGCGGAGCCATAAGATTAACGATCTGTGGCCAAAGCGAATTAAGGTCATCTTGTTTGGGATTATCGAGGGGGCGGGCTTTCAAAGGGGGGCCACTTTACGCACGACCCGGCCAAAACAGTAGCCGCCAGAACCGAGAAACAATTGCAGCAAATAAATATTAAAATAGACAAAAAACAATCACATATCCGCGCTCGGTCTGGCCTATACATAAATGGCAAAACATGGCTAAAACAATTACCAAAATGCGACGGGCGCAGCAACAACAACAATCGGGCTCTGAGACGTACTCGTACAAGAAATAATAATAATAATTGTGGCCAATTGCTGTTTAGTTGGCCAGTTAATTGCAACATGGCTGGAGTGACTCTCGATGGCCAAGAGTTCTTAACTTGGCCGGCCCGCTCATATGGCCACAAATCACAGAACAGCGAATGGTAAGTGATTCACTTTTCTGGCCAGGAACCAGTTCCGTTTTGGCCAAAAGTTTATTTCCTTATTAGCCGACTTGTTATTTCCTATATCATTTTTTAGACTTTTCATAACATAATTTATAAATTTACAGATTAGCATAATTTAGTGTTTGGCTTATAAAAGTTTAACGCTGTTTATGGTTCTAAAAAAAAAAAAAATATTTATTTTCAAGTATAATAAATAACTTTTTATTTTATTTTTAAGTAAACCCTTCTGGTTCCAAAAAGTTTCTCATAAATTTCCCATTTGTGGTACCCGCCGACGTGTTTACGATTGCATTTGGCCTGGTGACGGGCTGGCTCCTAAGTCTTGGCCAACATGCTGCTGCAGCTTTTAGCCAAGATCGTCGGCGGCTGTGCAATTACCAAGACAAGCAGCTAATTTTATTTGCTGTAAACGTGCGCCTCTATCTTCTGGCCATATTACTTTGTTTTTTATGTCCATTGTTGTTCTTGGCGAATTTGTGGGAATTATTCGATGACTTTTTGGCCGAAACAGGGGCTTAAACATTGCGTGTCTGAGCCACATTAAGCACCTTTGACAGCTCGCCGCCGCCGATGCCGATGTCGATGCCGTCACTCGTCAATTGACTTGTCAGCACCGAAAGTGAGAAAAGACATTACGCGGGGTGGTCTTTTCAGATTAAAGACCGCAGAGTGTTAATATATTGGGGGAAAAAAATTGCAAATCGAACCGGAAATCAAAGCGGCTACGATTTGAAAGTGAAGAGAAGCTCACATAAAAGAAGCGATTGTCAAAGTCCCCGGCAGATTAAATAGCATAACATGGCAATAGCTAAACGATCGCGAAACTTGTTCATTTGAAAGTTGAGTTCAAGTTCAGAAATAGCAGCCACAACAGCATCATTCATGGTAACAACAGGTTGCTATAATTTATAAATCACTGAAAGGCATTATCCGACAAACACAAATAGTTGTCAACAGCCACGAAAAAGCGTCAAGAAAGTTTGGACGTTTGGAAGTTGGGATGCTCTTATGGGAAACATATTTTAAATCAGATTGGGGCTATAGATGTGTAACATAATATTGTTCTATTAAGTTTCTAAAAACTTTTTGCTGGTTTCTTTTAGCCTGATTTCTATTATAGTAGATTGTGTTTATATTAGATACAAGCGCAATATCCTTTTATTTTTTTGAAATTTAAGGAATAAAGTTGTCCTTTTTTAAGAGATTTTTAAAAGGTAAATTTTAAACAATCCAGAAAACGAATTTCTTTTAATCTGAAAAGTGAATAGTTTAATGTATCCCATTTAGAAAAGGACTACCGATTACGAATCAGGACTCAACTCTGCTTATATCTGTATAAAAATATAATATTAAAAACTAAAACTCTAGCAATTTTTTGTAATAAATCATGATCCTAAAAAATCTATAATATAAACTATATTTTTTAGGTAATTTTTTTGTGAAAATATTCAAAAACCCGAGATCAAGACACTTTTGTAGAGGTGTAACTCTCGAGAATTTTCCTGGTTACAGTAAGTAGTTTTTATAAGCAGTTTCTAGAGTCGCAAGATCTAAATCTTTTTGATACAAGTTCGTGATATAAGAAAGGGTATTAAAGCTTTGGCTCAGCTCTTTCTTATTTAATAAAGGAACGCCTTATCTAAAATTCAATAAAACTTAAAACGCTTTCAAATACCCACCACAGCATTTTTCCTCCAAAACAAATGACCATCTTCAAAGCTCAGCCAATAATGGGTTTGATCTTTAAAGAATGGGACAATGTAGTCGGCACAATGTGGCCCGATTTTGGCATAGGCATGTGCAAATAAAAGGCAAAAATAAAATTTATGCAATGGGGAAATGTGAAGCATTTAGATAACATTTTGGCCAGACCCCCAAAAACGATGCAGATCGAGTACTTGAGACGTGGGGAACTAAGAGGTATTTCAAGCAGCCGAAAAAGTCGTGTCAAGACAAAGTGCAATAATTCACACTCACTTTCGGGTTTGACGCTTTATAGGTGGGAACATACCAGTAATGCCACAAAAAAAAGACAACAGAAAATGGTAAAAAAAAGATATATATTTAGGCTAAAAGGCAAGAGCAGAATCGATAGTCTGGACGTGCCCAGACACTACTCCACTTATAGACTCCCAAGTGATTATGAAACCTTACATGCACACACTCGGCTGACACTTTATGTTGTTTATGACTTGATAAACTCTCTCAGAAACCATTGTCCAAATAGAGTTATAAGCATGAACCGAAAATTAAATTGAATTTATGATTTGTTTGAGCGAACATTTGAAATATGAAATGTTGGAGCAATTTTTGCATTGCCACCGGCGCCAATTTTCAGGTTTTGGATTTATAGTTCAATTTATTCATGATTTATCCAAATGCCCATAAATAATAACCATGATTAGGTGGCCGGGGAGTGGCCGCTGGCCAAGACTCTAATCGATGGCGGACCAAAAATTTAATTAGCCGCAACTCAAAAGGCCATAGACAGGTGCTTCGAGATGACAATCACTCTACCTATTTGCATACAATTCTAAATTCTGTTTTATTTTTTTCGCCATTTTTTTGTTTTTGATTTTTAAGCCGCATCATCAAAAGTTAGCCGAGATTCAAACCTGAACCTGAAACGAAGAGAAGCCTGCCAACGAGGCTTCGGCTGAGTCTTCGTTGCTTCGGAGACTCGGAGAGATTCGAAGTGCCGGGCAGAGTCGGACTCGGTGGCTACTTCTACTTGGCGTTGCATAAAAATTGGTTCAGTGGAGCAAACGCCTTCAAGCCGAAAACATCGTGAACAAAACCCGATAAAAAAGCCGCGCGAACGTGAAGTGCAAGAAAGGATTACAGTTTAATATCCTTTATATGGTGTGAATTATATATTTTCTGTGCTTTATTCCCAAAAAAATATTATTTTTTTAAAATATATTTTCCAGCCATTGCGTATACTTGATATTTGGAATATAGACCTCAGTCGGATACAACCGAAAATTAAATTCTAAACAAAAGTGAAGGTAAGAGACCCCCGGGTAAGCCAGTTTTTGGCATAAATTTAGTCATCGGATTATAAACTCAATTTCGCACGAAAGTTATTTAAACAAGCAATCAAAAAGACATCCAATAAATAAAAGAATTTATTGTTTATGCGAAATTCTTTTCTCTTCTCTTAAACTTTTATGTTTTTGCCTATCTTTGGAGGTTCTGCAAATTTATTTTATTACTACTCGAAAAAAATAATGGAACTTATTCTTTATGAGAGTGTTTATAAAATTTTTTAGAAGATAAGCAAAATGTCACGTATTGCATAAAAATTCTTAAAAGGTTTTTTTCTCGATGAGCACTATAAATTAACGGTCTTCCCATATTCATAATCATTAAAATTCACTCTCGCATGAAATTTTTGGTAGAAATGTCACCTTACTTTTATTTATGAATAGAATTTTTTGTTTTTTGCTGATCTAATGCTTATGTTGATTTTTTTAATGAGAGAACTTTCCAAAGCCAAATGTCAGGAGTTGCATAAACAGACTCTTAAGGGGATTCTAAACATAAATAAAAATCAAGCTGCGGTTTTATTAATTTTTAACCAGTTTCACGAGGTTTCTGTTTTTTTGTTAAGTCTCTAGGATTGCGGAAGTAGAAGCACCGCTAATTGTGTTAAAAAATAAAAAGAACACAGTAAAGACTTAAAATTACTCACGGGGGTAACCACGAGATGGGAAAAAGTATATCGGACTGGCTTGTAGAGTTGACAATTACAAATGTCTTTTATTACGGATTGCTTTGAATTTGATTCGATTTGATTGGAATTGGTAATTGAAATTTCCAGGGAATTGCGCTTTAATCAGCCTGACAGACGTCACACGGTGGCAGGCAGACTAATTTGCATATTAATTTTAATTGAGTGAACAGCGACCGGCAAGAGACATCCATCGAATAAAGTTCAATCGGATTGAAATTGAAAATGTCAGGCCCCCAGACTAGAAACGAAATCGAAACTGAATTGAAAATCGAAAATAGAGCCATTGGCATTGCAGCTGCCCTGGCTATGTGGTAGGTCCAAAAGCGCCACACAAAAAAAAACCACAAAAAGAATTAATTTGAATACAATGCAACTACAGATTGTCCAAACAAATGTGGTTGCGGAAAAGTGTTTAGTCGGCAGTCAACATAAGGCGAACAAGTTTGTTGCCTAAGTCTTTTGATTGACTACCAAAATTTTTATTTATGGCTGCATCATCCCCCTCTCATTTCTTTTTCTCTGTTTATTTTTTGTGTTTAGTAGATCATAAAAACTCCACCTTTCAAAGCTTCCGCCTGCTGGCTGACAAGCTTGGCAAATTGTTACACACTAGCCATTCAATGTCATTGGCAAAAAAGCAACTAGGCGAAACCAAAGCAAAGCAACTGCCACAAAAAATTCGCAAATCCCAAATAGTATTCCATCATCTGATTTGCATATGCAAATTTCATTCCCACGACTTATAATTGCACCAAAGACCACAGAAGAAAATGGAAATGCCTGAAGACAGCTTCGCATGGAGACTAAAATCGAATAATATAATTCTTGATAGTTGGTGGTCAAGGCCAGAACCAGGTGCGTGATGCTACAGATTATCCACAATTTATTACCAATCAAGGTGAATGAGATTTCTTAGCTGTGTGAAGCTAAGAAGCTTTAAAAGGAAAGACCTGCAATAAAATCACTTCTACTTGAAAGGGGCTTTAGACTCAAAAGTCTGACGTAAAGCTGAAAAATAAATGAAATAAATAATTCTTAATTCCTTCATAAATCTCAGTTAATTGCAGCCATTAGGGTATACAGAGTTCTACGTACCCCAAGCCATTTGTCATTACTGGTTTATGATTAACCTTTTCTTTTCGCACATCTCTTTGGGCCATTTTGATTAACACTATTAGCAAAACCATCAAACAAGGCTAATTAATGAAGCCAAGTGAATTGGCATTATTGGAATTAATTCCGATGTGTCATAATTAAGTCAAAGCCCTGACAATAACCCCCCCACGGGGAAATTGGAGCAGGTGAACATTGAATTGAAATTCGACATGGTTCAAAGTGTTTTTTGTATTTTATAGCCATTTGTTCTGGGTGAGGCACAAGCCAAAGAGTCTGGCTCTGGCTGCACCTAGAAATGCGTACAAATCCGATGACATTTTGCCAGACAACCTTACAAGACACCCCAGTCAGAACCGACTGCCTCTGGACTGCCTCAAAAGCCACGACAGCGACACGGGACAGGCCCTGAGACAGACAATTACTAATTGAGTTTCCTTCCCCCTCGAGACCAAACATTAATTACACTCGGCTACAATGGTAGTAGTTGGGGGTTTTGGGGATGTGGATGTGGAGTGGCCACCTAAGATCCCAACCTTAGAGTTCATTAGGAAAGGGCGGCGCCCAGTTGGGCTTTTCGGTTATGTAAGCCTTGTATCTTCGCCGGCTAAATGTTCAATTTACAAATTAACCAAAGCAAGCCTTTCGGTTCAAAGTTCAAACACAACGGCAGCGGGAAAACAAACAATTGTTGTGAAATATCGAAATCGCATCGATATCAAAATCGAAAACTGAAAACAAACAATAACAAGGGCATAGCAGACCGACGAATTAATTGAAAGTATTTAATATCGGCTAACAAACTCAAAAAGTGTAATTGAAAACAAAAACCTGAAGAAGGCAAATGTTTGAGCTTGAAAACTGATTGAGCCCAGCGGGGGATTGGCTGAGCCCAGCGGAAGATTGGAAAATGTCGAAAAGGTTTCCACCCACTGACTGACCTCAAGCTAATAAACTTTTTGATAAATACTTTTTTCCCTTTTTTTAACCAAATTTCCTTTTATGATTTTCACAAGGTTATGCTTACATTTCCCAACCTGGATTTTTGGCCAAAACTTCATTACGGATTATGCAACAATCCAATTGAAGATCCCAATTCAATCTGATCTTTTGTCTTCTGACTCTTTTTTTGCCCGAGGCGTCATCGTTGGTCAGTCAAAAGTTCAAATTGGCAAATTATTGATTGTGGGCCGGGTTCAAATCGGGTTGAGTTACACAAGTTAGTCAGGCAGACAGTGAGTCTGTCTGTCAGTCAGTCACTCAGACAGTCACGCATATGCCTTTCGATTTCGATTTTGGCTGAATCCAAATCTCTTTTTCGGATTTCTTAATATGCGAGTACCAGTACGAGTACTATGCAAATTGATCGCTGGAGATACTTGAGCCGAAATTTGCATTTCCCAGACAAAGTTCGTGATATGTCAGCGGGCGTTAGAATGTATTGGAGGTCAAAACGACCCCCTACTCGGCCCTACCCGAAATAGTATGTGTTTCGGTAGTTGACACTTTTGAAGGAACTTGGCAATTAGCAGAACCATTCAAAATAAATCATCCAGTGTCGCCTGGCATTTCTGATGAATTTCTTGCTGTTTTGTATTGTTTTTTGTGATTCCGTTTTAATTGCTTTATCAAAATGCCAAGACCAAAGTGAATGCCTGCCCGCTAAACGAATGACTGAGACAACGAACTTGATTCGAAAACGAGTTGAATCGGTGAATCTTTTGTTTTGCTTATCGTCTTGGCTCATTAATACAAGTAGTTTTAACTCACTGTTTCACTAATCACTAGATCTTAATAGACATTAAAGTGTTTTTTTTTATCTAGTTGTTGTTTGGCGCCCGTTCTGGCTTCTTTAAATACATATTTTATTTGAATTTATCTAAAGTTTGTCTAGCACTTGTTTCGATGTTTTTATGCTTCCACGCTTCCATGTTTCAATTTTATCCTCTGTTCTTGGTATCCAGGTCAAGTCGGCTGTCATTTAATGCAAATTATTGGCCAATGTTGCTCTCTGCATCTTTCAGCTTGTTCCACTACAAATTGCGTTTTGCCTTCAATGTGGCTTAAACTAACGCACATGTGGGCGTGGCCCGAACTCTAAGGCGTAGCATTTGATTAGAATTTTGTTTCGCAAATGCCATTAAATTTTGTGTTTGCCACCAGGTTTGCCTTGAACTGTAAACTGAGAAGAATAAGTTGTAACTATTTGCTATTTATTTATTCCTAGTATGATACACTTCTTGTTACTCATAATTAGACCTTTTACAATTGAAACAAAAAACCTTCCAGTTAAATGTCTATTTTAATTACCTATTGAAAGTTAACTTATAATTGCTTCTTGTTACCATTTCTGACCCAATTCTGCAAATCATTACAGCCGACAATTGTTACTAATTGCATTGCTGATGAGCTTTCTAACTGGCAATAGACCCGTTTGTATTTCTAACTATAATTTTAATAATTAAAATAGTAACATATACTTTTAAAAATAAATTTTTTTGCTTTATTTCTTGCTCTAATTCTTAAGCATTTTATTCTTTAAAAATCACTTGACACTTTGTTGCCGCCAAAAAATATTTTGTTATAATTAGCCTCACTCGAACACCCAACTTAATTGCCAAATAAAATTTAAGCCGAGAGCCGTGGTGAGTGATTAAATAAATTAGCATCGGCCAGAACAAGATAGACCCACACAGCTCGTTGGAGATCCGATCTGCGATAGATGTTGCAACTGGCCGCGTCAACTAGCAACCTGCAACCTGTAACAACGACATCAATTAGCGGCGTTTTAAGTGCGTTCCACATTTGGCGTGAAAAAAGCTGAAAAGCGCAAGGGGAATATGCGTCGAGAAACGCCTCGAGTCAATCAATTTTCCGTGAACTACACAGTCAAAAAAATGTAAAGATTTAAAAGAGATTAAAGACCAGTTTCATGTCCTCTCCTAACTATTTTTTCTCTGTGCACCAGGCAGCACAAGGAGGCCGAACTCCCAGCTCGGGCCTGGTCAAGATTGCGTGGCCAGATTGAAAGCCATTTGGAAAGGCAACGCTCGAGTTACGCGCCGGCAACTTACGCAAATTTCGTGGCCTGTCCTCCGTCCCCACTCGACAACCTCGAATCCTCGGATCTGCGATCTCCCCTAAGGCCCAAATGTCCAAGCCACTAACAGCCGCCTCATCAGAGGGAGATATACTCAACGACACACCCTAATCGGGCCATGTCTTCGGGTCCGAATCTCGGATTTTTAGAGTCTCAGTCCGTTTTGGAGCCAGAGTCGGAGACTCGAGGAGCTGGGTCTGGAGTTTCCAAGATTTTTAATTGAAATCTGCAATGGTCTGGTCTGACTGTCTGGCAGACAACTAGTTTACGCATTTGAAAGTGCTCGGCTGGTAATTAAAAACTTGTCGTTCGATTTGATAACTTTTTTTGCGAGTACCCTTAAACGATTTGGTCAGAGACTTTTTATGGAGTGGTTTGATGGCCTTAGAAACATAATTGTCTTTTTTATATATTTATGTGTAATTAAGTTTGTGATGTTCGGAAAGGATTTAAATATTTTATGGAATGCTATTTAATTAGACTTCTAATTTAATGGTTTTTCCAATAAAAAGATATGAGCTATTTTGAAAGAGTATCTCTGCTTCAGGGGACCCCCACTCGGGTTCCTTTCACATTACGTTTCTGAGTCGGTCAACGAGTCGTATACGCAACATTTGTCATGAAATGTCCAATGAGTCTGGACATGCTCATTTGCGGTTTCAAATAAAATGTTTGGCTGAAGGATGTTCAGCCGAATGATTAATGTACATATGCTGGCAACTTTGTTAGCTCTTCCCCCCTCTCTACCCACGATTAAATAAATTATCTAATCCACATTCCTGGCCCTGCTCCATCCTCTAGAGATTTTTAAGTAGCGATGGCAATTGATACCAGTTTATCAAAACCAGTTTAAATGCAAAACCCAAACAAAACGCCCCTCGGCTAATCTGAAAAACACACAAAAATCCATAAAGAGGAGTGGGGGGAGATAAATAAATATTCCCAGACACATAGATTGGAACATGAAAATTACACAACACTCCCGAGAGGAGGAGGTTATGACGTGACATCCTGGCTACCGGATCGTTAGAAATTTAATATTCAACGCATTGATTGCTGTGTATGGCTGCAACTTCTTAGCCTTTGGCTCTTGGCCAAAAGTGAGTGGAAAAAATTCAATTTCTTGGCCAAGCAAAAGGATTTTAATTAACCAATTGGTTGCAAAAAAATTTAATTTCCGTTGTCAAGCGAAAAAAAGCAACACGCATTTCGGTTAATGCGAAATTGTGATGCAATATCTTCCAAAATGTGCCACGCAAAAGTTATCAACAAATCAAGCCGGCTCTGAGCCGCATTGACACACTTTTCTCGCCCACCGCCCACCGCCCCCTCACCATTTCCCGACGCTGGAAAATCCACAGAAAATTTATAGAGCGCATTTCGGTTTGGAGGCAAAAAATAAAAGCCAGGCCCAAAGCGAGGTGCGTGAGTCGTTCAATCAATGCAATTCATTCATTGAGTTTGAAGTGGCCAGCAACACGCTAGTTGACGTTTTGCCTCTTGGCCAAAATGCCTTTCAAGTCCAGTGGCGGTGTGGGAAAAGAGTTAACGAAACACCAACAATTTATTTGGGAAATACATTTTTTTTCTTACACTTCTTTTTGGATTTAATTACTCAAATATTAGTTTTTGCGAACAAAAAAATAAATAAAGTTATTTTGTTAAACCCCTTTTCCGGCTTCTGATTTTTCTGTATATTTTTTTCGAATATTATCCCCCTCTATTACCAACTTGGCACACGCTGGCAGCTTTGACAAAAAATGCGTTTTCAAAGTATGCAAAAAAAAAAACCAGGCTACAAAAAAAGCAGTACCGCATAAAAGTCAATGGCCAACAAAAAGTTGCGTATGGCCACAGTTTATTGATTTATTATCTTGCATATAGCCCATAATTTATTACAAATCTATTTGGAGCTGGACCCGTAGATAAGGGGATTAAAGCCTAGGGGCGTTGCAGTTTTGTGCGTGCCAGGAGATTTATGCCTCAGTGGAGGTAGATAAACAAAAGACTTAGGCAACAAACTTGAAGCGCAGAGATAGGAGTTTTTGACTCAAGAGGATTTTGAAGCAAATATTTGCTCAAAATTATTATTTTATTAAATTTATAATGTGTAAAATTTTATTAATATTTATTTTTTAATCTCTTGCTCAATATTCACCCCTTTGACACTACATTAATACCGCCTCTATTATCTCCCCTGTTAATGACTTAATTAAACGCCTTTTATGTAAACAACGGCAAGTGGACTTGCAACAAAAACACGATGCATGATCTGAACCCGCAACTGCCACCAAAGCAACGCCCACGCAGCAACAGCAACAACAATAACAATCATAACAACAACAATGACCACACGCCACTCGACTGCCAACTTCTCACGCCCCCTTAAGCCCCCCACTTTTTTTCTTAGCCATGGCCCCTGGATTTGAACCTGCTGCCAGTTAAAGTGGCAACTTCTGTGGAATAAACACAGGGAAAAAAATATATAAAAAACGAGAGTAGAAATCTAGGAGTTTCCCCTTTTTATAGCTTTTTAAACTTTTTATTTATTATTAAGTCATAGCATATTTTTTTCAGTGCACTATTACTCTTGCTGAGGTGCATACTTGATAAATATCATTAAACTGCCCGCCTCGCTTTTCGCTTTTGTTTAGCGCGCCCCATGATTAATAATTTCGAATAAAATGGAAGGCCTGTGTTAATAGGACGAATGAATATAAATATCCAATTTAAGGCAATTTTACTTAATTGGCTGACGATAGACCCCCGCTGATTTGGAGATTTTCTGTTTCCGATCCGCTAATTAGCCATTGCCTGGCTGGCTCTCTTTCGGCCACCGCCTTGGGCAATGATCCGAGCATGAAATATCACGCCAATTACAGTAGCGATTGCTGTTCAATCCAGCAGGTAACTTCCAGCCAGGTAACCAGTTGGTATTTTACTCACTGAGCTGAACTAAATTAAATCAATTAAAACAAAAAAGAGTAGAGTTTGGGGAGTATTCGATTTTATGGTTTATATTTAAGATTTATTAGTTTTATGAACATTATAAGTACATTATAATTTATAGATCAAGTTTTCCATAATAATTTATATTTTAATCTATTTCCTCATAAAAAAGCTAATATACCCTTACCGTAGAGTATATGTCGTTGAGTGATTTTGAATCAATTATGTTTACGACTTGGGCGTCTCATTAAACATTTATCGATTGATCCGATTTGATTGAGCGGTTATGTGATGTCACTACTACCTCAATTACATGTGTCCACATTAACTGGTAACTCGTTTTTCCGTCTTTCCATTGCAGATGTCCAGCATGTTCCATGGAGTCGGTTTTCTGGGCCTGTCACTGCTCTTGACGCTGATCAGTTTGGACGGGATTCGGGCGGTGGGCTATCATTATGATCGTCCTACGAGACCCACGTCTCCTTCTGGACCCGGACCTAATATTTATTCAGGTCACCAGTTCAGTGCCCTGCCCACAATACATCCGCTGCCACCGATTCCGGCACTGCCACCACTTCCCACTGCCCGGGTTCCCTTACCCCGGAGTCGCCCCACTGCCCCAGCCACCAGTATTATAAGCCAGTACCGGCAACCGGCAGCTCCTGTGGTTTCCACATATATTCCACCCTCGGTGGTGTCTCCCATCGCATCGATTAGTTTCCATGGCACGCCCACTTTGAAGCCGGTTTACGGCCCACCGCCTCCGCCAATTCCCACTGCGGTCACCCCCATTGTGGTGGCACCCACAGGACCCGCCCCGCTGCCCGAGGGCGGAAATCTACGTATACCCTTTGGAAAGCAGGCGCTGATCTCGCCCGGAGAGTCCTACATTGCCAACGGCAGGCAGCTGAAGCAGTACGCCGTCATTGAGATCATCGACAACGACATTGACGAGACCCCAGGTCCCTTCCTGTCGGGCAGCAGCTTCTTTGACCGATATGGAGCCCATGTGGGTGCTCCGACAGCCAATGGCATCCAGCTAGATTCCCGGGCTAATGCCCTGCTTCTTGAACAACAGCAACTGGCCATCCAGCCGAGAGCGGGAGCTCAGCCAGCAGCCGGAGGAGATGCCATTGCCCTGGGCTCCGGAGGGCTGGGCTTTGTGCGACTGCCCAACGGAAATGTCTACCTCGGATCAGGCTCCTTGGGCTACATCAGTGGGCAGCAGAGGGTGGCCTCAGTTCTGGATGCCCGCACTCGGTCAGAGTCCACCTCGGATGCCCTGCACTTTGGTCATGGTCCTTTGGGTGGAGCGGACAACTTTTTGAGATTTTAGTAGAAGGGCATCCAGCCCCTTTCCTTATCTACACACATCCTATCTACACATTATCTACACAAATCACTCGCACACACCCCAGAACACACATCTGAATACATCTATCTATAAAAATATGTATATTATGCTGTAAATATGTAATTAAAAGAAATTGAAAGCAAAAACCATCTTGTGTTGTCTAGGTTATAAGTCTGCTTAAACTATTTGAAGTTCTTGTACAATTGTCCTATGCGAAACATCGAAACTTGATCAAATAAAGACGACTATGGAAACAGAAAAGAGCTGTTTGATCTTTGCCGGGGAGAATAATGAGTTGGGAGGCAGAAAAATTGAACATGGAGGCTAAAATTTTACATAAATATAATTTTATATTAAAATTAAGTTTATATAAAATACATTTTGTATATTTACTCTTATTTATGTGCATTTCTTAATCGATATTTTTAAAATTGGATTCATACCAAGAATTCTATTTCGAGAGCTCTTGCCTCGCCAAAAAGTATGCTACGTTTTCTTACATAGAGGTGTTAAAAAAATACCAAAATCTAAATATACCATAAACAGGCGCGGGAATTCGAAATTGGAAGCCTGTGTTTTATCATAAAACTTTAATGTTTTATTTATAAAAAAAAAACAATATATTATGAATTGAACATAAAATAAAGGTCCAATAAAAGTTTACAAAAGAGAAAGAACCACTAACAAAACGAATTTTCAACCCTAAAACTAGCTTTCATTTATCTATCCAACTGGCAAATGGTTTTTTACAATATACAATAAATAAGAAGTCATTAAAACTATATAGTTTTTGTTCAAATTATTCTATAAAAAGCTTTATGGATTTATATTTGATCGCCTAATTGTTTTCAACTGCTTACGTTTGGAATAAAATTAATCGTTTTGTTTATTTTTGACTCTGTAAACATTTGTAGTTCGCACAAAATTTGCATGCTTAGAGCTATATATTTGCAATATCTCGACAATACACACAGAGAAATCTTGCGTGGCTCTGCTAAATCATTACCTAAATAGACAGCAAACACTATGCCGCCGGCTGTTTGCGATTGGGTAATAATAATTATTCATGCGCATTATTCAAATGGGCTTCTGAGTCTGGAACGTGCCGGGATTCAGCACTACGATTTTATTGTTGTTTCAGTTTCATCATCTAGTTTGGATCGGCAGTGCTAGGGAGCGGCGGTCTATCTGCGCGGGGGTCGCCACATGTGCCCAGCGTATATATACTATATAAATATATATATATATATTCTTTAGAAAAAAGGGAGAGATCGCGAGGGGCAAAAGGCAAATGCAAAGTCGTTTCCGAACTGCGCAGTTTTTAAAGATCTATTTTTTTGTTGGACTTGTTTGCCGGTTTGAAGATACACACATTCGCAAAAGTTGATCTTTTGTTTATGTTGTTATATGTATTTATTTTTTCGATAACTGGGACACGCGCTGCTGGGGCCACTGGACTAGCTACATGCATACATATATAACTAAAAAGCCGGCCGGTATTTCCAGCTGTCTATAGCCCCCTCCACCCACTTCTCACACATTATAAAAACGCCAAACCAAAAAAAATTCACCTAGTTCAATAAACTGTCAAAAGTAATTTTAAACTGACTCAAGGTGAAGTGGAAAGTATTCTCTATCACACGCGTTCTAGCCGCCTGCCTCAAGGTTCATTTCCCGATAAAGAAATTTGGTTTTGATTCGCACATGTGCTGCCGAGTTACGAACTTTCAAAAATTATTATAAGGTTTACATTTCTAGAATTTTTAAACCAATTTTTATAGCTTTCAAAGGTAGTTATAAAGGGGTTTGGCAGCAATAAACATACTTATATTCTTACATTTATTCTTAATTATTCTTAATGTTTGATTACTTTGGTTCGGATTACGTAGTTAGGTTTAGGACCTTAAATATTACTTACTGTGAATGTCTGTAATGTATTTTAATTTCTTTAATGTTAAAAATTGTATAGATTTCAAAACTACTTTTCGAGTAATATTTTTAAATAATTATCCCTTAAAAACTATAACTCGACCTTTTGAGAATCTTAGGCTTAACATGCCAACATAGTTATTCTTAAAGACTTCTTTTAAAGTTATACTTTATAAAATTGCTGTATAATAATAATACATAAAAATATAAAATAAGTAACTTTAATACTTTTAATAAATATGTCCAAGCATTTCATTTAATACAATAATACATGCCACTTTTATGAGTCTTTGTTTCTTTAAAACTCGATGCCTTCATTAAACTCAAACCCCTTATCAATAAAGTGTTAATGCGTTCTTGTTTTCTTGTTAAATATTATCAAACATTATTTTTTATTGCTTTTTACTTAAGATCTAAACATCTATCAAATACAAAGTCAATATGACCGAAAGAACAAACGAACTGGAAGAACTAATAACTTATCGTCTAGTTAATGGAGTGGATATGGCTAATAATGATGAAAACTATCTTATAAGATCAGGATGCTTATTTTTTTGGTTAGCTATGAACTAATTGGTTTTGGCAGTTGCTGCTTGGAGGTGGGAATTCCACCCTGTCCCAGATTACAGTTCCAGCTGGAACTGTTCCTGATCTTCGATCTTCAAGGACTGGGTCTTCTTCACCAGTTCCGTGGGCACCGGAACACACTTCCGGAAGGGGGTACGAGGCGTGCCCCTCAGAAGACAGCTGGGCACATTTGGGGGTGGGGTCTGACTCAGAGGGGAGCCACGCAGATTCTTCATGAAAGCCCTCTCGTATATCAGCTTGGTGCCTGGAATTATAGATAAGTTGGGGAATACGTTGATTAGTCAAGGTGTCTCTAAATTGCATCAGAATCGAAAAAGTTCCCGCTGATAAGACAACTGTTTAAATATTTTTTTTTTTGTTTACTATTCAGGAATTTTTGTGATAGTGAGTCATGAGCACATGTGTGGTTGGAGGTGACTCTGTCTAGCTTGCATCAGCCAAAAGACTAGGGCATTTTTCCACACTCACTGGCTGACTAATTAAGTTTAATTTCCTTTCAGAAACTTACCTCCAGGAGTGGTGGAGTAGATGGTGCCTCCAGGTGTGGAGGAGTAGACCTCCGGCATCTGGATGGGGTCCGAGATGACAATCTTACGGGTCATCATGGGCAGAGCCTGGGTGATGGCTTGACGGGCAGTTGGTGATGCAGACATCTTGATGGTTTTATTGATTGATTGGGTGGTTGGGTTGTAAGAGTTTTTCAAAACTTTCCGCTGGCTTGTAAGCACTTGATGGGTTTTTGTTTTTATTGTTTACACAAATTGCGTTGTTTGTAGTTAAGGTTTGTTTTTTTTATCAGCTCCTGTGTACTTGCTGAGACCTCCTAACCGTTGGCTGTTCGCTAAGCGATTGCTGTATGAACTCAGAAACCGCTGGCTATTTATACCCCTCACGCTCTATAGCGCTATACCGCTCTCTATCTACAAATGTATATATACCTCTCACCGACTCTCTTACTCGCGTGATGTTTTTGCTTGGTAGTAGACGATTGTTTTCTGTTTTTATCTGGTGTATTTTCTGCGTTTCAGTTTATGACAAACCGGGTGATTATTTCTTGTTTTTGTTTTATTCTAATAAACCTCTTTATTTTTGTTGCCTTAGTCTGCTGCACACCTTTTAGACATTTCTAGCAAGAGTGAGAGCGGCTGTTTGGGGCGCAATAGAAAGAGATGGGCTATCTTGAGGGGCTTCTCGCCTTGAGACTCTTGTTTATCTTAAACCATTTGTTATTATTTAATGCATGGCAGTATTATTGGTAAACAAGTTAGCCATCGATACTAAAACAGCAATCGCATTCGTTTCTCAAAAACTCGTCTCTTATCACGGGCGTTGCATGGGAAATTTGATGAGTCAGGTGTGGGACGTTCTAGGAGATGTTATCAGAGTGGGTCTTTCTATCTTTAGTATGAAACTCAGTTGCGTGGAATTTCGGGAAGTATATAGGTATTATTTTGCACTTTGCATCAGCGTTTAAATTCGATTAATTAGCATAATGGACACGTTGCCGGCAAATGTTGACGTAGGTTTCGATTCGATCGCATTTCGTATGCATGTTCTGTATTCGGAAAGCGGGGTAATAAAAAATGAGAATGTTTTTGGAAATTTGTTTTGGTTTTTTGGATACCTAGTAATGGGGGGTTTTTTCAGACTAAATTTCTTGAGGCTAGTTTGTTTACTAATATAAACACATAACTCTTTAACCATAACATTTGGAGGGATTTTTAGGTTTGTTTTAGGATTTTTATGTGTAAGCTTTAGAATCTAAAGAAATTAATAACTTTCCTTATAAAGATACTATTATTTTAAATGCTTATTATTCAAAAATATACATTAACATAATAATCTTTCAAAATATTATTCAGATTCAAAATAATATATTGAGAAAAGATTATCTAAAGATGAATTAAAATATTCTCAATTTTCTAAGTAACATTTTAAAAAACTTCTTTAATGTTCTTGTTCTGGTATTATTCAAAAGTTTTTATAATAAAATACCCCCTGAAATCCTATCAATCCCCACAATTACTGGGTAAAAAACAGCAAAGGCACGAGTGTTTGGATGTGCGGGGGCGATGTTGACGATTTTTAATCGCTTGGGGGACGCATGTAAATAGTTCTAAAGTAAATAGTGCTTACGTCGACACCCCACGATCCGGCGTAATTCGATTTTTGGCCACGGGCCACTCAGAATCCAAGGGATCTTTGGGGAGGGGTTAATGTAAAGGTGCCACGTGTGTTGATCTCCCACGATCTGTTGATGTGGGACAGATAGGTATGGCGCCCACTTGGATTTCTGCACAAGGTCACCAGCATAAGCGTGCTAAAATTTATGGTTAAACAGGAAAAAAATCTGTGGACCTTCAGAATATATTTTTCTCAGAAAATTAGTTTATTTTAGTGGGTTGAAGGAAAGTTTTCACCGCCAAAAAGCATGACCCACAAACATCAATTACAACTATGCGGGGTGGATATAATCTATGTAAGTAAAGTGCCGGCTGACCCCCAAAAACTGTAAACAAGGGAGCTCCGAGAACCCGGCGGAATGATGTTTATTTGCCGTGTCATCTAGCACGTAGTCCACAGCATAAAGACGCCCTACGTGCGTTTTGTGGGAGATACTTAACATAGGCATTATGTTTTTTTGGGTTCCGGAGAGACCCGGAGAGGCCGGTTTGTCCATTAGGGCTTATCAACCCTCGTAGAACCAGTTCGGATTTCGATTTCATATAATGTACCTGCGCAGAGAGAGAGTAGCATATATTGCCGGCGAAAGAGATGGCAGGAAGTTTTCTTATTGCGTTGCAGCCGAAAAGTGAAAATGCGTCTTGAGAAATTTTTAGCCGGTTGTCTAAGCTCAGAGGGGTGGCGTTCTTTCCACACGACGGGGGTCAGGTAGAATAAAATCGGCATTCATCGGAAATCTTTTCTTTTTTTTTGCGGGATGGCTGATGAAATTGCACCATCCGGTTGCGTGCTTGGTGAATAGATTTCGGGGGTTCGGATCTATTTCTAAACGAGTCTGAGATAGTTGTGAATGAGCTAGACAGAAATCAAGTTTTTTTTATTTTTTTATTTATTTTTCGACTTGACGAATTCATAGAAATAGGTGAGCGATTGAAAATGTCATCAAATGAAGGTGATTGGCGAATATGGGATGATCTTTTATAAAAAAAAACGTTCTTAATATAGGAACATAGATTGCAAAAATTGGGAATTCAAATTATTTCTTTGAGTTTTTTACTGAGGACCTCCTTCTCTATGTACCTCCTTCTCAAATATGTTTAAAAAGCTATACAACTTTTTCATTTTTATGCAAACAACTCAATTTAGCTGATATACTCTTACGAAAAAAGAGCAGTTTTCAACCCAAACAACCGATCTCATCCCCCATTTCGACTGACGTCGATGACCCACATTTTCAGAATCCGAATGAGAATCACGGACGTCGTCGTCGCGTTGGCCAAAAAAATCAAATCATTCATTTGACTTTGTTTATGCACAAAATATGAATAAGGTAAGCGAAAGGAAATAAACATCAAAATAAAATGAAACCCAAACAAAAACATGGTGTCTATAAGAAAAAGCATGTGCTTTTCAAATCATAGATAAGGGGAAGTACCAATGACTGAACTGCATAGATAAGGATAAACCTCCGACGGAATGAGACTGCTTGACGCTAAGTCATTGTCCCATCAAGATTTTGGAATCATCGATCTTCGACCAGTTCTTCAAAAATCGCGTAATTTGCGTTTTAAATTACATCAGCCAATAATATGTCTGGACTCTCTCGAGGATGTCTTAATGGTAGGGGAGGACTTGGGAGGATGTGAGTATTTTCCCAGACGTCTACCCCTCATACACCTCTTCTCAGGAAATTAAAGTTCAACAGCCTCTGATAAGGTTTTGCGACAGCCACAGAAATACAAATTTATTTTAGTCGAGAAGATATAGAAAACCATGAGATGCTTTGAATACTCTTACTATTTTGGGGGAAGACTTTGCAGATAATAAAAAAATATAAAAAATACCAATACCAAATACTATTTCTCTTTATTATATATTAATAAAATTCTACATTAATAAACCAAAAACAAACACAAAACGGCTAAAATTTCATTGAAAAATGAAATACTTAAATATAGAGTATATGAAATACAAATTGGGCTTTACGGATAGAATCATCTCTCGATCGACAGTGATCTTTCCATTCAAATCCTTCACTTCCAGATAAATATATCATATATGTATATCAATAATGCATGTGGCAAGAGTTAATGGAAAAATGGAATTTATTTTGCAAACTGTTCCGAAACCTTCAAAACGATCAATGAACTAGACCCGAGATGACCAGAGGTTCTCGAACTCTAGAGTCTGTTTTATTTTTATTGAATGAAACGATTTTCTTTAGGGATGACTAATTCAAGCCATCGTAGAACTTGTCCAGCATTTCGTCATTAACAGTTCCGAACACCCAGCGTTGTTGTTCGTTGTCCCGCTCACAAATATTGACGCAGACCTTGGCCACTCCATCCTCGACGATGGCCTCCATGCAGTTGTGGCCATTTTTCCCATGGACCAGCCACTGATTCTTTCTATCATAGTACCAGAACTGATTACCTCCCTGACCGTGACAGGACCACATCCAGACGGTGGCATTCGCATTAGAATCCTGTACATCTAGGCAAATGCTCTCCTCCCTGTGACGCAACTCTCGATCATGGGAGAGTTTCCAGTTCTGGTTCGCCTGCGGATGTGTTCGATTATCCGCACAACTGAAGAGTCCTACAGCATCATTGCTAATCTTGCCCATTGAGTCCAGGCAATAAATGGGATGGGCCACGTTTTGAATGGCCCCGGAGGCATAGGCCGGTGGCTCCACAGGTGGGTACTTCTCGAGGAAATCGGGCGCCACCTCGGTCATAAACCAGTGAAAGCTCTTGCACTTCAACCGCTCCCGCACACCCTTCTGACGAGAGAGATCTCCAGCATCAATTTTTTCATAGGTCTCTGGATCCCGGTCGTACAGATACTGTTTGTACTCGTCCATCCAAACTTCCGCCACGCGTTTGTGATTCTAAGAAAAGGATACTATATGGGGTTATCGTAATTATAATAAATATTAATTTCCATTACCCTTGCTACGAAATTGGTGTTGTTCCTTGGATTGGGCCTTGCATCCATGGGTCCTCGGAAGATGTGGGCCACTCGGGAGCAGGGCACATCCAGCAACATTCCGCCACACATCCAGATCTTGAAACTCAGTTCGTACTGCTCACCGCCCCAAATGTCCAGCTCATCATCGTAGCCTCCCAGATCCCAGAAGAAATCCGTATTCATGGCGAACAAGCCGCCCATCATGACAGGACTCCGGAAAGGCATGGATTTGTCTATGGAATCCTCGGCTAAGGGCGGCAGTTGTTTGTAATACATTTTCCAATCGAAGCCCCCACGAGATCCCTCCTGAAAGCCTCCATTGTAGGCAAAATTCGAATGATCAATGGAATCAATCATTGGACAGGTGCATATCTTGTTATTAATGGCAATGGGTTCGAGCAATGGTGGAAGCTAAATGGTAAAAAAAAGAAAACTTTAAAAATCAATTAGCTTGATTAGTTTCTTTCTATACTGACCCAATTATAGGCAACTTCGATGTGAGAATCAAAAAAGACCATAACTTCTCCAACGGCAACCTTGGCTCCAGCTATTCTGGCACCAATTAGACCACGTCGCTCTGGGTTTCTTACAATGTCCACCAGGCCGGGAAAATGGGTGCTTACATAGTCCTCCAGTTGCTGTTTCAGTGGCTCCCATTCGCTGGCATCATCAACCAGGATGATTTGCTTCAACAGCTCTTTCGGAGTACGATTCACGACACTATGAATGGAACGGAGCAAGGTGCTGAAGTATTCGTTGAAGAAAATAAAAACTACGCTAACATTCGGCAGTTTGGCGAGGTATTTTCGTGTTTTGCACCTAAAATAAAAAATATAAATAAAAAAAAGTTTCTTTTAGGGACCCTTATTATTAGGATATACTTACTGCTCGTGTCGTACATCGGGCAACGATCGATTGACCGAAATTCGATCCGATAAGAGGCCGTTGAAACCATTCTTTCTGTAGAGCAAACTCTCCATTTCCTTTTCATCTGGATTCTCAATTTCCGACGACCTGCCCTGCTCACCCAAACCCGAACGTGTTTTGTCCGCCTCCATGGCGGCATAATCGTGCCAGTCCTTGCGCTCTCCTTTCGGTTCCGGTAGCCTAAAGCCCACTACAGGACGAGCCTCACCCGGCACAGGATCTCGCACCAAGCTGCGATCCTGGAATGGCGGGCGGGCAGCCTTGCGGGTCGGTTCTACATTGGCAGCCCGGAAAACGGGTGTTATGGGATCTCCATTGGGATCGAGATGTTCTTCGGTGTCGCCCGAAGCTGGTCGCATCCGTTTCTCAACTATCATGGTGGTGACCAATGAAATCACGATGATGCAAACCACCAGGAGCACCACTTTGCGTACCAGACGCTTTACATATCTCTTCTTCATGGCCATGTGAACGTCTTGCCGGCGGAGGTACAATGTGCAGACTGGTGTCACTTCAATACGACGGTGGAGCTCCTAGCCGTCTGCCACCTGTTGACACCTGGCAAAATTTATGCATTAACGTAATTGATGCCCCTGCTGCGCGGCACAAGTGAAAATTCGGTTCAGAGATAAGAAACATCAATGGATAGATTTCGAGAAGAACACGCTTCTCCACTATCAATCAGTTCGGAATACACCCGATGACGTGTAAGAGCCCTGCAGTCTGGGAATTCAAATTATAAAAGCCCGCGTCGCGGTGGAGACATCTACAGGTCAATTCGGGGACTAACCAAACAACCGCCATGTGTGTAAACACTTTTATTTATTTAAACTTGCAAAGAACCGTAAATGTCGGATAAAATGCAAATAATCATTTATAAATAATTTATCTGATATTTCACGAATTCAAATGAGTTCACATATATATTTTTGCGATGCCATAACCCAATTTATTTAATCCTAAAACATAGTTTTAATTATTAGTCTTAGTCACAAGATTTTTCAACACGGAATCTGAGAAAATCCATTTTTGGCGTTTATTGTACTTCTTGCAGGCACGGAGGTCAATTCGTCCTTGTCCCTTTGACATTCCTTTGGACCTTACGGCTTCCAGGCAGATAAAAATCGGGCCTAGCTGCAGCCACTGCATCTTTTCATGGTAATGCCATAACTGATTCCCCTCAAGACTGTGGCAGGGGTACAACCAGACAGCGACATTCTTTTTTGTTCCTTGGATTTCCATGCAATCGTTGGTCCGATTAAGTCGGATTTCGTGCTTACTAGTGAGGTCCCAATGCTGCCGAACTCCCGGATGTGTAGAATTTCCGGTGCAGCGTGTTAGAACCAAAGGTGCATATCCATAGCGGTTTTGGGCATCAATACAGAGTTCGGGATACCCAACACTTCGAATGGATCCACTGGATAATGGTGGAGGCTCAACGGGGGGAAATTTTAGAAGAACATCCTCGGCCACATTGTGCATATACCAATCGAAGGACTTGCAGCGCAACTCCTCTCGTAAAGTTCTAAGTCGTTTTAGATTTCCAGTAGAGGCATACTTGAAGACTTTAGGATTCCTCTCGTATACATACTTTTTATAGTCATCCATCCAGATCTCAGCCACTCGTTTGTAGTTCTATGATTTTACTTTTTATAGCTATAGTAACATAATCTTTTAATACTCACTCTAATAATAAAATTATATTTCCTTGGTCTATCTTTCGGCAACATTGCTCCCCGTGTGATATGACCAATACGGGAACAGGGAACATGGAGCAGCATACCCCCACACATCCAGACCTTGAAGCTAAGTTCGAATTGCTCGCCACCCCATATGTCTAGCTCATCGTCAAAGCCGCCCAAACCCCAAAAAAATGTTTTCTCAATGACCACTGCCCCCATAAGCAATGGGGTACGATATGGGTTCGATCCATCGCCAATATCGCCGCCAATTGGTGGTAAATGCTTAAGCTGTAAGCCCCAATCGAACCCCAAACGAAAAACCTCCTTGTCAAACTCGTATGCCAGGGTGGTAGAGGAGATCGAATCCAAAATGGGACTAGTAACAATATAGGGATGGATAGCTATGGGTTCTAGTAGAGGTGGGAGCTGAAATTATGATAAAATACATTTAATTTTTATAAAATAATGTTTCATTTTTGATTACTCACCCATGTGTAACCAACTTCGATGTGGGAATCCAGAAAAACCAAAACGCGACCAGCAGCCATACCAGCACCTCGGAGCCTAGCTTTGATCAGACCCTGTCTGGTTTGGAATCGTACTACCTTAGTGATGTTTGGGAAGTTCTTATTCAAATAATTATCCAAATTTTTCGTTAAATTCTTAAATGTACTGGCATCATCGACAAGAATCACCTCTTCCAATAGATCGACAGGACTTCGATCCACGATGCTATGAATGGATCTCAAAAGAACACTCAAATGCTCGTTATGAAAAACTATAATGACTGAAACGTTCGGCAGTTTTTTCAAATATTTTCGATCCTTGCATCTATAATAGATATCAAAAACATATATCTACTGTTTTTTTTTAGTAAACAATGGGTTAATATTTTCTTACCTCTCAGGTCGGGCATCAGGAAGCGATCGATTTAATGAAATACGATCCGAAAGTAGACCGTTAAAACCATGTTGATCCTGGATTTCTTTTTTGGCGGGATCATCCATGGGATCAGTCAATTCAGCCGGCTTTCCTTGCTCCCCCAAACCGATTCGCAAGGAATCTTCTTTCATTGCCTCATAGTCATGCCAATCCTTGCGATGGCCTTTTGGCAGAGGTAGGATGAAGGAACCATTGCGTTGGACTTTTAAAATATCCAAATCCGTGTGAGACAAAACTGACTCGGCTATGGTTATGGACCACAATGGGATTTTCGTGTTGTGCTCGTGAGGAGTTCTTACTTTGTATGGGCGTTTTTCCAAGGACTCCACCATGCGTTTGTGTATTCGATTACCCAAAAAGACGGTGGATAGCAATGATATTAGTAGAACGGCCAACAAAAGACGGGTAAGTACTTTAATGTCTGCGTTCATCTTTGAAACTTTGTGAATAAAAATCCTATCAAACCTTCAATAAGGTTGATTGAAAATTTATTGCAAGCCTACTTGGTTGAAATTTGTTTTTCTAAGTTATAAATTCAGACTCAAGGAAAATAAATAAGTACTTTGAATTTTAGAATTTAACTCTCAATTTAACTAAAAAACATTAACCAAACTATGATAAATGTTTTATTAAAAAGTTAAACAACTTTTTAAAATTTGATGACTGAAAAAAATAAAACCATTAACATATAACAATTAAATTTAACTAATTTGTCAATGTTTTTATCAAACTTCAAAATAAACAAATAATATTATAATATATTAAAATATTTAAATTCAAATATTAACATTTTTAAATTTGGCGCCTTGCCAGACATTTATGCGATGTTTTGTAATCGATCGTTATTTTAGATCGATTTTTAGAACATATCGGATTTCTTCAAAATAAAATGATCGGTTTAAGCGATCTTTTGGCGGGAGTTGTCCACACTTTTTGCTGGGAAAAAAACAAACGCATGAGGTTTTTTTTTTTTAAATTATTAATTAAACTGCATAAAACGGGTATTAAAGAAAGATGGATCTTAACGACGCAGTGTTAACCTGCGCGGTGAACATGCAGTGGACTAACTCCGTGGGCGTTACGGGCCGGAAACTGGCCTACAAAACTGCCACTCTACGTTTGGTGCGAAACGATCTTCGGGAATTGTTTGTGGAGGTGACGCCGGAAAAACTGAAGCCACTGAAATTCAAGCTCAAGGATCTCATGGTGCACAAGAAGTTCATGTCCGAGGGCAAGGCTACGTTCAACTTTAAGGCGGAAAGCTGTACGCTATATTTGTCGAATGCCCCGCCCGGAACTCTTATGTTCTTCCTGCGCACAATCTTTATAAAAATGAATGGCAGCGAAGGATCTCAGCCAGACGATGCATCTCTACAGAAGAAGTTGAGGGAGCATCTGATGTCCGGCAAACCCAGCAGCTTCGAGGACGTCTCTCCTGTTACAACGGCGGAGATGATTTTGGCGCGAAAAAAGGCGGGTTTGATGTCCAAGGCATCCACGACGACTCCATCGCCACAAGCGGCCAAAAAGAGGCGTTTTGACGAGATGAAGGAGGACCGGGAAAAGGGCAGTCTGCCAGCGGCCAAGAAGCTCTATCAATCAACCACGGATGAATCTCTAAAACTAAGCGAAGAACAAATGGAGGTACTGCGCGCCTGCACTTCCGGCAAAAATGTGTTTTTTACGGGCTCCGCTGGTACAGGCAAGAGTTTCTTGTTGAGGAGAATCATATCTGCTCTTCCTCCCGATGGAACAATAGCCACGGCCTCTACGGGTGTGGCAGCTTGTCTAATTGGTGGCACCACTCTGCACGCCTTTGCGGGCATTGGCGGCGGTGATGCCAACATGAAGAGGTGTCTGGAACTTGCCTCCAGGCCCGTGAGTGCCCAAACCTGGAGAAAGTGCAAACGTTTGATCATCGACGAGATCTCAATGGTAGATGGACAGTTCTTTGAGGTATGTACCTTATATATTAAAGCTATAATTTCATTATAATTAATATCCAAAACCTTTTTAGAAAATTGAAGCAGTTGCCCGCCACATTCGCCGCAACGATCGTCCCTTTGGTGGCATCCAGCTCATTTTGTGCGGAGATTTCCTTCAACTACCACCTGTAGTAAAAAGTGAGTTCGGATCTACGCCAAATTCCGCTCCACAGCAGAGATTTTGCTTCCAGTCCAGTGCGTGGGAAACGTGCATCCAGAATGTCTACGAACTGAAGCAAGTCCACCGTCAATCGGATCCAGAGTTTGTCAAGATATTGAATCACCTGCGCATTGGTCACGTTAACGAATCCATTACTACCCGTCTGGCAGCAACGTCTAAGCAGAAAATCGAGGGCAACGGAATTCTTGCCACCCAGCTTTGTTCGCACACCAATGATGCCAACTCCATAAATGAATCGAAGCTGGAGAACCTGGGAGGCGACAAGGTTCTATTCAAGGCAGATGATTCCGATCCCAGTATGTCCAAACAACTAGATCAACAGATTCAGGCCCCATCCCAATTGTTCCTAAAAGTTAATGCTCAAGTGATGCTGCTCAAGAACATCAATATATCCAATGGACTGGTGAATGGTGCAAGAGGGGTGGTCGTCAGAATGGACAAGGATCTGCCAGTAGTACGGTTCAAAAACAACCAGGAATATATTTGCAAGCATGAGAAATGGATCATTAAAACGCCCACTGGAGGCCTAATTACTCGGCGACAGGTGCCTCTAAAATTGGCGTGGGCCTTTTCCATCCACAAAAGTCAAGGACTGACTCTGGATTGCGTGGAAATGTCGCTGTCGAAAGTTTTCGAGGCTGGACAAGCCTATGTGGCCTTGTCGCGAGCAAAGTCCCTGCAATCCATTCGAATACTAGACTTCGATCCCAAGCAGGTTTGGGCCAATCCACAGGTCTTGCAGTTTTACAAGGGATTCCGTCGTAAACTCATCGATACTACAATGATTCCTTTGGGTCCCAAAAACAAGGACAAAAAACCCGGGGATGGCAAAGCTGGAAACAGTGCTTTGGCTAAGCTCAACAAGAGTCTTATGAACAAGCCTCTGGTCTCGATTAGCTAATTCTATAACTTAATTTTTAGACAAATTTAACTTTAAATTTAATCACGGATATCTAATTGTGCTAATTATAAATTCCATAACTAAAAACTTTCATTCAAATTGTATATTCAATAATGATTAACTAAAGATTAAGCAACACACATTTTCACTGCTTAAAAAATGAAATTTTTCTACTTTTTTGAGCAAAGAAAAATTTAAGATTTATGAAGACTCGGAAAGTTCTAAAATATTTAAAAAATATAGCTGCTTTTTAATATTTTAGTGACTTGATTCTGACTACCTATGAACAAATAGTATTAATCCAAAACTGCCTGCATTTATAACAAAAAGATCCATTTAACAAAATTAAATTTTTTTGGTAAATGATACTTTTTATAATATAATAGCCTAAAACTCTAAATAGACTCTTGGAAAGTAAAAACCTAAATTATGTAAGGATTCCAAGACTATATTTTTAGTATAGCTTATTTGATTAAATCATAATTTTCAACTGAATACACACTTAACCTTTTCGAAAAGCGTTTACTAATCAATAGCTGGGTCAACCACTTCGATTTACAATTTAATCTACCAACTTTTTGGATTTACCATTTCGGGGTGTGTATATTTTTGATAACGGATAATGGAACTAAAAACATCAGCTCAAACCACCGGCTGGCTCGACGAGAACACAGAGTTGAGGGCGCAACCTAGTGGGCGGCCTCCTCCTTCATGCCGCTGCCCACAGGTCCGTGGCGACGCTCCCAGATAAGGCGGTGCTTCTGCTTCATGTAGGCGGTCTTGGCATTGGCGTATCCTCCCAAATCGCCATCTGGTAATGGAGGCAATATTAATTGAGGATCTAAATATATATCATGATTACATACACTTGATGAACCAGTTCTCGGTGGCCTTTTCGTATTGTTCCAGCAGCGGCTTGCACTTGACGATGTGGTCGGGAGCCTCGTAGAGAGTGCAATCCTCGAAGCGCTGGCGCAGAATGTTCACAATCTCGTTGTCCACCATGCGATCCCGGCGGAACTGCTGGTCGGCCTCGAAGCGACAGACGGCGTCATCCGTGTAGCACTGGTCAATGGTCGGCACACGACGGAATTGCTGGTGGTACCAGTTGTACTTGGTCTGGTTCGGCTCCACGATGGTCTCTAAAATTAAATTACAATTAAGCAATTAAAAAACCCTTTTTGGCGACCCAGTGTAAACAATAACAAATGCTATCGCGGTTGAGGTTATGTCATTATGTAATTGTTGGGAGTTTTTTGCGTTTTCTCGTATAATGAAGAGTAGAATCTATATTTCTCTAGGCTATACCAACCCAGGACCCCCAGAAAACAGATCCTTGGAGGTTACGTACCTCGGAACCAGGTTATGGGGCCGTCGATGACACTCTGCACCGACTGGGCGAAGCTGGCCATTGGACTGCGTGGCTCCGGCATTTTTTGGCTTTCCTACTTCCTGCAAAAGCCGCAAACAGTATTAGTCTATATATCCAAAAATTACAGGCTTTCTTTAATAAGAAATCCGGATCGAAACCATAATTACACAAACCTAATCAACAACAGTGTAGCCAGACATCGACTAAGATGATTTCGTGGAGTTGCCAGATGGACGAAATGACTATTGATTTTAAATTTCTGGCAGGTTTAATATTTTTGGCGGTTTCCGCTAAATAGCAGGCCGATAATTTTAAATCAAAAAGCTTGTCATATGTATGTCAATTGAATCAGAAACTGTATACTCACAGACCTGAAGGTTTATGCAGCCCGAAATAATAATTATTTCCAGAATTTATAAGCTTCGATTTATTTACGACCGGATTCCCAGTGGCAGCACCTACGAGTAATCGACATCGTTGTTGACATCGGTCCATTTGCCATCGAAGTTTCATTCAGCGTAAAAATGCCGGAAGAATCTAAGAAAATTGACTTGTCCGGAGACGGAGGCGTGCTCAAGGAGATTCTGCATGAGGGAACCGGAACAGAGACACCACACAATGGGTGCACTGTTTCCCTTCATTACACGGGCCGTTTGGAGGACGGAACCGAATTCGATTCGAGTGTAAGCCGCAATGAACCCTTCGAGTTTCCGCTCGGCAAAGGTGAGAAAAGCACGGCTTCTGGAAAATTCGAGCCGTTTGACTTTACTTTTATTTTATGAATCTGCAGGCAATGTCATTAAGGCGTTTGATATGGGCGTGGCCACCATGAAAGTTGGTGAGCGCTGCTTCCTTACATGTGCTCCAAATTATGCTTACGGAGCTGCTGGCAGCCCGCCCGCTATTCCTCCAGATGCAACCCTGATTTTTGAAGTAAGTCCTGTCTTATTTTTGCACATGGGAACCGAGTTTCATTCATGCTTTTACAGTTGGAAATGTTGGGCTGGAAGGGGGAGGACCTGAGCCCCAACCAGGACGGCAGCATTGTCCGTACCATTTTGGAAACCAGCGATAAGAAACGATCGCCCAGCGATGGTGCCTTTGTCAAGGGTAGGTTTATCTTTAAAAAATACTTGTGGCCAAGCCATGTTTATGCGGTATTTCAATCGCAGCTCACATTTCTGGTGCCATTGAGGGCCGTGTCTTTGAGGAACGTGATGTGGAGTTCGACTATGGTGAGGGCAGTGCCATCGGTGTTATTGAGGGTGTGGAGATAGCCCTTGAGAAGATGAACATAGGAGAGACTTCTCGGTAAATCGCCTAAATTAAATCTATCACCTGTAAGCTAATATCAATGTCTTGTAGATTGACAATTCGTGCAAAATATGCATTTGGTGACAAGGGCAACGAGGAATTCAAGATTCCGCCCAACGCTGTAGTTGTGTACACTGTTAAACTAGTGGATTGTGGCAAGGGGATTGAGGAGTGGAAGTTGAGCGATGCCGAGCGCCTGGATGAAGCCAAGGCCTATAAGGAGAAAGGTACAAACTACTTCAAGAAGGAGAACTGGGCTCTTGCCATTAAGATGTACAATAAGTGCAAGAACTTGCTGCCAAACACAGCCGATACCAACGAGGAGGTGAAGAAGGTTAAGGTGGCCACCCACAGCAACATTGCACTGTGCCACCAGAAGTGCAATGATCACTTCGAAGCCAAGCAGGAGGTGAGTTATTAAAATGATGACTTTATAAAGTATAACTTATTACATGATTCATTATTCATATAGTGCAATGCGGTACTAGCTTTGGATGCTAATAATGTGAAAGCTCTATATCGCCGTGGCCAATGTAACCTGACAATCAATGAATTGGATGATGCCTTAGAGGACTTCCAGAAGGTAAAGCAAATCGTTTATATTTAATTCTGTTTTTGTTTATATTCATTTTGGTATCAGGTTATACAATTGGAACCGGCTAATAAGGCTGCTTCTAACCACGTGCTCATCTGCAAGCAAAAAATCAAGGAAAGCAAGAACAAGGAGAAGAAGCTTTACGCCAATATGTTTACAAAACTTGCTGCCAACGACAAAGAGGTAGAAGAAACTTCATAAACAACTAATACCAAATAAAGTACATCATTCTCGTCTCATTTACGCGTCTTGTTCCCTAATTGCTTTCCCAATCCAGACCGAACCGCCACGCGAAACGGATGTCCTAAGCAAGTGCGGGGAGTGGTCCGAGGAGGATGCTAAGCGCGAGGCTGAACTGACGCTGGAGCGCGACAACATAATCATGATCTAAACCAGATTCACTAGTGCTTTAAATATTATTCCCTACAGGTTATATTCCCACATCGAAATCCATAAAAATAATGAACAAAAGGTATAAATGCTAATGGTATATATTAAATAAAAAGCTTTGAGAGTTATAAATAATTTGTATTAAGTATCTCTCGGTAGAATTTTGAACAAAGGTCGCACCTCCCGATCCCGTAGCCACAAAGGTGACACGGGTATTTGGGCTTTGATATATTCGGAGGCCTTGAAACAATAGCCACAGCAAAATTTTTTGCGTTCCGTCAGGTCATAGACTTGGTTTTTCGATGAGCTTATGCTGTATTTTTGCTTTGGGACACTGAAAATAATTAAAATTAAAAAATGAAACTTCTGTGCTTTTCGGACTTACTTTTCTAAGACATTGGAGCAGAGCGGATAGCCACACAGTTTATTGATATCGCGTTCATCTACGATGTCGGAATAGTTGGGCGGGTCGATCTCCCAAAGCTAAAAAAATGCTCATTCGTTGTGTTTTTTTATTCATTTGAATTTAGATTTCTTACCAGGGACAGGAATTCCGGTTCGGGTATTCCAGGCTCCATGAGGCGAATTACAATTGCATGAGCCCGCGCAATCGCGGCGCGCTTCTTTACCACCGCTGCTATGAGCTGTTGCCTGCATGAAAGGGGGCCATTTGCATGGTGAACCTTTTGCATATTTATGTATTATAATTACCTCAGTTGCTCGCCCTTTTCCGTTGTCATGTTTATTTGCGTACCACAATTGAGATGACATTTTATTGATAGGCACTAATAACACCTGGGCTTGTTATCGTTATCGATATCGCAATTTTACTTTTCTTCTATACTTTCATAAATGTAAACAAAAATGGTTTGTGATAAATGCGAAGCCAAATTGTCGAAAATTTCGGCACCAAATCCATGGAGGACCAGTACCGCACCAGCTGGTGGAAGGAAGATTAACGAGAATAAAGCTTTGTCCTCGGCTCGGGACAGGTATAACCCAATGGGAACTACCCTGGCGCCCTGCCGGTGAGTGACGCTGTAAAGGGTCTAAGAATATCCTTTGTAAAGCCACTCTATATTTCAGGATATGTCGCCAAAAAGTACACCAACTTGGTGCCCATTATTGTCAAGCCTGTGCCTACAAGAAAGCCATCTGTGCCATGTGCGGCAAGAAGATCCTGAACACTAAAAACTATAAGCAGAGCTCGACGTGATGCATTTTATAAAAGGGGTTTTCTCTTAATCCTAACCTAGGCATAGATAACAGCTTAATTTTTACGTGCAGTACAACAAATGCATATATAGGTCAAGTCTCTGTAGCCGTCTTTTCTTTCTGCTCCCGGCGTTTCTTGGCACTTTGGATCTGGGTGGAGTAGCTCAGGGCGTCCTTGTCAAACTCCAGTGGCATTATGCCCAAGTCACCGCAATAACGATTCTTGGCAATCTGCAGATACTTCTTGCCACGCACCGATGTCAGCCGCTTGTCCTGGATGATCAGCACATTGTCTGCCTCCTGTGTAGCTTTGGCTGTCCCGAACACCGAACTGGTAGTCAGTTCGTCCTCCTGTCGTTCCTTGCGCGGATGCATAACTAATGTGACATGCACATTATGCTTTGTGGCGAATCCCCGGAAAGCGGCAATAATGGCGTCCTGTTCCCAGAACTTATCACCCCGATACGTGGAGACGCCCATCATAAACTGGAGATTGTCGATGATAACGTGCATTACATCGTGGACATAGGAGGCGTGTTCAATGGCCTCCAGCACCGGTTTGAGCGGCTGCTGACCATGGAAGGTCATAAAGTATAGTGGCAGACGTTCAAACTCAGAAGCCCAATGGTTGAATTCCTGCAGCCGATCGTCCAGGGGGTACCCAACATATTGGCGCAGCAAAGTGGCCGCCAATCGCGTGTTGCGAATCTCAAACGAGCCCCACAGAGTGCTAACACCCTGCATGGCCAAATCTAGAGAGTACTCGCTCATGAAGGTTGTTTTTCCGCTGCCAGTGGGTCCCGTAAGGATGGTCAACTCTCCGCGACGGTGACCTTTCAGTAGTTTGTTTAGAACAGGAAAGCGTTTCCACTTCACTCCATTCACCTTCTCGATATTTTGCAACTCGCTGAGGATGTCATTGCGCATAGCACCAAAAGTTGTGATCGCTCTGTGACGGACGGGTGTCGCTTTGGCCAGGATGTGGCGCAGGTTAAGCCGCTTTCGCAACGCTATATGAGGCGCTGGTTCCGTTTCAGTGGGTCGTATTAACAAACACCGTCGCTCGTCCATTTTTTGAGCAAAAGAGCGAGCTGCGTCCCAGCTGTGGCTGCTATCGTAATGCAGCCAGAAAACCAGCTCCTTGAAACGTTCCAAGCCTGGCAGGCACTCCTGCGGCAGCATTTTAAACTCATACGGCAGGCACACAATGCAATCTGAATAATAGATGACAATATTTAATCTCGAATGTTTCGAAATATTAAAGTTTCTTACGCGTTTCCAAGTTTTGAGTGGCGAGCACAACAAAATCCACGAGATTGCTGACTATGACAGCTTTAGACTTGTTTCCGACTCCATGAATAAGAATTCCAGAGCTGGCGCCATCCTGGAAGGTCTCTTCGCATCGATTTCCCAGGTGGAGTACTTTCTCGCCGACCACATGATGTGCTGCATTGCGTAACTGAAAATGCAGAATCTGTTGCTGTGGCTCCCATTTGGCACCAATAGCATTTAGCTGCGCCTCCTTCAATCCTTTGATGCCCAGAGCCTCGCAGGCCTCGGGAGTGACATCTATTAAGTCTGGAAAGCGAGATTCAAAGATGGGCTTTCTTTGAAGCGGCCTCTTGTAACTCTCAGGCGAGGGTATCAGATATGCCGGTAGCGCGTTGCTTAACGAAGTTTTTACATCACAATTCGGGCATATGAAAGCACCTAAGATGTTGTATTTTGTTTAAAATAAATTATAGATCTTTAGACCTCAAGTCTACGTACCAGTCCTTTTGTTTACATAAGCCAGCAGCCCTTGGCCTGTGCCTTGTTGTTGGACCGGTGGCTTGTTGCGATCGCACAGCCGGCACTCCAGTTGCAAGCACGTGTGGCCGTCCTTGTGGGGCAAGTTGATCTGTCGCAGTTGCCGCTTGAAGTCCACATATTCCTTGGGGTCCAGGGCACATTCTGGCAAAGTTTTCTCCACTTGAGTTGCGTAGTTCTGCCTCCATACTTGGGTTTTGTTATTATGTATACGCAACAGCGGTTTGATTAAACCGGCGCGTCTCATTTTCCATGTTATCGATATCGATATCGAAAAGCTGTTGCATGGATTGCAGGGATTTTTTAATATCCCTTAAAAAATAAAAAAACGCTTACAAAATGTGGAATCCAAATACCATTTTGTGAAAATACCACATACTAACTATTTAATGATTTATTTTCGGGCTTCAGGCTCTCTATTTATTTTTAATTAATAAATAGGTGGTGTTTCTATTTCAGTATTTGTCCTTAACCATGGGTATTCTTTATGGTCTTAAAAATAATTATATTTTGTTCATTTTTATGCCATAGAACAGAGTTCCGTCGTCCATCCATCCAATTCAAAGAGAGATTTGGATTTAATTAAACCCAACTGCCATATAATGGGTATTCCTGCCCTATTTCCATGAAAATTCATTTCAAGAGCAGATAGCAAGCACCAGAAGCTCCCCATTCTCCCTGCCCAACCGCATTCAAGACCCATTACCAATTAATTAAAAATCAAGAAAGAAATTTGTGTATAAAAGATAGAAATTTTATTGATATAGACAAGCGTAGATGCCATTTATTAGTGGTCCTCCTGAAAATCAAAATAAAGGTTAATTAGTATTTGAACAAAATATAACTTAAAAAAATGAGTAAAATTAGTTGAAGTCAGACGCCTTAAACCATCCTTAAGCCGAAGCTTTCTGGTGGAAACCGCAAAAGGAATTTGAGGTGATCATCATTCAAGAAATTTATAGATTTTATAATTTTTATAAAAAATTACCTGTCTATGATTCAATTTCCAATTCAGTGTCATCAATGGGCCTCCCATAATTTCAATGCCTAAAAAGAACAATTATATTTATAAGACGCTTATAAAAATAGTTAATTATCAAAAATGTAGATGAGTTTTTATCAGGTTACAAATTGCAGCACGAGTCTAGACTCAGAACAGGTCTGTAAAAATTAATCATTTTACGGCTTTCATTATTCACTAAGTTCTTACCTTGGAAAAAAGAGTCCATACTTTGGAGAGTCAAACCATGCGGCCACATAACCTATAAAAAAAACCAATTTTTAGTCAGTTTCCAAAAGGTTTTAATTAAAATTATAATTTTTTTGTACGTTTCAGTTTACACGTTGCAGCACGAGTCTAGCACTCAGAACAGGTCTGTGTATAGCAACTCATCATAAAATCTAAACCAAATTTAAGTTTAAAAGCCCCTTACCTTTAATAGGAAGTGTCCCAAGGTGTCTCAGAAGTTTCTCATGTTGCCTCGAGGTGTCTCACGCGACCCTCACATGTTTCTGAGGTTTTTTAAGCTCAATTCGACCAACCGGCTACGAATTTGTTCACTGTAAAATAGATTTTATTAATTAGGCACATGTTTTCACCATATAATTTACTTATTTCAAAAGAATTCTTTAAATATATGCCATCAGATTGCCGATTCATCTTTAAAAGAACAAATGTTGTTCAACAAGGCACTGAAAAATACAATGCCAAGTCGAGAAAATGTTCCTTCAGTCTCGTCATCAGTCTCATCATTTGAGGCATTTTATTTAAAATATGAAAATTCACTTTTATTCTACCAAAAAAAATTGTTCACGATTGGAGCAACTTACCATCTTGAGATTTTAAAATGAAATGGACCTTTTCAAGTCCACGTGGTGGCGAGGAAGAAGCGGTGAACTATCGATACCATAAGGCAGCCATGATTCGGAGTTCTTATCGATGATTGTCTAAATAAGTACCTTAAAATTATAAAAATCGTTTACAATTTTTAAACAATTAATTCGTTGGGAACTCAATAAATAAAAATTAATATTAAATTTATCTTTCAGTTATTTCAATTTTAATACTTCTATAAATTATAAGTTATAATAGTTACAGTTATCGATAACCAAACTACAAACAGCTGATCACTTCTGCACGTGTGTTTCCTATATTTTAGTGTTTACGTTTTAAAAGAAATAATCTTTAATAATGGTAAAATTATATAGACCCTTACATAGTATCTACAACTTACCATTTTCATTCCTTCAGGGCAAACACAAGAAAACTCAAAAAGTGAAGAAGCAGCGAAATGCCCAGCTGAAACGTTTGATGAAACCAACAGACACCAGGCTGAAGGAAAAAAACCGGGTGATAAAGGAAAAGAAGAAGGATCCGCACCAGATGAAGGTGCACGAGGCAACCCAGCAAAGCTCCGCTCTCTTCTTCCAGTACAACACCCAGCTGGGTCCTCCCTATCACATCGTCCTCGACACGAACTTTATTAATTTCAGCATCAAAAACAAACTAGATATTGTGCAGGGAATGATGGACTGCTTGTACGCAAAGTGCATACCATACATTTCAGACTGTGTACGCGCTGAGCTGGAGAAACTTGGAAACAAATACAAGCTGGCCCTGCGCATAATTTCCGATCCTCGGTTCGAGCGGCTTCCATGCCTGCACAAGGGTACCTATGCAGATGACTGCTTGGTGGAGAGGGTGCGCCAACACAAGTGCTACATTGTGGCCACCAACGACAAGGATCTGAAGAACCGCATTCGGAAGATCCCGGGAGTGCCTATTATGTACGTTGCGGCGCACAAATACGCCATTGAAAGGATGCCAGAAGCCTACGGCGTAAAGGCGTAGATAATAGTTTATATAATTTTTTAGACTACTGTTTTAAATATATCAATATTTTAAGAAAATACTGGTCTTTTCAATCATGCCTTAATTACCCCCAATTTAAAGTAAACATTTTAATTTATGTGTCAATGATTTTTATTCAAAATCTGGATCGCTTGGCTTCTCTGACAGTCACTTAGGCATCGGCGTGCAGACGAGCAGTGGGCTTGGACAGGAAGTCGGAGTATGCTTGGTATGGGGTGGATCCCAGGGGCATCTCCTTCCACAAATCAGGGGTGAGGTAAGCGTACGTCTTGGCGATGGCAGCATAGGTGGCCTTGGCGAAGTTGCCGAGGGTGCCAGTGGAGCCACGAGCCGAGGTGTAGCAATCCTCAATACCGGCCATGGTCAACAGCTTCTTTGGCACGGGGGCAGAGACGATGCCAGTACCACGGGGAGCTGGGATGAGACGCACGGAGACGGAGCCGCACTTGCCGGTAACCTTGCAGGGCACGGTATGGGGCTTACCGATCTTGTTACCCCAGTAGCCACGGCGCACAGGCACAACGGAGAGCTTGGCAAGAATGATGGCTCCGCGAATGGCGGTGGCCACTTCCTTGCTGCACTTGACTCCCAGACCAATGTGGCCGTTGTTGTCGCCGATAGCAACGAAAGCCTTGAAGCGGGTACGCTGACCGGCACGGGTCTGCTTCTGGACAGGCATGATCTTCAGCACCTCATCCTTCAGAGCAGAGCCCAAGAAGAAGTCGATGATCTCGAACTCTTTGATGGGGAGAGAGTACAGGTAGATCTCCTCCAGAGACTTGATCTTGCCTTCACGGACCAGACGACCAAGCTTGGTCACTGGAACCCACTCCTTGGAGTCCTCCTTGCCACGGCCGCGAGCACCGCGTCCACGGCCACGACCGCGTCCACCGCGACCACCACGAGAACCAAATCCTCCACGGAATCCACTACGGGCTGGAGCTGCGTCCGCCATTCTGCAAAAAAGAGAAAAATACCAAATTGAGGTTAGATATCGATTTATGATAATTTATTCAATCCATATGATATATGGTATGGAATTCAGACGCCTTTAACCATCCTTAAGCCGAGGCTTTCTGGTGGAAACCGCAAAAGGAAATTAAGGTAATCATCATAAAAACACGAAATTAATTTCAACCAATGGTCGCCATTTTAAGACACGTGGTGATGAAACATGGCAATTCAAGTTAAAAATAATCTTAATCGTGTTGCTTTTTAGATAAAAAATAAATAAAGTATCATACTGCAAGTATCAAGAGTGCAATACAACATTTATTTATATTTTATTTAGCTAATAAACCAAAAATAATTAGATTTTTAGGTGCTTACTTGTAGGTCTATCAACTTTTTCGGGATGAAGACAAAAACGAAATGAACGAGTGTTAGGGATGTTGCAACGACCTACCTTTATCGAAATATCGATATTTTCCTCAAAAATTATAATATCGGATTGGTGGCGCTGCCAGATCGACGTTTTTATTGCCCTTCCCAACACTATCTTATCGTTTTATCGATATCTTGCTTAGAGTTGCCAACTACCGATAGGGCCATCTTTGCTTTTGCATTTGCAAAACAATAAGGAATGAAGTTGGATTAATATTTAAATGGCCATTACTTTGTCCAAATTAATTACTCTGGACAAAGCACGGAAGTGTATTCCAAAAGGACTCATCATCTGCCAGCCCAGGGAGCCCTCTCAGCGCTCGGTAGTGTTGCCAGTGGGTGGTGGTGGGTGGCGCGCTTATCAGCCTACGTAGAGGCGCCCATGCCCGCTGCGATAAGAAATAGGCGGAACCGCCCGTCCAGGTATGCATAATCGTTACCCCGAAAGTGGCAGCTGCCTAAGTTTTATTTATGCAGGTGCTTGCTATTATCATGGGGTGCATTACCAGTACAAGTAAGCTGAACGAACTGAGGAGTCACGAAAACGTTTTTCGAGTGAGGGTGGCCCATCTGCAGCCCTCCCCTGGCACGCCCACCATTCGCAGCGGCTACCTTGAGCTGACGCCACGGGAACTGATCTTCCAATCACCCGGCTGCGAACCAATTATATGGGCTCTGCAGCATCTGAGACGCTATGGTCTCAACGCGGACCTCTTTTCATTTGAAGCGGGTCGTAGGTGCATGTCTGGACCTGGCATTTACACCTTTAGAGTGCAAAATGCCGAGTTGCTTTATCCTATGTTCCAACGCTACATAAATGCCGTGAATACCGATGCTTTTGCCCAGGTGGAAAGGGACCGCGTCAACTCCGCCCACTCGGTGTCCACGATGATGGGCCGTACGGATGGAAATCCACACAGCAACAACTATTTGGAGCCGGCTCCACTGATAAGTCGACAGCTTGGAAATTCCCTGACCGATGGCCCGCATCCCAGTGCATTGCATTTGCTGCAGGCCAATGATAGCCAATCAGATGACACGCCACCTAATCTGCAGTCTCCTGGTCTGATTCCCAACGCTTATTTTGATCAGCCCTTGAGAACCCTACAGGAGTGTTGCCTTGATGGGACCTCGCCGGACTTGCTGGCCACACCACCTTCTGGGAACAGATTGAGCTCACGAAGACGTACTCTGGATTTGCCACCCCAGGAATCTGCACCTCCGCCGGCCCCAGTCTTAAGTCCCAATGAATCCGTGCACATGTACGCCAATGTAGAGGCCATGATCTTCGATTTAAGCAATGAGCGTTGTTATGAGAATGTAAATCGACTGGAGCTGCCGATCTCCGTACCGTCGAGGGAGTCAGTTGTACAACAGGAGCCAGCTACCCCGACAAGCTTGGCGGGTAGCAGTGGCGTCAACTACATTGTCTTAGATCTGGATCAGCCCAAAAGTCCTGCTCCTCCGTCTGGATCGCCGAAAACATTTAACGGCTTTGGCAGTGGTTTGTCTTTGGTTTCAACTAAAGCTGCGGTCACGGCTCCGGTTACTCCGGAGGCAAGTTTAGCCCTAGACGTTCCCGCGGCTCCGACTCAAACCCAAAGCCTCAACAGCGTATCAGCGGCGGCCGCTAATGATGCAGGAGAGCCTCCGTCGAACAGAAACTCTGAATGCTCAGGCACCCAAGGATACTCTACTATCGATTTCATTCGCACATACGCGTTGAACAAATCCTCGTCAGAGCTGCCGGAACAGGTAACCCACCGACAGCATCCTGCACATGAGGCTGAGGAGCTGAGGATCACCAGGCACAGCAAATGCATTCGAAAAGCGTACTCAATAAGCGAATGAGTTGAGATTGCTCAAGTCAAAGCAAAGGGCACAACGAATTTATAAAAACAAGGTGTTTTCCAAATCCCACAACTAAAGGGGACTAGAGTGAGGAACCAGTTATTATTTCTGTGGCTTTTGATTGCTAAATTGACCAAATCCAATTCAGTTTCGAGGGTTTTAAACTTTAAAGAACAAGGAATATGTTTCTTACTTTTGTTTTATGATAATCATTTCAATTCAGTTTAAAATTGATAAATGTTACAAGTTTGGAACCTCTTCCAAAACATAAAGGTTTTCGGAAATGTGCAGCACAACGAATTAACCACAATCGATGATATTGGATAGATGGTATTACATAGATTGTGGTAAAGTGGAATTGAAGTGATTTGCCAAAGAGTTGTTTTGCTTCCCTCTGAGCCAAACAAGCAACAATATTAAATCCAGGTTGTTTTAGTAGTCAGTACTATCCCCCACGCGCAGACATGACTTGCATACGTACTTAGTTAATATTTAAGCATAGTTTTTAGCGTTCATTAGAGATTAGATGGTTTTGTGTACGTGCCAGCGGCTGTTAAAACTAGTCATTTTTTGGATTTTTGTGCAAATTTATCATAGTGAGCAACACGAAAGGCTTTTAACATTTAAATTGTAAATGGTATGTAGATGTGTAAGCATAGCACCTAAGTACCAATATATACATCTGCGTACACTCAAAACGTAATTGTGTACGATCGTTGTTGGCCAAGGCTTTATAATTGTATTTTGTTGCAACATAAAAAACAAAACAAAACGATGGCAGCAAGCATTGCGTTGCATTGTCCGCTGTGAGTTTCTAATTTTTTACATAAATATACCGCTAAATTGTTAAACCCCAGTTGTTAGGAATATTATATACACTTCATCCTGGCCTCCAGGCTTGAATGATTAGACCGAAGATTTTTGCAGTTGCATAGATTTACATACATACTTACGATTGCGGCTCAGTCCGCGGCATAAACTATATTATTGTTAGTGTCTAAGACGAAATATGTGCAATAAAACTCAAATGATCTTGTAATTGTATCTTTTAAATACTGGACAACGAAAAACATATCTATTCTATTTGAAATCGTATTCTAATGGGTTGTGTGACCGTATGAGAATGTTTTGAAGTTTTTTGTTTCAGTGCTGCCCATTTCAAGAGAGATTAACCGTTATTTATTTTATACCAGAGATGAGGCACTCGATCACTGCATCAATGATCACTGAATCACTGAACCAATTAAACATAATCCCGATCACATTATACCTTAATTAATGTATGTCTACATTAATTTAGTCAACATTTTAATTCTTGGCCAAAAGGACTTAAAAGCTGAATAAGAAGATTTTGAAACACTGTTCTTCTCTAATTATCGGGACTTTTAGAACACTGTCAATTTTTGTAAAAAGATTTATCTTCCATTCCTTCAATTCGCGACATTTTCAAGATTAAACTTTGTAAATCCAAGTCCTAAGAACTACTTCTGAGAATAAGGTGAAGGTGAGTAAGTATTTTTAAGAAAATATAGCACTAACCGAAGTATTCTACAAAAAAAAGGGGAACAAATTTACCCGGGTGGCAACAGTTTGTGCTTTGGCGGCAACCCTTGATTTTCCTGTCAGAAGCTGAATATAACTTTTAAGGAAAACATCTCATTTATTCCTCGGAGCTTGATCGAAAGGTTGTCCCTTTCACTTCTGCTGTCTGTGAAGATTCGATTTTCTAAAAAAACTCATCATGTCCTACTTATCAAGGTCCAGGCGAGGGTCGCATTCAAGTTCAAGTTCGAACTCGTCCGGTATATCTAACGGCCTTGCCGACGAGGAAGACAACTTCGATACTGAAAGCGTGACAAGTGAGGATAGCGAGAGCAGCGTGCTAAGCGAGGCGAGTGTAGAAAGCCGTGTCAGTGTGGAAAGCCAGGAGAGTGTAGAAAGCCAAAGCAGCGTGGAAAGCCAGGAGAGTGTAGAAAGCCTTTCCAGTGTGGAAAGCCAGTGCAGCGTGGAAAGCCAGCAGAGTGTAGAAAGCATGGAAAGCCAGGCTACCCAAGAAACAAGCGGATCTAGTCGGGAAAGCGTGTACAGCGAGTATAGCCTGAACTCTGAGTTGAGCTATGATAGCCCTCCAGAAGATGAGGCCGGCGCAGAGGAAACATCGAGCTCATCAGCTACTACCATTTCATTACCCACACAGCAAGCTCCTTCTACCAGTAGTAGCTCTGGCCCTGACCGTCAACAAGTAGCCGAGTCCTCGGAGGCTGCGGAATCCAGTCAGGAGGAAGGCAGGAACACTCCTCGGAATAGCGAGAGGAATGAGCCGAACGGAAACCTGTCCCCTGCGCGCCTCCAGCGCATCAACCGCTACTGCGATGATTGCATCGCCTGGATTGATTCCAACAACACAGGAGGGTCAGCGTCGGGAGCTCCAAATGTATTGCGTCACTTTCGCCGTACCAGGGAATCCACCTCGGTGGAGGTCTTTGTTCTATCTCCTATGGATATGATTCCTATTATTGATTGGATTCCTTATCCCACTGCCGACGTGGCCAGCGCATCAGCTCCACCGAGTCGACAGCATATTGATCCTGGTCCAACACCCACCACGAGCTCTACAAGACCGGATAGCAACGAGCTTTTGCCATCGCCACCGCCACCCAAGCGCATGTGTTACCATCCGGATCTGTACAAGTGCCCGGTGTGCCTGGATGTTGTGACCCATCGTGAGCCGGTCACCACTAAGTGCGGCCATGTCTTCTGCCGCATCTGCATCAAAACCGCCATTCGCACCATGCACAAATGTCCGATGTGCAACACGGCCCTAACCAATAATCAATATATGCGTATCTTCATATAACGTAGTCATATAAATTGATAGTCATCGAGCTTTGTATTGTATATATTTATATACTATGTCTAAAAACGATCGTTTGGCTATATGTACATCAAAACCAAGAACTGTAAAATGTGCGTGTGATTTGAAATTAAATAAATCCCTGCACTATTATAATATTTTTATTTTTTAAGTCATCTTCTGTTGAAAGTATAGTTGACTAAGTTATTTTTTATTTTGTGTGAAGAAGTATCTTAATTTAGTTTGAATATCACTTAATTTCAGTATAAAAACCATAAATGGGTGCCAGATTTTGATATCTGGTAGGCTGTGCCAATAAAATCATAATTGAAACTAGCATTCCCAATTTCTCGCTGTGTAGAGATAAGCAGAACATGATTGAAAGCAGCGGCGCTGCAATGAACTTGTCGCTGTTCTCGTTGCCCATCTATTGTCCGCTCATCTTCCTCACTTGGCGCTTGTTCCGCGAGAGAGCTTCGCTCGGTAGCTGTCAGTTAGTGGAGGAGGGTGTTTAATTGTGTTTGTGGCGTTGACATTGACACATGGGGATTAGCACCCAGCGAAGATGCATCTAAAATGGATTCTGGCCTTGGCCTTGCTGGAGGATCTTTATCTGGGCAGAGGAGAAGCTGCCGCTGGCCCTGACCTCGGGCACAAGCTGGCTGCTCACTTAGCTCCCAGTACGCCCTCCGAGGTTCAGGCTGAAGCTGCTAGGGCAGTGATTCGTCGACTGATCGGCCAGAAATCTGCCAAAAGGTTTCAAGTGGAGGTGGACAAGGGTCTGGAGCTGCGTAGCTTCAAGGTAAGTTGCTGATCCAAGCTTATAATATCGATTCCCCTTCCTTGATCTATCAAGAAACATGAGTACCAGTATGTTATCATACTTCCAAGTAAAATTTTCCATTATGCTGCTCCACTTAAGATTACTATCAGTGGCATAATTTTAGTGCAAATATTTATGGGCAGCCTCGATAGCAGCCCTCTAAAATGGGTAATTAAAAATATATTAAAATTATATTATTTAAATACTCATGTTTCTGGAATCTAGACCCTCATCATTTCCTCTATCCTTTCGCTCTAATCCTAATTATCCTCCTTAATCCCACAGATCACCAAGCTGGATAATGGCCGGATTTTGCTGACTGGCTGGGATGGTGTCTGCGCCTGCAAGGCCTTCCACTATTATTTGAAGTACTACCTCAACAAGGACGTCGACTGGTTCAAGATGCGCATCGAGCTTCCCGATAATCTGCGGCTACCCAATGCTACCATTGAGTCCAGCTCGGCAAGTCCGATCATCTACCACCAGAACGTGTGCACCTGGGGCTACAGCTTCGCCTGGTGGAGCTTCGAACAGTGGCGTCGTCATCTGGACTGGATGGCTCTGATGGGCATCAACCTATCCATAGCACCGATTCAGGAGGCCATCTGGGCGGAGGTGTATACGGAGATGGGTCTTAGTAGGGAGGAGATTGATGACCATTTGGCGGGACCTGCTTTCCAGGCCTGGCAGCGCATGGGAAATATTAGAGGATGGGCTGGACCCCTGAAACCGGAGTGGCGCCAGTTCCAGCTACTTCTGCAGCAGGAGATCCTGAGCGCCCAACGTAACCTAGGCATGAGTGTGGCCCTGCCTGCTTTTGCCGGCCATGTGCCCAGGGCCTTGAGCCGTTTGCATCCGAATACCAGCTTCACAGATGTCCAACGATGGAACCACTTCCCCGATCGCTACTGTTGTGGATTATTTGTGGAGCCCACAGAGCCGTTATTTCAAGAAATAGCCACCAGCTTCCTGCAACGTGTTGTGGCCATATATGGTTCCAATCACATCTTCTTCTGCGACCCCTTCAACGAACTGGAACCACCGGTGGCTAAGCCGGAGTACATGCGATCCACGGCGGCTGCAATACACAACTCCATGACGGCTGTCGATCCGGAGGCCATTTGGCTACTGCAGGGCTGGATGTTCGTGAAGAATCCATTCTGGACACCGGACATGGCGGAGGCCTTCCTTACGGCCGTGCCCCGCGGCAGAATCCTTGTGCTGGACCTCCAAAGCGAGCAGTTCCCGCAGTACGAGCTCACCCAATCCTACTTTGGCCAGCCGTTCATCTGGTGCATGCTGCACAATTTCGGTGGCACTTTGGGCATGTTTGGATCGGCTAAGCTGATCAATTCCGGGATCGAATCGGCACGGAGAATGCCCAACAGCAGTATTGTGGGCACGGGCATCACTCCCGAGGGAATTGGCCAAAACTACGTCGTGTACTCCTTAACGTTGGAGCGGGGCTGGAGTCGGAACTCTATTGACTTGGATAGTTGGTTTCGCCAGTACACCTTATCCCGCTACGGAGTCAAGGATGAGAGCCTGGAAAATGTCTGGTTGCTACTAAAGAATAGTGTTTACTCATTTCATGGACTTCAGAAGATGCGGGGGCAGTACATGGTCACCAGAAGACCTTCTTTCAACCATGATCCCTTCACTTGGTACAACGCCAGCGATGTTCTGGAAGCCTGGCATCTGCTACTCTCCGCCAGGGCCATTATACCGCTAGAGGACGACCGATACGATGTCTACGAGCATGATCTGGTGGACATTACCCGGCAGTTCCTGCAGATTACTGCAGATCAGTTGTATGTGAACCTTAAATCGTCCTTCAGAAAGCGTCAGGTGCCGCGTTTTGAGTTCCTCAGCTCCCGGCTGCTACAGTTGTTCGATGACTTGGAGCTGATCCTGTCAAGCGGAAGGAATTTCCTGCTGGGCAACTGGCTGGAGCAGGCCAAGCAAGTGGCGCCCCAACCCGAAGACCGCAAAAGCTTTGAGTTCAATGCCAGGAATCAGATCACTGCCTGGGGTCCGGATGGCCAGATACTGGACTACGCATGCAAGCAATGGTCGGGTCTGGTGAAGGACTACTACAAGCCACGGTGGTCTCTCTTCTTCGACGATGTGGGAGTGGCCCTGCACTCGCAGCGACCCTTCAATGGCTCCGCCTTCAAGCAAAAGGTCTCGCAGAGAATCGAACTACCTTTTAGCAACAAAACGGATATATATCCTACAGAGCCTATAGATAATGTCTGGTTTATATCGCACACAATCTTTGAGAGGTGGATGGGCTATACGAAGGACACTCAGTTTCTCCATAACAATCGGTTGGCAGTGCCTAGAAAGCCGGGTGTCTAATATTAATTTGTAATTCCTTAAATTTTAAAAATAACTGACAAATAAAAATTTAATAAAAAGCTCTGAGAGCAGACTTTAGATTTTATCTGAAGGATTTCCCCAAAATCAGGACCTTTTTGGATCCAACCATTAAATAAATACAAAACAAGTTTTAAATTATGCATCATACATCAATGTAGTTTTAATTGATTTTTATTTAAATTAATGTACAAACTAATTATGTAAAAATTTAAACATCATCATTAATACGCAATTTTGGGGTTATTTTTTTTGTTTTTCTTTTTTTTTTTTGTGTATCTGTGATCTGGGTATTTGCATTTAGTTCTATGTTCAATTTATATTTTTCGCTTATCTTGTTTGTTGCACAGAGTACAGGACTTGATCCTAGTAATGATGCAGTGTTTTTGTTGTTCATCTCCTCCTCATTATGTTCATCTTCATCATCATCATCATCCTCGTGTTAATGCTAAGTATTATGCAAACGGCTCTGCATACGCTTTACTTCCTTGATCTGTTAATGTCTACTACAAATAATTTTTACTTTAGGTTGGTTTTCCCCCTCCTATTGTTGTTGTTCTGAGAGGTGTGGGTGTGTGTTTGTTGTGTTTGTGTTTGTGTGTGTGTGTCTGTTCGCTCAAATATATATTCATTCATACTCTCGATAAATCTACAATTTTACTCATTTAAAAGTTCCAAACAAACATTATTTATAATTAGTACGATAAAGTTGTAATCTTTCGTATCGGTTACTACAAAATGTGGCGGGAGGCGGGGATCAGGGGATCAGGATCTGGCTGGGCACTAAATTTACGATGGTATGTCAAGGACAATGCGCAACAATATGTTAATCATATTAATGTATGTAATTGCGCAAGAATAACCATTATTTTCTCATTCACCATTAAACGCAACTATATCTGTTTAGGTATATGTGTATGCATGTGTGTGTGTGTGTGTGTGTAGGGTGGGTGTGTGGGTCTTGTGTGGGTGTATTTATATATATATAACGTACTTATATGCATTCAATCAAACAAACATTTATACTCTTTCTCGCTTGAGAAACACTCATACATCATCATCATCAACATCCTGGATCATTCTATCATAATCATTATTCTCAAGCATCGCTAGAAACTGCCCCTTACTCGTCCTGCATGTCCTCTGGCAGTTCGTGCGGATTCAACATGCCTGGAATTTGACGCTGCATCTGATGCTTGTTCGACTGCTCCTCGGCCAGGGCCGCTTCACGCTCCTCCAGATACAAATCGGAATCGTCTTCGCCGGTGGCCTCCTAAACGTCGCAATAGAATCTTTAAAATCTATTTTAAATAAATATCATCCATTGAATACTCACGCGAATCTGTATGAGAAAATCTCTCAAATGCTCCTTAAATGCTTGCACATTCTCGTCCAAATTAAACAGACCGGTAACAAAGACTTTTATCTGATTATCAGACAGATGATTGAAGGCCGATTTCAGCAGGGACGCGACATACTCCTGAATGAATATCATATTATCGGGTATCGGACCTAGGTCTACCGTTATCTTCCGGTTCTCCACCAGCGAGAACATGTACGCCAGAATAATGGCATGGTTCGGCAGTCCAGCTGTGTGAGAGGTGTCGGTGACCACAGAGAAGATTTGCATCAGAATGTCCGTAAAGTAGGTTTGATAGAAGCTTTGCGCCGCATCCGGATGCTGTTCCAGATTTTGCAGCATCTGTAATAGCAACCCAATACATATATTTGATTCGTTCCATTTATGAAATAGAAGTACTTACCTTGAAGAGGATATTCAATCCCATGTCGGCCACATTACGCATGGTGTGCTTAAATGCCCAAACCACAGAGTCAAAGACCAGTTTAAACTGGGCCGGCGGTATGTTCAGGAACGCCTTGAAGCAGTGCGCGTTAACCGCTTGGAGCAGCTCGTAGAAGCTGAGCCGATGCTGGGGGAAGTCCTCGAAGTTCTTGTTAATCATGTCCAGCGTGCACTCGAAGACGGCGTCGAAAATTTTTGGTACCTCATTGGTGATATGCTGTCGCAATTTATACACAATGGTAGCCATCGTACTCAGGACCTTGGGCTCTCGTGCCGATGGAACTTTACAGCGCTAAAATTATAAGAAATATATTTATTTTTAATGATTAGTTTATGAAAACATATAGCAGTTTATAGTATTGTTGTAGAGGACCTCACCTGATAGTCAAGCAATATAGCGTCCAGCAAGGGCGGTATAAAGTTATCCATCACCAACTGATTGTCATTGGATCGCGACACCCACTCGGATATCAAGTTGAGGGTCTCCTTCTTGACCACGTGCATGGTTTTGATCAGGGGCTGATTGTTCACATTAACACCATTCACTTCAATGGCCTGGATGATGTTCTCCGAGGTGATCTTGTAGACATTCAACATGTCCAAGTAGATTCGACCCAATTGAATAACGTATGCATGGCCCAAGGCCTTGCACGCAGCCACGTTCGTCTTGAGGATGCTTCCCAGCTGTTTCACTGCTGTCATGTTTTTCAGAAAATCGACGTTCTTCGAGGCTCGCGATATGATGTCGTCCCACACCTGGTTCGGGAGCTGCATATACCGCTCAATAAGGGCGTCCTGCTCTACCTGATATACCTGCGCGGAAATCATATATCCAACAGCCTCGTAAAATGTGTGAACCTATGAATTAAAAATTGGATTAGTACCATAGTACTATGCCTGATAGTTTGGAGAATGCTGATCTCACCTGCTGTGGCTGCAGATCACAGATGATGCTGCTCATTGTGCTGAGAATTTCATCGATGAAAGTGCATGCCTCGTTAGGCTGAATGGTGACAAAGTAGCGGCGGCACTTGATAGCAATCTTGATAAAGGTATCGCAGGCCATATCCTGGACACCGTCATGCGTCTCGTGCATAAATTCGAAGAGTTTGTTCACCACCGTCTTAAGGAATTTCCAGTGGGCGCGCAGGAAGCGCGGATACTGTCCCACCACATACATGATATTGGAGGCAATGATAGCCTTGTTGTCCTTGCCCTTCTTTTGTTCACATAGCCCCAATAAATCCTTGATGACGGTGACCAGAAACCGTTTTTCATCCTCCTCACAGAAAGCACCTAGGTACGTTTGGAATTAAAATAAATGGGTTTCACTGGCAAGAGTGCCGAATCTATGCTTACCGGATATAGAGCCTATAGCCCAGCACAACGTATTGAGGTTCTTCCAGGAGAACTCCGAGCCGTTAACCTGATTTAGCAGTTTCAATGTCATGATGCGGTCCGTGTCCACAGAGTCCAAATGAGTGAGAAAAACAAGCGTCTCGCGCATGTTCTTGTAAAGGTTGATCGAGTTTGTGTCCTTCATGAACTCACGGACGACCTCTCCGTTTTCATTCTCCACCACCAGCACTTCCTCCGGTTTGGCCATGCGCGAGATCATAATGAAGCGCACCTTGGAAAGAATTGGCGCATAAAAGCGGCGTCGGGGATAGACTTGTTGCCTCTTCGACGATTCCAGCGTGGGATGGAAGAACTCCGAGTTGTAGAGATCCTCCACCAGGCTGTTCCAGTACTCAAGACAGATCTTGAAAACCTCAACGTCCTCCACCTCGCTGATCATGACCAGATACATGAGCGCCTGATTCAGGTAGTCCACGTACTTGGCGTCCTCCACCAGCTTGCCGTGCTCCTTCAAAAAGGTGCACAGAAACATGGCCAGGTTGAGAACCAGCTCCTGCTCCGTGTCACTGCCGTGCTTGAACACATGGTTCATGTTCATATTTGGGCCGACGATCTGGTCCAGCTGCACCATCGTATCCTTGAAGAGCGTGGCGAAGTTCTCGTCATAATTGGTGGCCGTCAGACCGGCAATCTCCGACAGGCACTTCAGGGTCACGTTCCTGAACATGGGCACGCTGAGGAACTTGAAAATCAGCGTCTCGATCAGCGTCGTTTCGAAGATGTAGCCGAGTGGAATCCAGTTAAGGAAACGCAATAGCGTCTCCAGTGTCACGTGGATGAGGGCTGCGTTCATCGAGTTCTCCAGTACGAAGGAACAGAGCGTGAAAATCTGTGAGAACTCTGAGCACATGGTGTCCTTGAGGTGCTTAGCCTTTGTTTGCGTGATCTGACCCTGTGAGAAGTCAAACACTTCCTCGCTTAGATTCTTCAGGATAACCATGTTGTTCATGCAGAGACTCTCGTTTGTCTTTGACGCTCCGACAATGTCGCTGATAAAGGTCTCCCAGTTGCGGGGCCATTCACGCTTCAGGATCTGCACCAATATAATGTTCAATTTGTTCAAATAAACCTTGTTCTGCTCCATGACATTCGGATCGGAGGAGGTCTTGATGATCAGACTGACCACGTACTTCTTGATACCCTCACACTGGTTGCGCGGCAGCACCTTCCAGCGGGTTTTGATCACCTCCTCCAGAATTTGAAGCGCATAGAACTTTGTTTGCTGGTTCTGTGAGTACTCCAGTATACTGTCGACCCTGGTCCACGCTTCCGGATGCTCCTTTAATGTAGTGAGTATGTCCTGAGCTAAACGCAGTTGCTCCCCCTGCGCCGTGTACACCACCTCCACGATCTTATCCAACAGGTTGATGTCTAGCTTCTGCGTGAAGTCGAGCAGTTTGCTCGCCTCGTCCGACGTCAGCATCGTCGCCATCGCCATCGCTTTGTAGTAGAAGCGGCGTTCGCGTCTGCGTCGCTCGGCAGCTGTGTCCGCGTTAATCTTGGTAGCTTCTCGGCTTCCTCCTCCGGCTGAGCTGAGCTAAGCTGACTACGGATGTTATGAATCTCGATTTGGATTTGGCTCTGCGAGTGGCTACGGCTTGCGGTTCTTCTTCTTAAGCGTCTTCTTCTTGCTGTAATGACGGCGAGGAACGGAACGGCGGCTGCCGATCTGGATCTGGATCTGGTGCCGGGGCTGGAACTGGAGCTGAAAAAAACCAAAGGGCGCAAAATAGGACGTCAGTTATATTGCGTTTTTCGGCCTGCCAGGCAACCATATTCTTTTTTATTTTCCTATTTTCTTTTTTGGAACACTTTTACAACTACAAACGCATGCCTGCGCGCGCTTATACTTTTCGCACACTCACACAGACAGAGGACACACACACACACACACATACATAACACAAGCAAACGCATCGCCGCCGAGCTACTGCGGCGGCATTTCGCAATTATACCAAACTCCAATCCTCGCTTTCACTTTGTGGCCGTGCAAACGCCGACAATATTCGCGGATTTTAGTAATTCAGCTTACCTATTTCCGATTCCAGAAAAAAGCAGCGTGTAAAAACGACGACGACGGACAATGCGAAATGCAATTTGTGTGACAAGGTTGCCGTATTGTGATTAGCTTTGGTGCGTTATCCAGCACGATTGCGGCATGTGTCGCGTTGTATAGCACTGCTTTCAATGGAAATATATTTTGATTTCAATTATATTGAAATATTACATGATAATTTAGAAACAGTTAAACAATAAGCACAGTTATTTTTAATTCAGACCTTTTACAAATTTTTCCACTTATGAATTATAACATTGGTATAAAGTTGTATAGATCTGCTTTAAATGAAAATTTATGTTGATTTAAAAGTAACGTACAATAAAAGAAGACAATAAAATAAAGGTAACTGATTTCGAATACGGATCTTTTTTTAATTTTCCAGATAGATAACAAGCTTATTCAAAGATATTTTAAGTTTTTAAATTGTAAACAAAAACATATCGATAGTTTTCCTCCACTCGATTGCGCATTGAGGAGAGAAAATAAATAAAGCAACGGGCTCTCGCAATGTCTATTTATTTGTTATGTTTAACAACAAACGGCGGTTTGCCCGTGTTTACCAGAAAAAAGGGCGAATGCGACAATGTTAGTGTGATTTATTAAACCCACATTCCATTTAATTTATTGAAACATCTTCCCCAGCTTCCGTTTTCAACTGTTGCTTCTCTGAATGGCTTTCATATGTTCTTCAAGTCGTTGGGAATCCAACTGGAGGGCACGAGCACTACAAAGCCACCACCTCAGAATCAGGGTCAAGTCGAAGCTGAAGAGTGGACGTACATTTGGAGGGATCATAACGCAGTCACCCTGATTGTCTGTGGCAGCGGACTTGGATCGGAGCAGGTGCTCCAGACCTTAGCCGATCTGGTTTTTGGAGCAATATCTATGTTCATCACTCGTACTGCAGATATGGCTCATGCTGCTTTACTCGATCGGTTAAAGAAAGATGCCAAGAAATACGTACCTATTGTGGATGCAATTTTGGAGGCAGCATGTGTCGGCACACAGCTTCTCGGCTACACCGATTGTTTGTTGGCTGCAGAGAACGCGCCACTCCTGCAGAGCCTTAACGAATTCAGTGGACACTGTGGCTCCTTATTTTGCTGCCTGGTGGTGGGTCATCGCATCGCTGTAGCCACGGAGGGATGGTGGGATCTGGATACTAGAGATCGGGAGCTGTTGCTTTTTCTTCTGAACTCTTCCAGCAGTTTGCAGCATGATGTGCCTGTTTACTTGCCTGTAAAAAGCCCCAATATAGCGTACAGATTTGTGAGCATACCTGTGGCGCCTAACAGCGCCGTGTGCGTTTTATGCGGGGCGGAGAATGCCTCGTTTCGGGAGTTGCATGCGCATGCCATGAATGTGTACCGCAACGAGGGGAATCTGCTGGCCGCGGCAGAACGATGCATGCCTAGGAGCCTGCCGGAACACCTGGATATTGATGGCAATGTTCTGGCCATCATACTGATTAATCGACAAACGCGAAAGAGTCTTTTCACGAGAAACCTCAATCAAGCCGCGAGCGCCAAGCGTATTATCGTGGGCGAACTTCAGCGACTGGATATATTGAAGAAATTCTTCGACCAGACTATGGAGGCAGTTCACATGTTTGAGGCACAAAGCTCGAGCAACAAAGCTGCTCTTTTGGATCAGTATAGCTGCACGGACTACCACAAGTGTTATGCTACCGCTGATGACAATGGCAATGTCCTGTTTCTCCTGTTTGTAGCAGCCGTGCCCACGCATGCAATGAAGTATAAAATTCGCAATCAGCTTAAGAGTAACTGACCTTTCTAATTATATATTTTTTTTTAGGTTTCTGGCCCAACGAATCCACGGAAGTATTCTTCAAGAAAAGTCTGTGTGCTGGTGAACCAGACGTATTTTATTTTTATTTCCGCAAGACTGATATTATTTTAAACAACTTGGGATAAGGGAAAACCAGACTCTTTTTTTAGAGTTATACTTTTTAAGATACATCCGTCCATTTTTAGCTATACATAACCAAACTTAATACATTCATATTTTTAAGTTTTATATTTACAATAAAAAAAAAACTTCCATTAGGATAATACTTAAATAATTAACATGATTATTTCATTTTCAAACGTTTCAAATAGAAAAGTCTTTACCCTACAACAACATTGAGAGGTTGGCAAAACACCAGTTGATTGTTCCTCAATTGGAGAGGTTTGTTTTTGGGATCCAAATAGAATTGCAGTGTAGATCCAACAGTAACACCTGCCAAGCTAGATGGCAGTAGAATATTAAAGTTGTTTCCACTGTTTGTACCATTCACAGGTTCAACTAAGACCATTGAAAGGCCATGTTCCTGGGATATGTCTAGCACTGTTACCTTGTGAGTCGGATTCATTGTTTTCATATGTCGCTGACCCATGCGAACATTCTTTACCATTTTCACAAACTCATCAGCGAATCCTCCTTTAATGACGCGGCTTTGGAGTTTCGGAGTAGACTTCTTTTGGCTTGAAGGAATGTAGTGAGACGGGGATTGATCAGGAACTAGTTGGGTTATTGGCGAAGAATCAATGAAACTATCTTCGGATAAGTCCGAGCAGTTTGATTCGTTCAGCGATGCATTCAGTGATGTATTCATCAACTCTGTCCAAATCTGAGATGTCTTGAAAGAGCTGGTTAATTTTTTCGGCAATTTATCAGTGGTTGATGCTAATTTTGGGGACTTGGGGAATCTAGTATAGGTCTGGTGAATAGGTAATGCCTTGGCCCGACGCTTCATTCCTGGCCAACTGGTATTAAGTAGCTGCGTGGACGTGGAAGTGGCAGTGTCCTCTTCGGCATCCAGTTGGGTAACGCAGATTCTGGATGTTTTTAAAGTTTTCCAGGAATTCTTAAACCTTGATGGGGTACGATTGTACTGGATGGGCTCCACCAAGACCTTTCTTCCTGGCGAGCTGGAATCATTGCAGATATCGGTAATCCGAGCTTCCTTGATCCTTGTTGAGCCAACTTCCAGATCGTCCTGGCCGCCACCCGATCGAAAACAGAGTTTTCGTTTCGAGCTCATTATTTGAATTATAATTTGAATTTGGGCAACTACATTTCAGAGAAGTATTGTTAGAGTTCCGTTCACTCTGAGTTCTTGGTTGATTTGTTTCGTAGTTGCGGATCAAGTTATAAATATTTTAATATTTCTTTATTTCGAGTTCGCTCCGATACTCCGATAGGTACCGATTTCTCGGAGCAGTCGGTTTTTAGTGTTGGTAAGGGCGTAAATGCGCGCAAAGAGGTACAAGATTCAAAATCTCCCATTCACAAAGTTTAAATCAGTCTGCTTAAATCAGAAATAATTTTTTGCCCGGGTATATGGGGTCATCTAGTCTAAATAGTGCACTATTTCCATTTTTCAAACGAAATCTTATAATCGATTGTGGATTCTAATTTAATAAAAAATTATATTAAACCTCATTTTTATAATTATTTAATAATTTGTTTATAATGGCATATTTATGTAGTGTGTAGAATTGGTTCGCTATCAGTAGTTCAAAGGGGCATCAAGCTCCTCGACAGATCGTCGTTTGCGTTTTCCCACAATCGTGCCCAGACCAGAAACCGTGCCCAACTGGAGAAGAAGAGGATTGCTTACTAGGGCAGCCGCTATTCCCAAAACCGCAGCACTAGCCAGTGGAATTAAAAAGCTTTTGGCTAGGAGGGCTTTAGATGGCAGCTCAGCGTGACCCGGTCCTTTATGGGCGGCTAGTTCGTGGTGTTCCAGTGGGTACGGATATGCATACTCTGCGTGGGAAAAATGACCATGGCCCAGGTTGTGGCCCGGGCGTGATCCATAGACGTCAAAAGGAATACCAGCCTCTATACTCGAGCTACCATAATAGGCACCACTTCCTGCTCCGAATCCTGCGGCTCCGATTCCAGCTTCAGCTCCATGACCATGGGAAAACTCATAGGGATACGGATGAGAGTTGCTCTCAAAGCTGCCCACGGGCGGGGCGTGCGATGGGGCTTCCCCTGAGCTAGCGTAGTGACCTGGTTGTTGGATTTAGGCATATCATTAGGTTTAGATTAATCAATATTTTGTATATTTTGTTAAGAACTTAAGTAGGTCTTAACTTAAGTGATTAACATACAAACTTTATTTATAAACAACTAGCTTTAATCAATGAATTTGATGAATTCCCGTGAACCTCACGGGTACGTTTGCACCTTATTAATATGTTACATTATCTGCTATTGTGTCACTTTGAGGGAACCCCATTTAACTGATAAGTTCCCTATCAAAAGATTAACTTACCCACACTGATACGTTGTTGGACACCCGCACCGCCAAGACCGCGCCACTTTTTATACGTTTCACTTAGACTTTCACCGACACTGCCTAGGGAAGGATGTCCGTTGGTTCCGCTCAAAGGACTAGTTTCCAGGCCATCTACCGATTCTGGTCCTCTGTAGAATTCGGGGGGCGGGTCTAAGCTTTTTCCGGTGGCCGAACTGGACAGATCGAGATGGTTTCCTGACCTACCGGTCTCCCCTTCATCGCCAGTGGTGTTTTGGACCAGAGCTACACTAAGTCCTAGGCTCAAAACCAAAGCCTGAAGCTTCTGCCTGTTGGTGAACATTATGACTAAGCTCGGCAGCCATAATGTCATCGACTTTATAACAAAATTGGAGGGATTTAAAAAGACTGGCGACAAATTGTAGAGCTGCAATTTCTGGCGGGGATTCTGCTTGGCTGCCTCCATCAGTTGCGCCATCGCGTGGGGAATTTCACTTTTCTTGAGACATTTCGTCCAATCCCATCTAGTCGCTTCTATTTGGAAATGGTTAACTTAACTTGACTTCACATTAGCGAACGATAAGTTCATAATAATCCATTATACTTGCAGCGTAATAGATATAGTAGCTCGTATAATTTTCAGCTTTAGATTTTAAATATAATAGTTTAATTTTTTTGTTTTCTAGGCCTATGAAATGTATAATTTTTGTTATTTAAGTAAGATAAAAATCTAAATAAATCTTTAAACTTTTATAAGGGAAGTTGCATCGAGTTGCAATCTGCAATCATTTAATATTAGGTAAAATTTATTACTATATAGATCTTAATAATACAATTTCCACTAAGTTAATATAGTTAAACATTGTTTATAAATATGTAGAAAATATTTTCAGATTAATGATAAAAAACAAAAAGCAATATTTTCAGCATATTGCCGAAATGATTGCAATTCGCAGCCCGCAGGCAAGAATTGTTGGGAAATTATCGCCGTGCCGGATGGTTGACTGCAACAAAACGGCAGGAGATGGAAAACATGAACAATTTATTAATGTCTGTCCAATTTAGAAGGGGAGATGCAAAACGAGCTGCTGAAATGGCAGCTACTAATGTCTTATGTTTCCGGCAGACGCGATCCGATTGCAAAAAAAAACTGCTTGTCGCTGAAACGTGTCGCCTTATCGCACCTTTTTCTACTCGGAATTGCGTAGGCATTTCTTGGTATTTTGCTATCTCCTATCTCCTAAAAATATGAAATATTTTTCTACATGTATCACACGACTATATGCGATCTGCTGTAATCGAGCAACCGGTTCTAAATCACTATAACTTTTAACACAATCTTAAGCCAATTGGTAATAAATCTTATCAGGATGTCTTTTTTTATGACCTTCTGGCAAGCACAAATATAGACAGACTATTAATTGAAGGCAGTTTTATGTTAGGTTTCATTTGTTGTAATTTATTTTAAACCGATTTATCTTGACTATTAAACTATTTCCTCATAAACTACATGTTTGGATCGACTGACTTGAACTTATGTTGGACGCTATAGGTTTGGTCTTCTGGGGTAGGTTGCTGGGAACTATTGGCTTTAGTATATTGAAATGTGTGACAACTTATTTGGGATGTTGGGAATCCGGTAGGAGTCCTGACCCATGAAGCTGGACCTGAAGAACGGTATATGGGCGCTGGGTTTGTGGCTGTCTTCCTTTTGGCTTTACTGGAGAAATGCCTACATTTTTGTTTCCCTGTCGAAGAAGGTTTATCGACACAGCAATTGGCAAATGAAACCGACTTTTTAGGAGCCTTTTTTGAGAATGACTTCTTAAGACTCGAATGTACCGAAGGTGATTTTCCGGAAGAGACCTTGTTAGAGGAGGAGTTTCCAGGTAGATCTTCAGAATGTGGGCTTGAGACATCTATATTTCTTTTCTTATCATGGATCGTCGATGAACCAGATGCGATTCGAGATTTTTCTTCATTTTCTTCATCCTGGGAACTTTCTTGCCCTGAATCATCTACTTTACTATTTGTTTTGTTAAATAATGATACGGTACTATCATTATTAGTTTTAAGTAATTTGAGAGGTGCGATCCTCTCAACCTGAACGCTTCTTTCCGATTCCGATGGATCGACGAAATGCTCCATGGAACTTTCATGGGAGCGTTGAATTGGATATAATTTTGTTTTGGCATGATCCGAATGAGAATCAGCGGCCAGGTGAAGGTTTCGGGGACTCCCATCTTGATGGGTGTCTTCTATAATCCTTGATATGGACAGAGGGTAAACTATTTTTGCATCTTCCGATACCGCTTTAGGCGAATCATTTTGGTCAGGTTTGGATGGAGAAACTTCGGGAACCCCATTGTTGGCCTGATTTTCATTTTGAATGGGACTGGAAGTTGGGGAATTGTTGCCAGAGTCTATATCATCTGTATTTGGAAATAAATATGTTGGTCGTGGAGTTTTTGGATACTCGCGAGATACCATTGAAAGCACCTCTTCGTCTATTTTACTTTCGTTCACAACAGGTTCATCCAAATATCGAATCGAACTTGTCTCCTCGCCCATAGCCTCATCCTCACTTTTTATTTTTTCAGCACTTCATTTGGATTCTTATTTTCATCGATTGAATCGGTGTTATTTTGGTTCTCCACATTTATGAGCTTTTCATCGTCAACAGCCCTCATATCCTCAGGTTCATTTTCAGGACTCTGCTCTGCATCTGCATCAATAGACTCTACATCGCCAGGATCGGAAGGAATATAGTCATGTATTAGCCGATTATGGAAACTGGCTTTTAGCTTGGGCGATGAGAGATTACTTTGGTCGTTAGATTTATCCGCAGATTTATCCGTGTCTATACCCATCGTCTTTTTCTGAGCGGCTTCCACGGCTACCGCTGCCGCTGCCACCATCGCTTTTCCCAAAGACTCGCATATCACCTTCAGGGCTGCCAGGTTAGGCAGTTCAGTGCCAGCCGCGCCAGCTTCTGTAGTATTGGTACCCTGATCCCGGTAGCCTTCATCCCCGGGCTCAGCCACTGGTGTCTGTTCGCGGTGACTGTTATTGAGAGTTTCCGGCTGCTCCTCCAATACCTCCTGTTGCGGGACTGTATTGCGTTGACAGGAGCACTGGCAGAAGCACCTCCTTGGGAGTCGAGCTTCGTCCTCGGTTGGGTATCGCCGTACTCCTGGACGAGGCCCAGGAGCCATCGGGTAGGTCCTCGCTGGTATAAATGAAGGCAACGGAGCCTGGGAATAGTTCTGACCACGACACTGGGTACAGCAGTTTCTTGGACTTCTGTTAGGACTTTGAGCCCTCATCTGTTTGGGAGGAGCTGCCATATCAGGTGCTCCTGGAATTCTTGTCCTATCTGGAACGCCTCTCTGAGCCGGTCCGGCTTGTGGGTCCGTGGGTCCAAAGTAAAGAGGTATCGCCTGAACAGAGTATGGCGTGGCCTGCCTGTTACTGTTATAGGGAATTGTCACCAGCTGGATAACAATGGTATTGGGTTGATCTTGACCAACATTGTCCTCGGCCTGAGGTGGGACCTTCGACTCCATGACTGAGAATTTTGTCACATCACTGTGATTGTGATGAGATTTAAGAAAATGTCGGTTTAAGGGGCCCATCCACAGGCGAGCATGTTCGACGAACATGTTCGCCTACTTCAATTTCATTTTCCCCACTAACTAGAGACAACATTCGTGCGAACATCATTTTTCGATAAATTTTCAAACTATCAATATATCAACGGACAACTATAGCGGCACTCTAATTGCACTTATGGCAATAAGTATTTGCCATAAATAATATTGCAAAATAATATGGCACTTTTTATTCATTTTTCTCTACCAAAACGTTTTTTCAAACTGACGTTCGTGCCAACATTGCCATCCATTTACGAACATGTTGTTGCAAACGTTGTCAAAATAGAAATATTTCAATTCCATTCGAACATTTTGACGAACACAAAATTTGACAACGAACACTACCATCCACAGGAAAAATTTCGTCGAGCACAACATGTTCGTCGAACATGCTCGCCTGTGGATGGGCCCCTTTATTGACAAATCTCTTTTCAAAGCTTGATCACTATTTCAGAGGTTTCTCTTATATACAAAAACGAATCTTACTACCGTACTCTTGACCAGAATAATAAAATTGTAAATATCCTGCAATTGCGTCAACTGGAACTTGTGGGACTTTGGAAGTGCGGGGATCTATCAATACGGTAGCGATACACGACATGATTATTTTTAAACGATTTCATGTTACTGCCAAAATAGAAAATTGCAAGGTTCCGTAGTAGGTTGGCAGAGATAACCGATACAACCAGAAGTCCGTATCAGTGGAAGGCTTGGGTATATAAGGTTCGCCAATTGGCCAAGAACGACACACACTTCTCCAGTAGCAGTCAACCAACTCAGCCATGAAAGCCAGTAAGTTCTCTTCGGGATTCCTACACTCTCAATGTACATATTTTAATGATTTTATTCTCCATCCATAGGCCTAGTCCTGTTGTGCCTTGCCCTTTTCGTGGCCGTCGTCCTGGCCTGCGATCCCGATGGCAATAATCAGCCCATCTGCAACAGCACCCTCGTGGGAAAGAAAATTCGCAACTTCTGGGATCCCACACGCTATTGGACATGTGAAACTGATTCTGGAAATGGTACCGCTGTACGCTGCCCAGAAGTAACTGGATTCCTAGCGAGTGCAAATGACTGCGTTGATTGGTCCGTATGGACTTGGGTTGCTCCTTGCTCTGAAAACTGATTTAATAAATAAATATTAAATGCAAAATATATTTGAAAAGTGTTTGTGTCAAAATAACTTCATGGTTAGGGAATCATGGGAAAGTTATGGTTTTGTTTAATATATTATTAACTTTTTAAAAAATTCATTTTTTCGCAATGATTAAGAAACTATAAAACTTTGTATAATGTAATATTATAATATAATATAATATAATGTAATAATAGCCATAATAGCCATTTTATAAAAGTGTAAAATATCAATAGGCTTAACTAAAATAACTTAAAAAATTGTTAAGACCAAAACCTAATCTCAACATAAAATGAGATATAGGCTTTCTTCTCAAAGTTGATATCTACTTATTATTTATGCCGTTTAGATAGAGGTGTCTTTAATGACAGAGTTTAAGATTATTATAAGATTAAGATTATAAAGATTATTAAGATTAAGATTAAGATTATTATATATGCCCTTGCAGAGGGCATTATAATTTTGATCAAAAGTGTGCAATGCAGCGAAGGAGACATCTCCGACATTATAAAGTATATATATTCTTGATCACGATAATTAATATAAGCATAAAATAGTCTCTCAGTTTTAAAGCTATCGACTTGAAACTTTACAATGTATGTATACCCTTTCCTTTTCTTTCCTTTGCTCGCAGTATATAAGTCGGATCGGCCGACTATATCCTATAGCTGCCCTATAAGTAATTAATCAAAAATACCATAGCCTCAGCATTATACAGTTAGAGTTTTGGGTTTTTTATGGATTCAACTTTTGGGAAAATAATACGACATACGAACTTTCATAAGTATCCTATAGGGGAAAACCCCTTTTCAAGGGATCCAATCACGAAAAATGGACAAAAAATCTAAAAAATATTTTGTCTCAGGATTTTGATGCAGAATGGTGAAGAATCGGCCCAGCAATCGTTTAAGGTACTCTGCTTGAGGATCGGATGAGAATTGGGGAAGATAAAGCCATCACTGTAGGGCCTGTAGGGAAAAGCCCCATTTTCAAGGGATCCCCTCATGAAAAATGGACAAAAAATCTAAAAAATATTTTGTCTCAGGATTTTGATGCAGAATGGTCGAGAATCAATCTAGAAATTGTTTAAGGTACTCTGCTTGAGAATCGGATGAGGAATGTGGAAGATATAGCCATTACTGTAGGCCCTGTAGGGAAAACCCCATTTTCAAGGGATCCCCTCATGAAAAATAGACAAAAAATCTAAAAAATATTTTGTCTCAGGATTTTGATGCAGAATGGTGAAGAATTGGCCCAGAAATCGTTTAAGGTACTCCGCTTGAGAATCGGATGAGAATTGTGGAAGATAAAGCCATCACTGTAGGGCCTGTAGGGAAAAACCCCATTTTCAAGGGATACCCTCATGAAAAATGGACAAAAAATTTTAAAAATATTTTGTCTCAGGATTTTGATGCAGAATGGTGGAGAATCGATCTAGAAATTGTTTAAGGTACTCTGCTTGAGAATCGGATGAGAAATGTGGAAGATATAGCCATCACTGTAGGCCCTGTAGGGAAAAACCCCATTTTCAAGAGATCCAATCACGAAAAATGGACAAAAAATCTAAAAAATATTTTGTCTCAGGATTTTGATGCAGAATGGTGAAGAATTGGCCCAGAAATCGTTTAAGGTACTCCGCTTGAGAATCGGATGAGAATTGTGGAAGATAAAGCCATCACTGTAGGGCCTGTAGGGAAAAACCCCATTTTCAAGGGATCCCCTCATGAAAAATGGACAAAAAATTTTAAAAATATTTTGTCTCAGGATTTTGATGCAGAATGGTGGAGAATCGATCTAGAAATTGTTTAAGATACTCCGCTTGCGAATCGGATGAGAATTGTGGAAGATATGGCCATCCCTGTGGACCCTATATAGGAAAACCCCATTTTCAAGAGATCCAATCACGAAAAATGGACAAAAAATCTAATTAATATTTTGTCTTAGGATTTTTGTCGGTCCACAAATCTTTTAAGGTAAAGTACCTTAAAGTACCTTATATTCAAACCGGAACAAGTATTTTAATCTCTGTAGATTGGAGTTCCCTGACACCCCATGATAGTCATTAATAATTCAGGATTCATTGACGCAAAATTCTTAAATTTTCCCCGATTTGTTGTTTCTGTTTTTTTGGTATATCTGATTGAGTTTAGTCTAGGATATGAGGCTGCTAAGCGGAGTGCCACCCGAACTGCCCGTTGCCAAGTGGTACCGAGGACTGTCCCCGATCCAAATACAGGCTGCCAACGATTTGGCGGATGCGGCCCAATTCGATTTGGAAGTGAACGACAGTGAACGCACCCGGAACTGCCTGCTGCGCTTGGGTATCCGTCCGATGCCCAGACGTGGTCAACTAACTCGGATCGTGAAGATCAGCCGTGCCCAGAGTCTGGCTCTGCTGTTTTTCCTATTTCAACAGCATTACAATATCGACAAATTATGCAGAAAATATTCGGTGAATGGGCAACTATTGCTCTCGGCCATTGCTTACTTGGACCTTCCGACCACATTCAAGGCCCTGGACAAGATCCTTCCGCTCCCTGAGAAAAATTCTATAAAAAAGGAAGTAGTAGTTACCCAAAAGTCAGTTCCTGAGCGAAGAATCCTTGGGCCAATTGGTGGAAATATGTCTCCATACTTTCAGAAGCAACCGCGCCCGAAAATTGATCGCCAGGATAAGCGTTTTGTGACAAAGCCTCCACCCTTCACGGTGGAGATACCAAATGAAAATCCAGATACTAAGGAGGATGACAAGCGTTGGTTTTCCGACTACAAGCTGCAACCTTTCTATCGGCACATAAAAGCGACTATAAATTCAGAACTTTGCAGGCTTTTCGATAAGTTAGACAATGCTTCGCAGCATTCTGTTAAAGGATCGAACTCACAGGAACTTTGCCAGTTCCATGAGGAGGCCAGATCCTTGGAACGTCAAGCCTTTCTAGTTGATCAGCGGAAGCGCTACCTGGAAATGGTCGATGTGGGTGCTAGAGAAAAGCGGGTATGTCTGGGTTTTTAAAATAATTTCAAATTTCTAATTTATTTTTTAAATTTTCTTCCAAGTAAAGCTTACGAGAGATCGGATTATTAAGCACCTGAATCGCGATGTGGATGAGTACTTGAAAAAGTTTGGGGACAAAGGCTGGAGCCCAGGATTGCCGGCTATAAGGAAAGTCGGATGCCTGGCCTGCAGGGGATTGGTCCATATCAGTCTGGAGTCCCCGCCAAAAGTGCTTTGCATGTCAGGCGAACGGACCAGGCTGTATGAATCGAATGGCCCCCAGTTTCGACTTTGCGGTGGTGGAGTTTCCAAAAGCCCATCGCTGCAGCAACCCAAAGAGCCATTGACGAGCTACTTCCGGTCTCCGAAACTCCATGTTCCCTATGTTTTCAATTATTCTCAAATTTTTGAAAGTGAAAAATCGAAAACTTTGGGCACTAGCGAAATCATTGAAAGGGAAGTGGTGAAAAGCCTGGTCAGGAGTGACGATGATGAACAGATTGGCGACCATGTCTCCCAACCGAAGAAAAAAATGCATAGGAGTCGCTCTAAGCTCGCCTCCAAATCGCCTTATAGAAGCCACATAAACCAGTCTTCCAGCTCCAATCAAAGCAGCCAAATTCATCAGGACTCGGATCGAAGTATCGGCATTGACCAAGAGTCTCATCCAGATGGAAGAAACCACATTAAGCAGTTTCCCAATCCCATTAGGAGGGAATACATTGACCAGGCCCTGTGCCGATGTGTACGGAGAATCTTTGAGAAGAGTTGGCTCGTGGCGAACACTGCTACCAAGAAGCCCGAAGAGAATTGCCATTCTTATCCGGTAAACAAGGTTATAGACCCTGATGATGACAAGCTCATGGACCAGATGTTAGGTGATGCTTTCCAGGTAAGTTTTTAAGTTTTGAAACGAAGCTAATTTATTCGAATTCGTTACTTGCAGACCCTGCGTCAGGATAAGGAGCTAGTGCTAGCTAGTCTTCCCGACGCCCACCAGATTCCAGAGATGCGGGAGTGGATTAAGCGGCGATTTGGAAAACAATACGGACTGCAGTCCAAGAAGGTGCATATCAACACCAGCATTAAAATGTTACAGAATTTGGACTTGATCGATGAGCTTCGCAAACTAAGTGCCATAATAGATCCGCTGCTTATTCAGTACGCGCCCATGTCATTTGGGATGTACCACAAGATAACCAAGTCGGCCAAGGTGTTCAAGGAGAAGGTTCGTGAGGATGTGCTTCAGTTAATGCTGAACCGTACCCGAGACTGCTGGCAGGAGCTACATGGTCTTCGAGCAAAGAACCAGAGCACTCTCCGCGAGATATTCTTCACTTATATGCCCAGCAGTCCCCGTGACGGTGGGCCTACTCTTAGTCCCTATTTCACAGTTAACCCCCGAGAAGACCCAACGAAAAACCGATTTTTAAAAGGATTCATTGAAGCTAAAGTCTAGATTCTAGACCAATTCAATGGACAATTGAGTGAAATTCATTCAAATGTCCATTGGATTGGCCAAGAACTTAAATCTTTCAGATCAAAATAGTCTTAATTTAAAAACTATGATGTGGTATTAGTTTTATTCGCCGACTAGGATAAACATTTTACTTAAAATGGATATTTTCATGCAGAAACCTAACCATGAAAGTTCCCATTTTAATAAGATTGTTTTAATATACAAATAAATTGTTAAAAAATAAAACAAAACTATGGAGTATGATTTATATTTAAAGAATTCAGTGAAAGTAAACAAAAGACAGCACATTCTTCGCTATTTCAATCATCTATGTATGTGGTTTTTATAACTAATTTAAAACTGAATAATAAAAAAAAATAAATTTAGATATGATTAGTTATAAAAAAAAACTGGTGGACGGCTTTGTCTAGTGCCCAGCCGACCGTTTATGTGTTCCATCCTTGTCTAGGGGAGTGCTAACTTGCTCTCCTTTCAAACAACACAGGTAGGTGGGTTACTCGCCTCAATATATACACTCGCTGTGCTGAATAACGAGTTGGGAATTATAAGAAAACGACAATCTATCTATTTTGACTTTATTTCATATTTTTAATGGGACTTACCATGGTCAATATTTGTTTAATAATTAATATAACTTTATATTCGTCTTCACTAACATTGACACTGAAAATAATCGGTTTGACTTCCCGTTTTGGTTTACCTGCAACGTGACCACTGTCGACCACTCCACAAGGGCCTACTGTGACCCAGTCATTAACCGAAATTTTTGGGATGTTTATTAATCCCAACCACGTATTAGTGGTAGAGCCAGGCATATAAAAAGACATGCTCCGAGTTACAACTTATCAATCATCCACAGTTCAATCAGCAGTTCATATCCACCATGTGCGGAACCATTAAGACTTCGTGTTTCCTTCTTATGCTGATCCTGGCACTTGGTGGGATTGCGGCTCAGCCAACCAAGTCAGGAAAACGCCTGCAGAAGCAAGAGGTTGCTCCATATCCATCCGCCGAGGAGCTTAAACCTGAAATCCCCTTCGAAGAAGGAGTGCCAGATGAGACCTACGGACCTCCGGATCTAACCTATGGACCACCACCCACTTATGCCGTGGAGCAACTGCCCAGTGACGAAGAGCCACAGGATTTTACTCCCGATCCGGACGCTGAAGAAGTTCAGCCCGTGGAACAGCAACCGGCTCGCCTAACCAAGCAACTGAAACGTCGGCCACAGTCCCAAGGATTGGTGCTCCTGTCGGCGAATAGCAATGGTGTTCCCCTTCAAGTGGCAATTCAACCTTTGTGGTAAAAAAATACCTTAAAAAACAGGCGTGATATGGATTTTTATAAACATTACATTAATTATTGTCTTTTGTTACTCGATAAACAATTAAAGAACATTTGTTGATACATCGAATTAGATGTAAAAATATATATACACACGTATCAGAGGTCGAGATGGGGCTTCCAATAAGTGTATAAGGAGTATATAATATTCATAATTACAAATACAAGAACGATAAAAGTATGCAGATAACTTTAGCTAACATCGGTATTTGGGATATTCTTTGCCATTGCTTTGGAATGATCTGCCCTGACCCCTAGTCTACATAGTAGTAAAATCTAAACAATAATTTATTTAAGAATACTACGCAAAATCACGTTTGGCATTGTGCGGTCCTCGAGTTAACACAGAATGAATCTTCAACTCACATACTAATCCAAAAACATAACGTACAACTTTCTACTTAAAATGCTAGTTATTGTCTGGTACAAATTGCAGCTAATCGAACGTAAAAAAAAATGCAACCTATTCGACAAGTAATAATTTAAACTATTGAGCACCGCCACTGAAAAGAACCAGCTTGGAACAGGGAAAACTAAATAAAGCCTTCATCATAAATTCGCACACATATTTGTAGGCAGAATAAGCCGTCCTGTATGTTCGTTTGTCTTCGTTTCGATCTTAGTCTGTATGTTTCTTGAAGATGTCCAATAAACTGACCCAAGTGCCAAAAACAAACCCACAAAGGCCAAAAACCATAATGGCAATGTCCTTCCACAGCATCCATTTATATCGGCCGTATCCAACGTTATAAAAGGTAAATATTTCGATTATTGGCGGTGCAATAAGCGCCAATGCTGAACTGCTCACGGCACCCACCAGAGAAATAATAGCGCCCAGATTCGGAATGCAGGTGGCCAGCAGGACTGTAAAAGAAGAAATATTATAGGGTACATGTTATCTAATTTGCTTACATATATACTTACAGGTAAAGGTGACAAGGATGATCCGCAGGAGCGTTGCAGCCATGTTCTTGCCTCGCTGAGTATCAAAGTGGCTGCACACAAAAGGCTCTACAATATTGACGGGAACGTAAAACTGAAGCGTATACGACAGGAAGATGGCCACTGCCATCATTATTTTCACCAACTGAGACAGACTGTAAAATAAATATTGTTATTTTTAATTTAAAATATTAAATTTTTAAAGCTTACGTATCGCCTTGAGGCAAATTCAGGGTAATGCTGCCCTTAACTGCATCGCCATATTTCAGGTAGCCGAAGAAACCTACTGAGGTGTAGAGGCATGCCACAATAACCATTCCCGTGTTAAGTACACCAGTAGGTCCGCTGAAGTCCTCTGGTGTTCGCATATTGTTCTCCAGCGGTAGCACAACGCCGATTCCCTCAAAAGCATAGATCGCTGTCCCAAAGTAGAGCGGCAGCGTGGCCCAACTGGCGAACGGCTTGACGGTGTGCACATCGGGCAAATCGTGGAGCATATACGAGAAGGTAATGGCCAGCCCAACCACCGTCAGAATGGAGGCTATGAGCGAAACAGGCGTCAGGTACTTGAGGTTCCTCACCAAGTTGAGCACAATCATGGGCATCAGTAAGAGCACCAAGTATATTCGGTAATTAATCACGTAGTAGTGGTCAATAACATCCTTGAGGTTTAGAGCCACAAAAAGGAAATAGACGCAACAAAAACCGATCTGGGTTATGAAAAGGAACGTGGTGATAATTCGCCTGGCCAGTGACGAATACCGTCTCAGACCGATCGGCCCAGTTTCAAAGCTGCTGTAGGCCACCTCAGAGAAGTCTAGGGAAGGTTTCTGAAGTCGCCGACACAGCTCGTGGGAGCAGTTCACCAGCATGTGCATACAGTGGGTGCAGATGGCTCCCATTATCATGGTGCCAACGAGGCCCACATATAGACCGGCGTTCTTGAAGGCGTCTGGCATGGCCAGGATGCCGGTGCCTATGTTGCCCTTCAGCAGATGTACTAGAGTATCGAAATTAGATGTGGGATGTTCCAGGGTGCGGTGATGGGTTGGATTGTAGCCGGACTTGTCCAAGGATCCTTGTTCATCGTCTCCTGATCCAGAGGCAGCTGCGTGCACTCAAGGAAACAAAGAAATATAATGTTAGTTTAATGTTGTTTAATTAAATGGTTTAATTATTGATAAGAAATATTTTAATCTACAAAAATTTCAAACAAATTATGAAACAAAGAAAACGTTTTCTTTATTTATTTAATTTGTTTGTTGTCTTTAGTTAAATTAATAAATTTACTAGATTAAAATTATAATAATAAAACTCACCAGCCAGGCTATCCTCGCTGTGCACGTTTACCAGGGTGTTGTCCGGCGGAGAACTACGCACGGGTCTCACCGCCGATCCACGGCTGCCCTCATAGTCGGAGGCGTCGCTCTGAAGCAGAAGAGGCTGGCGTTCCGACATCTTTTTCTTGCGCGGCGCACCCTCGGAACTCTAAAAGAAGTGAGCAGGGGATCACAGTGAATTGAGAACGATGAACGATGTTGATGCGCCCTCCCCGGCTAAACAAAACGCACTAAAACTTCAGCTGTCTGCGAAGCCCGGTTCTCGCCTCGTTAGTGGACGAAAAAAAATTTCCACTGACTCACTTTTCCACTAGCATAACAATAGGGGTTTTGTGATAGTGCGGCGTCGGATGACAGACGCGTGCCAGGCGAGAGGAGTGCATCGGGCGGAGTGGAAAATTTTCGCCGCACTGATAGTCGGTCTCAGCCTTGGACTTGACTCGAAGTACGGATTTTGGATCGCTTATATTGCTTTGCATATGGGTCGGTGACGAAGCTCGCATCGGAAGTCGATATCAAATTTGCGAGTCCAGTCACTTACTCGGCTTCGAAAACACTGACAAGTCGAAAAACAAGCTATATAGTAAGCCGCGATAAGACTCAAATATCACCGGCGAACCCACCGACCATACCATTAATCAATTATATAATATGTATCCAGGCGATATTGGACACTATCCACCCATTAATTGTGATTTGTTGACTCAGCACTACGTGTTCCCATAAATAAATTATGATTTCTTATTTAATACATTAATATGAAAAACATTTTTATAATCAAAATTCGTAAAATTGTTTAAAAGTTTAAAATAATTTAAAACAGAGTAAAACGAGTCATTTAACTGAATCTAGATGCTAGAAACCAACCTAATTAACACTTTTTATTAGCACAATTTAAAATAAATAAAAAAAATGGATATTATTAGCTGATTATTTTAAGATACTGGATATTTTTAAAGATACTTGATCTGAATTAATTAACACAGACCCGATTCAAAAGTGGGTCGATTCTAAGCACTTTCTAGTTAAAGATTAGAGCCAGACTAACAACAAACTTAAGCAGGCCATCCGACCTGAATTTAAGATATTTTTGTTAGCTCATAATAAAGTTTGATAAACAAACTGTGGCGTCAAGCATTGTAACTTATTTTTATCTGGTTATCAGTAGGAAACCTTCGCCCACTTGCACAATTTGTGGGCAAACACATCCCTTTACGTGTATGTAGTATTATTATCACTTACATAAAATATGGAGAATTAGCGAAATGCCAAATAGATATTGCGGTTGAAATTGTTGTGGTTGCGCTTAACTTGCAGGCAGTTGAAAAAACAAAAACACTTGGAACTAAAACTGCAAAAAAATTATAATTAACATATGGACAAACTAAATCAAAATAAACACATTTGGCATGCGCATGTGGATTGGCATGTGTGCTGGTGTGTGGGTGTTTCTACCTGTTGAAGGTTGGTTAAAGGCGTAAGGTCCTCCATTGATTTTTTCCCGCTCGACTGACAATGAAAATAAATGCTGAGACACGCTCCTTCGAAGGTCACAACGATTTATCAGTGCACAAAAGAAATTAAATGAAAAGAGAAGTGCTCCGAGATTCCATCAAGCGTTGTGGTTGTGGTGGGGCGCAGTGAGGGAGATGTTTGGTGGGTGCCAATTATTATCTTTGCCAAGACTTGTATCTGCGAAATTAACGAAGAGAAAACATCAACAATGAATCATATTCATTCATGAGAATGATTGATAACATGTTGTAACACAGCGCATGAACTGATAACAAGCATTTATTTCCCACACGGAAGCATTATTGTCCTTTAATTGTTATTATTATTATTTTATTTATTATTATTAACACGCACAACTATTATTTCCCCTGCACTCGCAATAACAAATTCCTCTCGCCTGAAGCAATCGACTTGTGTTTTGGTATGCTTATCGATAACTCAGATGTAGAGTAAAAGCAGCTGTCGAAAAAAAATAAATAAATAAAAACATCAATGTACTTTGATTTATTTATTAAATATAAAATTCTTGTACTTTTTAAGAGTAAACAAATAAACCGTCGGTTTGGTTGATAAATTCCCTAACCAATCTCGGGTATTTTAGTTTTACATAAAAAAAATCTCAAAAAAAAATTCTCTGAGAACAATTTAGTAACCATAGTAGCCTAAATATTAAATTAAATTAAAAATTTAATATTTGTAACAGTTATCCCAATCCAATAGTTACTGTACTGGCATCTAACTTTTCCAGCTATTTTCATAAAGAAGATACGGTCACACTTTCGACTTCTCCCCAATTTGTGACGTGTCTGCGTGGATTTATTGAAAATCGCCACTTTATTCCTAAAATCGCCGGTATTGACAACAATAGGATCATCAAAATGGTCGAGTTATCCAGCGTCGTGTCCAAGTTCTACAATGATTACGTTCAAAACACGCCCAAGAAGCTAAAGTTGGTGGACATCTACCTAGGCTACATTCTGTTGACCGGCATCATCCAGTTTGTTTACTGCTGCCTGGTGGGAACCTTCCCGTTCAACTCATTCCTTTCGGGCTTTATCAGCACAGTGAGCTGCTTCGTCCTGGCCGTCTGCCTCCGTCTGCAGGCCAATCCCCAGAACAAGGCCGTTTTCGCCGGAATCTCCCCGGAACGCGGATTCGCCGACTTTATCTTCGCCCATGTCATCCTTCACCTGGTGGTGATGAACTTCATCGGTTAACAATCTGTGTACTACAACCATTCACATATATTTAGAATAAAATGTAACTAAGGAAATAACTTTTTGTATGCGCCAAGAAAGTCAAATTTTTCGCGTGGAAAGTCCAAGTGAATTCCTGGCTCAGGAACGGCCAAGATTATGGATTCTATCTTCTCTACATAGTCGGCAAGTTGGGGCTCAGGTTGGCTTTTGGATACGGCTTCCTTGGAAATTCGGTTCTTTGAAGATTCCCCTTGCTTGTGTGGCACCAGCACAGAGTCGTTGACGTTCAGTGGCACCAGATCTTTGAAAACTGGTTGATCCGGAGGAAAGTTCATCTTATGGGTGACCTGTTTGGGATATTTAAGTTGTTATAATGGACTAACAAAAATGGCTATATATTTACCCGAGGAGCTATAGCTGTTATGACTCCCGGCGTAAGTTTTGTAGTGTCCTTTATTACTGCCCTCATCTTATTTAAGACATCTATCTCTTCCTTCTTGCGAACCGTTGAGTTATAATGCGGGACCGCAAACTTCCTGGCGCACACAGGTGCCCTGAAGCTAATAAATTCTGGAGCAGGCATCTGCGGCTCATTATCCACTTCTACCGTTTGCTCATTGTCCGGGGTGACGCTAACCTTTGGCGCTGGGTGGTTGGCCACCTGAGAACGACGTGTTGCGGTATGCTTTTGGTTCCAATTTAGCTTAGATTTACGTTTATGCGGCATTTTGAACAAAGCCGCAAGGACTAAATTTCTGCTTTGCTGCCCTGACTTCAGAACAATACGGCAACTCCTTATCGGTACCGGTTTTGACGTTTTACGACACTACACCTCCAGCTGATGTGCCAACTATTAGATATGGGAATACATCGATAATGAAGTCTTAGAGTTCATACATAGGTGACTAGTCCAGCTCTAGCGCATTGAGATCAACAAATACTTTAATAAAATAAAATGGCATTGTCCCGCGCCAGGCCTGACGACTTACCCAAAGATGCTGTTATGATAACAGAAGACCAGGCCCTAAAGTATCAATGGAAGATCGTAACATCTTGGGACAAATTGGGCGACGTGTAAGTTGGGTCTTGTCAAAGGTGCCGCTTACCTAACAACTATTTCATTTTTTGGCAGGTGGTCATTGAGATACACACCTGGTATTCTAAGCGCAATGGCGGCAGTGACTGGGGCCTACATCAATAACCACTATCGCACTAAACTACGCCTGGGAGGTCACGGACGTCTGTCTAGCTACTTACCAATTGTTGCCGTACCTGCCATATTTACCATGTTGTCGCACAAGTTCTTCATTCAGCGACCCATTCTACTTAACCCTCTAGCCCAGTGCCCTGTTTGCATCCAGGTTCGCAGTGCTGCCTTTCAGACCGGACTGGGAATAGTCTATCCCACAATATTGGCGCCGATTGCCTCATTTATGTTCGCCACCCGATGCTACACTTACCGGTTACCTTCAGTCACCGAAGCTCCACGCGAAGTGTTTAATTTATGGCGCAAACTTACACGACCAATTGTGCCAGCATTGGGGACCATTATTTGTCTTCAAGCATTGCTGACAATGTATTTGACTGGCCAGGAGGACAAACAAAATTTCAAATTGATGCTTCGGATGAAAGAAATTGAACACGAGCTGGAAACTAATAACATGCCTCAGCGAATAGACTTTTAACTTTTGTACCTTGTTGATTTATTTGAATAAGAAATTAAAAAAAAACTTTTATTAAATTAAAAAAATATTAAAAATTAAAATATTATAATAATAAAATATTATAAATTAAAAATAATATTATAATATTATATAATATTAAAAAAATTGTATTAGAGGTTGTAAGATTCGTGGGTTAGTTTAAGCTAAAACGTAAATTCAACGGTCAAAATTACAGGTGAGAATTATCGATAAATTATTATCGACGAAAAGTATTCATTCCTGCATGCCGCATAAAGTATCGAGTGGCCCACACGTTGCTGCAGTCGGCTGACGAAATTTGTTTGTATTTGCATTTAAAACGTGAGTAATACGATTCAGTAACTTGTTTTCTGTCGCAGTGACAGTGTAATCCAAACGGAAAGAGTAAATTTTGGAGCTATTCTGTTTTTATTCACACGAAAATTGTGTAATTCAGTCACGTTTCTTGGTGTGCACTTTCACTCCTACGGTTTGTTGGCCTATTTGAGGGGTTAGGGGTGCTCCAATTGTCGCGTGGCAACCTTTCCATTGCACTTCGACTACTGTTATAATCCGCTCTACATTTTAGCTCCCGAAAAATGAAGTTCCTCACCGCCAAGGAGGTACGCGATGCGTATCTGGATTTCTTCAAGGAGCAAAAGCACATCTATGTGCATTCGTCCAGCACGATTCCCCTGGACGATCCCACTCTGCTGTTCGCCAACGCCGGCATGAACCAGTTCAAGCCCATTTTCCTGGGCACTGCCGATCCGAAAGGCGAAATGGCCAAGTGGGTTCGAGTGGCAAACACGCAGAAGTGCATTCGCGCCGGCGGCAAGCACAACGACTTGGACGATGTGGGCAAGGACGTGTACCACCACACCTTCTTTGAGATGTTGGGCAATTGGTCTTTCGGCGACTACTTCAAGAAGGAGATTTGCTCCTGGGCCTGGGAATTCCTTACTGAACGACTTGCATTGCCAAAGGATCGCCTGTATGTGACCTATTTTGGTGGGGATGAGGCCAGCGGACTGGAGCCCGACCTTGAGTGCAAACAGTTGTGGCTTGACCTGGGACTTAAGCCGGAGCACATCCTGCCTGGCAGCATGAAAGACAACTTCTGGGAAATGGGCGAAACTGGACCCTGCGGACCCTGTTCTGAGCTGCATTTCGACCGTATTGGTGGTCGCAGCGTCCCGGAGCTTGTGAACCAAGACGACCCCGACGTCCTGGAGATTTGGAACCTCGTGTTCATTCAGTTCAACCGCGAGTCCGATGGCAGCCTGAAACCATTGCCCAAGAAACACATTGATTGCGGCATGGGCTTTGAGCGCTTGGTCTCCGTCATTCAGAATAAGCGGTCCAACTACGACACGGATTTGTTTGTACCTCTCTTCGAAGCTATCCAGGCTGGCACTGGTGCTCCGGCTTACCAGGGCCGTGTTGGAGCTGATGATGTCGATGGCATCGATATGGCCTACCGTGTTTTGGCGGACCATGCCCGTACCATTACCATTGCTCTTGCTGATGGTGGCACTCCCGACAACACTGGACGTGGTTACGTCTTGCGTCGAATCCTCAGACGTGCTGTTCGGTAAGCATAATTTAAGTTTATCAAGTAAAAAATTTAATTTAAAATATATTTCCGTAGCTATGCAACAGAGAAGCTTAATGCCAAGCCAGGATTCTTCGCTTCCCTGGTGAATACCGTTGTTGACCTTTTGGGTGATGCCTTCCCCGAGGTGAAGAAGGATCCTCAGCACATTATTGACATCATCAATGAGGAGGAGCTGCAGTTCCTCAAGACCCTAACTCGCGGTCGCAACCTACTGAACCGTACAATTGAGAAACTTGGATCTCAGACGACCATTCCTGGAGATGTCGCGTGGCGATTGTACGACACCTATGGCTTCCCTGTCGATCTTACCCAGCTCATGGCGGAAGAGAAGTCGCTGCAGATCGATATGGAAGGATATGAGGCCGCTAAGCACAATTCTTATATTCTGTCCCAAGGCAAGGGTGCCAGTAAGATCGAAGAGATTAACCTGGATGTGCACGCTATTTCCCAGCTGCAAGAGCAGGGTGTACCCCCCACAAACGACTCTTTCAAGTACAAGTATGAAGCCGTTTCTGATGAACGTGATTCTGCTTACAACTATGGCGAGTGCACCAGCAAAATCGTAGCCCTGCGTTTTGAGAACCAATTTGTTAACGAGATCACAAGCGGCCAGAAAGCCGGCATTGTGCTGGACAAGACCAATTTCTATGCCGAAAGCGGTGGTCAAATCTACGATCAAGGTGCTCTTGTGAAGGTCAACGACGAGGCAAACGAGTTCTTGGTGGATCGCGTATACAACCGTGGTGGCTACATCCTTCATATCGGTGTGGTTGAAGGAACCCTGAAGGTCGGCGATGAGCTGCAGCTGCACATCGATGTGGAACGTCGTTGGCTGACTATGAAAAATCACTCTGCCACCCATGCCCTCAATCACTGCCTTCTGCAGGTTCTCGGTAAGGACACTGAACAAAAGGGATCGTTGGTAGTGCCTGAAAAGTTGCGATTTGACTTTAACAGCAAGGCTGCCATGACCATAGAACAGGTGGCCCAAACCGAGAACCTGACCAAGGAGATGGTTTACAACAACGTTCCCATATACGCTAAGGAATCCAAACTGGCCCTGGCCAAGAAAATTCGGGGTCTTCGCTCCGTCTTCGACGAGGTGTATCCCGATCCCGTCAGGGTGATTTCTTTTGGAGTCCCAGTGGACGAACTGGAGCAGAATCCCGATTCCGAGGCCGGTGAAAAAACCTCTGTGGAGTTCTGCGGCGGCACTCATCTCAGACGCTCGGGCCACATCATGGATTTCGTCATCAGCAGTGAGGAGGCCATCGCCAAAGGAATCCGTCGCATTGTGGCTTTGACAGGCCCCGAAGCTTTGAAGGCGCTCAAGAAAGCCGAGGCTTTTGAGCAAGAAATCGTCAAATTGAAAGCTACAATCAATGCGGACGCTTCAGGCAAGGACTCCAAGAGCCACGTAAAGGAAATTGTAGAGCTGACCGAACAAATCTCACACGCCACGATTCCGTACGTGAAGAAGGACGAGATGCGCAACCTTCTTAAAGGTCTTAAGAAAACTCTGGACGACAAGGAGCGCGCCTTGCGTGCCGCCGTGTCGGTAACTGTGGTGGAGAAGGCGAAGGAATTGTGCGAGAAAAACCCGGATGCCACAGTGCTAGTGAAGGAGCTGGAGGCATTTAATAATACTAAGGCGCTGGACGCCGCTCTTAAGCAAGTGCGCACCCAGCTGCCAGACGCTGCTGCCATGTTCTTCTCCGTCGACGCCGACTCCAAGAAGATCTTCTGTCTGAGCTCGGTTCCTAAGAGTGCCGTTGAGAAGGGTCTGAAGGCGAACGAGTGGGTGCAGCACGTCTCCGCCACTTTGGGTGGCAAGGGAGGTGGCAAGCCAGAATCCGCTCAAGCCTCAGGAACCAACTACGAGAAGGTGGACGAGATCGTTGAATTGGCAACTAAATTCGCCCAGGCGAAATTGGCTTAAACAGATATAGACTTTCGATCGGCCATGCCTTTATTTTACTCACAATTTTGATAAAACTCTGCTTAACGGTAATCGTTGATCTGTTCCAAACAGCATTTCATACGAATTTTTTGCTTATTTATAAAATAAAAGCATTTGTATACATATTTATATAACAATCTTTTAATTATGTTCAACGGTGATCTATTTTTTATTATTTTGAATTATCCAATCAACAGCCTCGGAGAAGTTCTCCACCAAAGCAGTGGCTGGCGGGGATGGTACTACACCTGGCAAATATTTACCAGTTTTGACCTGGATTCCCTGCATTCCCACGCTCATTGCACCCTCGATGTCGTCAGTTGCATCCTAGAAAGAAAAAACTTGAAGTTCTTAATGTTTATTTTAATTATTTGTCTTACATCTCCTATCATGACGCAGGAAGAGGGATCTCGTCCAGCCAAGGCGCCCTCAAAGAAGTAAGAGTTGGGCTTGCCGATCACTTTGGCAGTTCGTCCTGTGGCAAACTCAAGACCCTTAACAAAGCATCCAGGCCCCAAGGCAAGGCCATCTCCACGCTTGTAATACTTCCCTTGATGAACAGCCACCAGTTGGTTATCCTTTTTTTCTAGTAAAACCCTAAAATAAGATCAATTTTAATAGCAATTGTACTTAAAATTGAATCCTACTTGAAAGCCTTGTTCATTTGCTCATAGTTGAATGCGTTGGGCGCCAAACCTACTACTACGGAATTAAAATAACGTTCCGGATCTTCCGGGGGGAAATCTTTCCTAGCATCTTCCGATAAGAGATAGTAGGGATTCAGCTTGCCGCTCTCCACATAGGAAACGGCGGCACTAAGGGAACTGTAGATCTCCGAGGGGTCCACCTGAAATCCAATCTTGCAGAGGCGATCATGAAGCGTAGTCTTTGATTCCTTGGTAGTATTTGTAACGAACTTGACCGCTACCCCGGAGTCACGCAATCTGAGATCATAGAGATTGTTTAATGGATGTGTACTATATGTAATGAATTATTATTAATAATGGAAGTACTTACCGCACTAGGGCTTCGACTGCATTGGGTGTCGGTTCATCTTCCACATGCAACGTGCCACTGAGATCTATCAAAGCAGCTTGGATGGACATCCTCCTTAATTGGAAATAATTTCTTCGCCCACTCGAAATTAAAAACATTTAACACTTCGATAACGGTCTATTTATGTTATCGGATCCAGTTTATCGGAATCGAATGGAGAACAATAACCCCTCTCGAGGCTACGCCCATGCTTTCGCACGTTTAAACAATGTTATTAACCGGTAGATCCTTCTTGGGAAGAGTGTTGCTGGATATATCACAAAATGTTGGCCAAAAGGGATTCATTGTAAACTACTGCAAGGCAGCTACAGCCTTGCGGCCGACGAAGGCCAAGTCCAAGAGGAAGGAGGTTCAAAAAATTTGTTTACATTTTTTTATGTAACTTGGCTTTAATATTCTTCTATAATTTCAGGCGCAGTACTTCTCTGACGCTAAAAGGATACGTGCGATTGGCGGAAAAGGTGGAGACGGCTGTGTTTCTTTCTTGCAACTCTGGTGCAATGAGAGGGCCGGTCCGGACGGCGGAGACGGTGGACACGGCGGTCATGTGGTGTTCCAGGCATCGAACGATGTCCGCAACTTCAATCACGTGGACAGCGTATTGCGGGCGGAGGAAGGAGAAAGGGGCGGGGCCAAAGATTGCCACGGAAAGAATGCCAAACACTCGGTGATAAAGGTGCCCATTGGCACGGTCATCCGAAATTCCCAGGGACAGATCGTGGGTGACCTGGCACATGCCAATCTCATGTTCGTAGCTGCCCGTGGCGGTGCTGGAGGAAAAGGAAACCGCTTCTTTACAACGGATAAAGAGACCAGCCCCAAGGTGTGTGAGTATGGACCCACTGGCGAGGATCTCTCCTATACGCTTGAGTTGCGTAGTATGGCTGATGTTGGCTTGATTGGTTATCCAAATGCTGGCAAAAGTACATTGCTAAACGCCCTGACTCGCGCAAAACCTAAAGTGGCACCTTATGCGTTTACAACGCTACGCCCCCACCTTGGCACCGTTCTGTACGATGATCATGTCCAGCTCACCATAGCAGACCTGCCTGGGCTGGTTCCAGACGCCCATCTTAACAAAGGCCTTGGCATACAATTTCTGAAGCACGCCGAGCGCTGTACATTGCTGCTGTTTGTTTTGGACGCCAGTGCTTCGGAGCCCTGGAAACACTACGAGCAACTCGTGCACGAGTTGCAGCAGTTTGGAGGAAGCTTGGCCAGCCGTCCGCAACTGGTGGTGGCTAACAAACTGGATAAAGATGAGGGCCAGGCCAACTTTGAAGAGCTGCAGAGAAGACTACAAAATCCAGTTCTTGGCATCAGTGCCAAGATGGGCAAGAACCTAGGTCAACTCCTAGACAGCATACGCAGGTCGTACGACAGACACAAAGTCGATATTTAATTAGAATGGTTTATACAATTGTTAATTTTATATTAAACTTAAACCTTATCGAGTACACACGGATAAAAGATCTATCTCTACAAGCCTTCTTCAGATGTGGGCAGCCAAAAGGCCATGTTGGTACACGCGGAGGCCAGCATCATATACTTGGGGTTAAACTGAACACATTGCACGGGACCGGGGTGATCTCCATTGAGCACAGACACCTTGTTACCTGTGTCTGCGTTCCAAATGTGAACTCGTCCATCGGTGCTGCCCGAGAAGATAAATTGTGAGTCGGGGCTGAAGCTAGCTTCGATGGCGATGCCTTTGTTGTTCGGGTATCCAGTGAAAGTCTGCAACGGTGTCCCGTGAAAAGCGTCCACTAACCGGATAACCGAGCCATTGGTGCTTATTAAGATTGTTTTGCCGTCTCGGGAGAACTTTAATCCAGTCCAGTCGCATTCCTTTTCTTGGTTCAGCTTGAAGGTTACGAAGGGACCCTTATCGAACGACCTAAGATCATAAAGTTTAATGCTCTCAGAGTTTACGCCGGCTGCGAAAATGAGGCCTTCTGGGTCGTAGGCGGCTATGGGTCGTCCAGAAAGATGCATGAGACCCTGACAGTTGGGTGATCTTAAATCCCATAAGCGCAGTGTCTTGTCCAGCGAGCCGGAGAGGAAAGTGTCTTCAACCGGTGAAATGCATAGCGATATGACTTTTTTCGTGTGGCCGGGAAAGTAGCGCAGATATTTGTTGTCATGGAGGCTCAAATACCGGATGGTGTCGTCCACCTTGGTAGAACTATGGATAGCAGTATTGTTTGCATGGGTAAAGTGGATTAGGTCCACGCCGTATTTCTTAGAGTTCACCGTCCGCGACTGCGTGCCCTTTTCGCAATCGTAAATTACAATCTGGTCGTCTTCGCTGCAGGATATGAGGTGTTCGCCATTGGGGGCAAAATCGATTGCGTTGATTTTGTCTGTGTTTTCTCTGAAGATCTTTGCCACCTTGAAACTCCGTACCACCGAATCAATTAGTTTGATTTTCATTTTGAAAACCTGCAAGCGTGATTGTTGTCAATGTTTTCTTCTTTTGACACAAATAGGGATGTCGAATATATTTATTTATATCGGCGATAAATTTACAGCATGACGCCTGATTCGATATATTTGAGCGCAAGCCTATCGATAAATAGAACTAGTTCCATCGGAGCCAAAATTCAAAAAAAAAAATTTATTTAGTTAAGATTTTAATTATAATGGACTCTGAGGATATAAATCTCTTTTATTTAAGCTTTAATTTAAAATTTAATGTTAGGTAAAATTTTTGTATACAAGCGAAGAGTTACACCAATAAATAAACACATTTTTAATTGAATTTAAATTCGAAAATATTTATTTCTTTAATAATATACATAAATACATATGTACAATTAAGTAGGTGATTTTGTGGATGTCCTCCGAGTCAACAATAAAATGTAAGTAGGCATATATTTCCATTAAAACAAATATGTAATGTAAAACATTAAAGAAGCTAAAGCTGTTAAAAATGCGAATTTCTTATGTTTAACGGTCTATTTGTGTTCATGATGTGGAGCCTCGCTGGTGCAGATGCAGGGGGTATTGCCTAATAGCTCCTTGGGTTCCACATAAACGGTTCCTTCCTTTCCCCTGGCGAATGGTGTTTGTCCATTGGTTTGTAAGTAAAAATTGCCATGTACACTGGAAAGCAATTAAATTAGCAAATTATTTCTAAACCCCAGTTACTTAAAGCTTTGCTTTTTCTTTTGCTTACGAAGTGGGGCAGTGATGACCCATCACAACTGGGGGCACGTCTCAGTGGTTTTCTTCTGCTTAAATTCGGACCAGTTCTTCGCAGGAACTGCATCGAATCTAATTGGATAGCGATCGGATACACTCTCGGCCCAGAACCACCAACTGCGACGGTGACTAGCCAAGTCGTTGTCACTGAGCATTTTGTAATTGCGCTTGGGGCAACCAGGTTGTAGACTCTTGCCTCCATTGGGCCAAAAGTCCGCCGTTCCCGTGCTTGTCGGAGCGCCATAAAGCCAGGCATCCGTATGTATGACGTCCACGAACTCGGCATCCGTGGCGCTTAGATGACTTCCGGGATAAAACAGAGGAAATGCAGGATCCAGGGCGGAAATTCTGTAAAATAGACGGTTTAGACACTGTTTAAAATTTATTTAAATCTTTCAAATGGTAAATTAAAATAAATTTGAAGCTTTAAACACTTGCTATTCGTATTCAAGTTTCTCGTTACATTTGGTAAACTAATTGACTTGGGAATGTATTTTATGTATTATGTAAGTTCACTTACCTTTTTAGCTTTCGAACGCCCTTAGTGCGCTTGAATATTTCTCGGCCAATTAGTCCAGCCAGTTGACCTCCCATCGAGTGTCCAACTATGTGGAACTTTTCAATATCCAGACCATGGTCAAACATTTGAAGAAGTACCTTGGCCAGTTCCGGCCCCAGCTGTTTCAGGTTAGGCAGGGCATCGAATATATAGTTGCCATCGGCCAACTCTCCCCAATCCAAAACGATAAGGTTAGTGTCCTTGCGCTCCAGGTACGCTTCAGCAATAACATGGATGCTCTCTACATCCGGGTCTTCGATATAGCCATGCAAATAGAGAACCGTATTCTTGCACAAATCCAAGTTCTCGTCCTCCAGTAGACTCTGGTAATCAGTTAAGTCATAGATATCACTATCAGCTACCGTAGGTCTGTAAAAAATTATAGATATAAGTTTGAATTTTAATCAATTTATTGAATATCCTTGAAAATATAGATTTTTAAATATTTACTCCTATTTTATTGAAATTTATAAATTATGACCCTTACTTACCCATAATAGAGTATAAATTTGGCTGTGGTCAGATCCGCTCTGGAGTCCTTGAGGCCACACAGTAACCCTGAGAAGTAGATATCCAAATTGTTGAAGCTCCTTGTTTTTCCATTTCCGCCCACATACTTACTGGATTTGTTTTTAATGGCCTTGTGCATTTTCCTGGGGTATGTTGGCTCCTAGTCCATAAAATGATTGATTACGTGACCAGTTGGTTTTCCGGCTATCCTCCTGCTTCCATGCGCTTATTAGCAATGACTGGGCCGGACACTCGATTAGCTGGATCAAGGCGGCGTGGCCTAAACCATTTAAATTGATAACTCTAATTAAATTTCAATATTATTCGGATAAGATAATGTTTGCCGGCGAAAAAAGCCTTGCGACATGACTGTAGTGAATCACAAAAGTGGCACCAACGGTTGCAAAGTCCGCCTGGAGGTCCAAACAAATCGCCTGTCCATGCATCATTCATGTGTTCCTACAGTGGATCGTCTAATCCGGATCCTAGATTACTACGTCATCTAATCACTAATTGATTTCATTGTACAATAGTGGAGTAATTCAGAGGCAAGAAATGATTATAGATTTCAGGCGTTGGCGCCCCGGAGTCTAGTTACTCAAGTAGGTAATTTAAAATCAGTTCGAAAACATGGGTCGTAAATGCAAATTGCAAATCATAAATGAACTATTAATATGCAGCAAGCATTTCCTGGAGGAGAACCTCAATAATTTCAATAGGGTGGAACCAAACCTATATATAATATGATCCAAGATCCTATAATTTGGAATTTATTATTTTTTCGGTACTAACATAGGCCCTCAATCTATTTAATGGGCATTTGAAAAGTGTAGCTTAGTACGTTACTACAATGGGATTTTAAAATGAGTATAAAATGTTGATCTTGTCAACCTTTATGAGACATTAAACCCAAAGTGTTATTTGAGAATTTGGTAAAACTGACCCGGGGTCAGTTGAACATGCTTTGGGCTTTACTGTCCATTGCCACAGATTACCTTAACCTGGGTCTGAATGGACGAACAACTATGATAAAATATGCAGACCTGAAATTACAGCAATGCCAAACAGTGAATACAGTATAACTTGAACATTTTTTAAAATATTTCAAATAAAAACTAAAAAAAATGAGAATAAGCTGCACCTCTGATTAACATTTATATGAAATTTCGTCAAAATAGTTAAATAAGCTTTAGTGAAATTCCCCTATAGGCTAGTTCGAATGTAGTCAAGTTTCCCTATTGTTGTTTGACGAAATCGCAGCCCCACTTACCGCCCCACTTCACTGTCCCCCACCGGACACCCCAACGCGTGCAAATGTAATTTAAGTACCGGCCTTTTTATTTTAACCTTACATTTAGCTTCATCATTATATTATACTACGGACATAAATAAAGAGCACTTCAATTTATATTTCGGCTTATCGGGGGGGGGAAATTAGCCGTCAGATAATGGCATCAGCTGGGGGAATCGGACGGCGGTGGTTAGGCGCCAAGCGTTTAACGGACGGAAGGCAAAGTGCTTAGCAAAACGCGCCACTTTAAGTAAAAATAATAATAGTACTCAAATAACATAACAATAATAACCATTACAGTTCAGCATAGATGACATATTCGCGTAATTACAGACACCTGTCGCGCTGGTCAGAGGCACGAGAGGGGGACGGTCAGTGGACGGAAATCGGACGCGAAGTTTGCGACACTAGCGGAAAATTGATAATCACAAGTGTATTTACTTAGGCATAGACACAGATACTCAGACACCACACACACTCAACGGAATACGTCAATAATTGATTGGTTCCACCCAGTTTCTCCATCAAAATTTGCATCCGATTCCCCTGTTTGATTCTTCATATGACGATATTTTTCGAGTGGGACTTACGAGGGCTCGGAGCGTGGGATTGCGGCAATCGAGAGTTATAAAAACAAAAACAAAAAAAGCTGAGCCGATGGACAGGAACCACGTCGGATCGGCGTCGCAGCTAAATACGACTGATCTCGCTAAAAAAAAATTTCGTTCAACAAGTCAGCAACTATCGGCAGGTAAAAAAAACGACAAAAAGTGGACTATCGATAGCAAAAGCTCACTTAAGTTTTCAAAAAAGTGAATCCTAAATTGTATCTGCTGCATTTTATAAAACTAGATGGTTAGTTAAAAAAAAAAAAAATAAACAAACTTTTTCATATTTTGACTGTTTTTATTGTTTTACTACAATTTTTGTTGCATTCAGATGCGATCAAATGTTTCAAACTCTACGCATGGTTTTAATAATGATCTTTACGCCTATGTGGTAATTTATATATATAATATAAGTATGTAAGTAATAATGTTTATCTGTGTGGCGATCAGTGGTTTTCCCTTTATGCTGGCATTGGTGACTCTTCTCCTCTCCTTTGTTCCATGATTGGTTTCATCTGCTTCCTTTTTGTTTTTTTTTTCCCACCAGCATTGGCTGCAGCGTTCAACACCTCACGGGTTTGGGGGATCCACTACAATTTTCCGTTCTTGAGTGTGGTTGCTACATATGTTTTGTTGCCGGTGTTAAATACATACAATTTAAAAATAGAATAAAAAAGATGCAAGAAGGTTGATTACGCTGTAAACAAATATACAAATATTTTATTGCACACACACACACAGAGAGAGTGAGAGAGACAGCCACGTGGTGGAGATGATACCGGGAAAGAGACAGAAAAAGATGGTACAACAATTAGTTCAGGTTTAGTTAGTACTTGGGCCTTGGCACTTTTCACAGATTCTAGTCGCGAAACACTGCGTTAGCTGCATTATCTTGTAAAAACAAATAGGGTTTAACGTATATGTTTGCGGGTTCGACACATCGTCACTGGCATTGGCATTGGAATTGGAACTGGCTGGAGACAGCGGGAATCACATCTACTTATCTACTCATCCTCTAACATTCCATTTCAACTTTGGGTGGCTCGGCCACCTCCGCCGCAGCCTTGGCGTTCATCTCCTGCAAAATGTCATCGTCAGCCGGCACCATGGGCGGTGGCTCCACGATCAGTTTCGAGTCCATGGCCGCCTCAATTTTGGCTCCCATGCACGGCGGTATCGCCGTTCTAAACACATTCAATTCCATTTCTATGGCAGGATATCAAAATCAATAAATGACTCTAATCGCAGACGGACAATTACAAATTTAAATCTCACAGTTAGTGATAAAATTCGAAATACTTAAATACCGATAATTAAAAGTTTAAAGATTCAAGAGTTTCCCGTTTTGTTTTCATTAAAACCCAATTCGATTCTTACCTGCTGCTATGCCGGCAATGGCCTGTGCAGCAAAATGCTTCACGTCCACATCCGTGTCCGCGTTCAGTTTGTCGAGTGTGGGCTTTACTTGGGAATCGATTACGCTGGCCTCGAGGAAGGGAGAGATTTTCTGCAGGGTCTTGGCCACGTTGAAGCGAACATTTGCGACGGGATCGGCAGCAAGCAGGATAACTGTCGGCAAAAGCAGCTTGGTAGTGATGTCTGTGCCGCACACCTCGGCCAAGACGTTCAGGCAGAACAAGCAGGTCATTCCTGAAAAAAATATTTAATGTATTCCAAAAGGTTCCAAGAGTTCTCAGGTTCTCAAGCTTACTGTGCAAATAGTTCTTGTTGCGTGACATAACCAGGATCATGGGAATAATGGCCTGTTCGGCCCATGGAGCTCCAAACTGTTCGACCAGTTTCTTCATGTTAAGGGTAGCTGCCTCTCGGATGGCATAAACATGATCGTTAAGCCATCCCATGCACAGGCCTCGGAGTTTCTGGTCAAAGAACTCCTGACCCAGCTGACCGGCCAGGGCAGGCATGTACTCAATGATGGCTAGGCGCACGCGCCACTTCGAGTCCTCGGCCAACTCGACAATTGCTGGCAGGAGCGACTGTGACAGCTGCTGGATGCCGATAACATCGTTCACACAATCCAGATTCGAAATAATGTTGAGACGCACTTCCGGGCATTCATCCTTAAGCTGGATGAGGAACAGAGGCAATAGTTGTTCTACAGTCTGGTAGGCTCCCAACATCGGGCTCAGTCCCATGATGACTGAGGCCAAGGCAGACTTGACGTGGGGGTTGGGATCAGAGACCAAATCGCGTACGTAGGGCAAAATAGAGCTCAAGATGATCTGGACTTGGTTGGCCTTGTCCAGGTTGGCACAAAAGTCCTTCACCTTAGTGGCAACTGCGGCGCGTACCTCGGCCTCAGCGTCCTTGAGCAAGTATTGGAAGGCAGGCACCAGATCTACGCGAGTGATCTCAGGACCCACGGCCTTCTGAAGGTCAACAAACTTCTCGGCAACCATGTACCGCACTCGCCAGGATGAATCACTTGCGCATTGCCGAAGAGTTGGCAGAACCAGCTAAGTAAAAGAATAACTCAATTGGCTTGAAGCGTTTAGGGTTTAAGATTCCACTTACGTGCTCAACATCGTCCTGGGGGAGCAGTTGTGCAATACTGACGCATGCCTCGACAGCCAAAAGGCGCACAGAGTCCTTAAATAAAAGTATAAGTATTTTATGTTGTGTTTATGTTTTGATTTTATTAAAGTTACGCACCTGATCGTCCTGAGCTAGCTGAACAAAGTTCGGAATCAAGTCAGATTTGAGGTACTCTGTCTCCACGACCTTTGCGAACTCGCCCAGCTTGTTGGCCGCCGCACGGCGCACCATCGGAGTCTCATCCTGGCAGAGCTTGCGGAAGTTTGCTCGCAGCTCGGCCTTCACGGGTTGTGTGACCCTAGGATAACAGACCGAGAAAAGTCCACAAGCAGATGTACGCGAGGTAAACCAGTCGCCTGAAACCAAGCGCTGCAACGTCGGCACTACATGAATCTCCAGGTCCTGGGCGCTGTGCTCCGCAGCAACAGTGCGCAGGGATTCAACGGCCTTGTCCCGCACCACGGTCTCCTCGACGGTTGCCAAGCTCTCGAGTGGTGGAATCAAGTACATAGCGAACTCAGGGCCACCGACAAGACCTTTTTGAAAAGAATATAAAAATGATTTTCTTTTAAATTTTATGCTATCAACTTACTTGTAAAGTTGCCCAGCTGATCTGCCAAAGCCAGCAATACTTCGTCCTCATCGTAGATGGTTTCAGTGAGGAAGGGAATCAACTCAGACCGAGTGCGCTCTTCGCCCAAAGCTAGGGCAATCGTAGAGAGCTTTTTGATAGAGTTGAGACGCAACTAGAAGCAGAAAAATTAAGGGGGGAATAAGTGATAAGATGTTCTTCAAATAATAGAGAAAAATTTTAGCCAGATAATAAATATAAATAAAATCTGTTACTTTAAATGGCCTTGGGAGTCTAAACAAATAATGCAATTGATGTATCGGAATTTATTAAAATTTTGCTACAACTTTAGGTCAATTACTTATTTTAATAATAGTTTAATAAAGTTTTAAACAAAAAAAATACCAAAAAACTACAACGCAATATTTGCAAAAAAAAAAACTATATACCAGCCACAATCCGTGCTTTGAACACACAATCGATTAAGACCTTTTTATAGCGTTTTAGGAGATTTAGTAAATTATAAGGCTTTTATTTTGGCCGCAAATGTATGCACATTCGCACACACAGTTACACGTTCGCACACCCACATAAATAGCTATGCATACTATGACGCATTTTTGCACAAATACACATTTGTGGCAGGACCGAGGGCACGCGTCTGCATTTAGCACCTCGACATTTCGCAAGTTCGAGAAACGCATCGGACACGCATTAACTAGTAATACTAACCTGTACATCCTCGTTTTTCAACTCATCAATAAGGACCGCAATGGGATATAGAGAATCGTCGACGGATTTGTCGCTTGCTGCCATTTTTTCTGCCGTCTCTGCTACACACACGCACTGAAAATCGGTTTTTCTACTCTGCAGGCAACACACTCGATTTTGCCCTTTGGCGATTCGCAAATAACTCGTTCACGGCTACAAAACAATTTCACAATCTTTTTGGTTATACCTGCTCCACTTTGCAAGTTTGCTACAACAAAATCTATGATTAGTTTTCCAAAGAAAATGGGACTTCGTCGCTTGGCAAATTATTTTTCACTTCCAAGTGACACAACGGGAGCGATAACGATAATGAGGCTGTGTCTACATTGGACAGTATTTATTTTATCGATATATCGAAACTGAAACACAGAAAAATACCAAAACTAGAACCATGGGCCATGGGCCGGCTTAAGATGAGTATATTTTATTGATGCTTAATTTTCTAGGAAGGTTACAAACTCGGTTAACTTAAGCAATTGGTCGTCGTTGCTGCGACTGGGTGGTGCTTCTCTGATCTTGGGTTTCAAGATAACACGGTCGCCATCCAGCTCTTCGCCCCAATTCAGGGCTGTGCAGGTTTTTTTCAGCTCCTCCTCGGACATTTGCGACAGCTCCAATAGGTTCTGCTGGTAGATGGACACATAGGCGCTTCCCATTAGATTGAACAGCTCCTCGCGTTGTTTTACTAAAATGTTCCGATTTAATTTCTATTGAAGGTATCTTCGAGAGTGTGACCTACCTAGCAGATCCTCTATGGGAGCTCTGACCTTTTCAGACCACTCGTACTTTATGTTTCTAAAGAAGTCGGCGTAATTGTTGTGCTGCAGCGCCAAATTGAGCAGATTAAGTTGGTTAAGTTCTTTGTCATCCTTCAGTTTGTCGGGAATACGCATCCACAGTAATTTGGCATTGGCCCTGAAATTTATTTACCAATGTCATAAACGTAATAAACAATGACAAATGAACTTACAATTTGTTTTGATAAAGATATATGGCGAGTAGTTGCTGGTAGACATCGGCGCCCAACTCGAATTGCTGTGTAAACACAAGAATTTGATTGTATTCAAAAGGGATATTTATTTTTTAAGTGTTTACCTCAAACTCCTCGCCTTCTAGCCGCTCCAGCAGATCTTCGTATTCATTTAAATGCATTTTTATTATATTCTTAATTTTGCTAAAATTGGTATGACCTTTTGTTGAATGACAGTAAAAACAACCCTGTGTTTGTAGAGATTTTATTCAATCGATATTTTTTCCAATAAATTGGAAACAATGGATTTTATTGGAATTAAATGTGTAAAAGTTTTCTGAAGAGAGAAATATTTTTAAACCTTTGCCATAATACGAAATTTTAGATTAAAGAACCATTCCATTGAACGATAGTACTAATCGTTGTTATCGATAGCCCTTTGACAGGTCTCCACAAAAGCAGTGCTGTCAACGTGCCAAAAGTCTCCACCTTCTTTTCGGTGTCAAAAACTAGACTATCAAGATGGGTCGTATGCACGCTCCTGGGTAAAAATGCGATTTCCTAATGTTTCCAAAGCACTCGAGTGCACCAAAACATTTGCAAAATGTGTCTGCCGCGCGGGATGAGCCCTTGAATATGTTTAATGCGGCCCTTGGCTTCTGCCGGCCTGTGAAAAGTCTCAGCGAAGGCAAGCACATGGTGCAAACGTCTCGGTTTTGACATTCACCGCCACAACGCGAACTAACGACTTGATTAATTTCTTCGCAGCAAGGGTATTTCCCAGTCGGCTCTGCCCTACAGACGTACCGTGCCTTCCTGGCTGAAGCTGAACGCTGAAGATGTCAAGGATCAGATTAAGAAGCTGGGCAAGAAGGGTCTGACTCCCTCCAAAATCGGTATGTGCGCTAATGTTGTTGTTTGAGGTTATGTTAATTTTTTCCCTTATTGTTTGTAGGCATCATCCTCCGTGACTCGCACGGCGTTGCCCAGGTGCGTTTCGTTAACGGAAACAAGATCCTGCGCATCATGAAGGCGGTTGGTCTGAAGCCCGACATTCCTGAGGATCTGTACCACATGATCAAGAAGGCTGTCGCCATCCGCAAGCATCTGGAGCGTAACCGCAAGGACAAGGATGGCAAGTTCCGTCTGATTCTGGTCGAGTCCAGAATTCACCGTCTGGCCCGCTACTACAAGACAAAGAGCGTCCTGCCACCCAACTGGAAATACGAGTCGAGCACCGCCTCCGCCTTGGTGGCCTAAGCGTCCTCGATCCGTCTGCTTTCCGCGTTCGTTAGTTGGTAGTTTGTTTTCAATCTTGTGGGCTTACATTCTTAACAATGTACAACAAATAAACCCAACAGAAATAAAACTGGAAATCGGAACTATTTTATAGAATCTATCAGCAGCTGTGTAAATTTCTTGGAGGATATGCAGCTTGTTTTTGAACATTTTTTGACTGCAATTACATTAAAATTAAATATTTCTGCCACTCGGAATTCAACGAGATAGCTTGAAACACCTTTAGTGTTCAGTGGACTTGGTTTTGTTTACAATTTGGCTTTTTTTTTATTATCCAAAAGATTTTGTTTGCCCTAAACCGGTTTGTCATCAACCGGCTACCTAAATCCCTGGGTTTCCCTTGAAAAGCCTTTAAAAATCTAACTGAAATTTTATTTGGTAATATCCTTTAAGCTTAATCAAATCTTAATCAATGATATTTTGGCTTTTTTTTTATTATCCAAAAGATTTGATTTGGCCTAAACCGGTTTGGCATCAACCGGCTACCTAAACCCCTTGGTTTTCCTTAAAAAGCCTTTGAAAATCTAACTGAAATGGCATTTGGTAATAATTCTTTAAGTTTACACAAAGCTTAATAAATGGAAATGATTGTTTTCCCTACTCCTTTTTTCATTATCGGGAGTAGGGAAAATTCATTTATTGCATTGCACTTGTTGATTCATTTTTTATGAAGCAGCATGTTAAATATATACAGAATCGATGTACTTTCTGTATCACTCTCACATGTGAATTTCCATTTACAGTCAAGCTTTATGACACGGAATTTATGAAGGATTCAATTTAATTCATTATTTTCTTTAAAAACTGAAATTGAGAAGAATTAAGAACGGTATTTTATGAAGAACTGTTTCTATCTTCATAGATATTGTTCATATCTTCTTTTAAAAAATTTTTTTCTGTGTTTCTCTATTAGATCAAAATCTATTGATATATGAAATATATCTACTAATATTTTCCATATTTTAATATTATAGCAATATTATAAAAACTCCACTTTTAAATATATCGCAATCATTGACAAAAAAAAGTGGTGGTTCTTGATAGGAAAGCTCGCCTGTACGCTCGCTTGCGCCCAGGGGCGACGTTCGTATTAAGAACCGATAGTGCCGTCAGAAGCTTGCTTCCCTTCCCGGCGTTCGGACCAAAGTTTGTTTTATTATTTATTTGTAATTTTTCGTTGCCGCCAGCCGTGGCCGGACCTTCTCTATCTGATTTCTCACGTTTCGGGGAACAATTCGCCATTGTTGAATGTAAACAATATTGAAAAACGTATGTACAAGTGATTTGCAACTGACGGTAATTATTTTAATTGTGCTCACTGGATTGCTAAGCTTTGGTAAATTGTGTGTTTGAAAAAATCCATGTGATTAGATAATTTACAGAAAAACGAAAAACCATCGATGCGGCCGCTATCTCTGGCCAATTATTGTTTGTTCGTTGATAAATGTAAGGGATTTGCATATATTTGGCTTGGTAATGACGATTTCTTTATTTTCCCCCCAATAACAACGTGGTATTCGGCACACCCACACACCAAATATACGTATTTGTATGTATACATACATATGTATGAACAATATATATATATTTATGTTTGGGGAACGGTAAAGGTCTCCCGAATTGGTTATTCTTAGTGGGTGTGAATAAAACAGGTTGTGAAGAAGGTACGGAAAAATTCCTCAGCATGCCTAAGGGAACAATTATTTAAACATTTTTTTCAAAAAAAAATTGAGTGCCAAAAATATGTGCTTCTTTTTAATGGCTTACAATAGCTCTTAAAAAGCTATTCCCAACCACAAGGTTTTTTTGTGGGGTTCTCTTAAAATGTGTATTTTAAATTAATAACTTTAAATAATTCATTAAATGACCTAAAAACAGTAATTACTATAAATTGTGAAACTGCAACCTCGTGCTTGAAAACTTAAAAGTTCTAGAACAGAAGCGGAGAAGCTACCTCATAATGATGAATTACAAAATTTATGATGAGGAGTGACACACTAAACCCCCATTAGCCCCGACCCATGCGGTTCCATCGCCAATAAATGAGCTGACTTCCCCGTTTCCAGCCGAGTCGCCAAGCCAACGACAATTCGATTCGTAGATAAATAAACCAGCAATGTTTGTTTGATTAAGATATGCCGTGTTTGCACCGCCTTTTGTTTTCAATACCACTCAGTAATATTAAATTTATTGAGCTTTTTTCCAGTTTCTTTAAAGGGAGATCAAAATGCAGTCAGTGAAGACGGCGGATTTGCCGGAAAACCCTCGAGAGCGATCAAATTTCATTTCGGCAGCATGCTTCTGGTGAGCCCATAAAAAATGGATAGTTTTCAGGAGAACAACTTTAAACTTTTGAAACTTTTTAGGTATACTCTGCCCACTTTTTTTAAGGGTCGCAAAAGCACCCTGGATACCAAGGATCTTTATAGGGCGTTAAAGGAACACAAATCAGGTATGCTTGAAAGTTTTATCACGATGATAAGCTGAATAAATTGAATTATATTTATTGTTTAATAAATAATATCCTTATCGGTTGCCAAGTCATTGTAGATATAAGAAATACTTTTTTGTTTGTGATGTTGATGTTAATCTTTTAAAAAAACCTACACTTTTGAAACTCATTGTATATGAGTCTCATACTTATCAAGAGTACATTAATTTGACTGATCGAAGAAGTACATAGTATGTTCGTTGACTTCTTTAATTGATTTGCCTTTTTTTTTTCAATTGGGCTGATGATTTTTATGTTTATTATTCCAAATTGATAACTGTCTCTCTCTCTGGGTGAACGTTGTTTTCGTAATCCGTATTGATTGGCCCCCTTCTGTGATTAATTTGCGATAATTAATGTGTGTGTTATCTTTTTTTTTTCAGAGACTCTGGGTAATAAGCTGTGTGCCTCCTGGGAACTGGAACTTACGAAGTCCAAAGGAAGCCCCAACTTGCTTCGGGCTCTGTTGCGGGTCTTTGGCTGGTATTTTGGTCTTCTCGGACTCGTACTATTCCTCCTGGAGCTGGGTCTTCGAACTCTACAGCCGCTTTTCCTGCTGGAACTCATTTCATACTACTCTCGTGGCGAGGATTCCATAGAGTCCGCATACTACTATGCCGGAGGAGTCATTTTGTGCAGCGCTCTTAATGTTATAATAATGCATCCCTATATGTTGGGCACCATGCACGTGGGTGAGAATCCTTCTTAAGTTAAATATATATTTGAAAACCCTTACTTTAACTAATATTGAACTACTTTTAGGTCTCAAGATGCGTGTGGGAATGTGCAGTATGATTTACCGGAAAGCTCTTCGATTGAGTAAAACAGCTTTGGGTGATACCACGGCAGGACACGTGGTTAACCTCATGTCCAACGACGTGGGCCGTCTGGACCTGGCCACCATATTCGTTCACTACCTGTGGGTAGGACCGCTGGAAACTCTCTTTATAACATACCTGATGTACCGGCAGGTGAGCTTTGTGATAACCTTTGACCTGTAGCATCTTAGAGACTAACCTTAATTCCATTTAGATTGGAATCGCCGCGGTATTTGGCGTGGCCTTCATGCTGCTATTCATTCCTCTGCAGGCGTATCTGGGTAAGAAGACCTCGGTGCTGCGGTTGAAGACAGCCCTACGGACCGACGAACGAGTGCGGATGATGAACGAAATCATCTCGGGAATCCAGGTGATCAAAATGTACGCATGGGAGTTGCCATTCGAGCAAATGGTGGCCTATGCCCGTAAAAAGGAGATCAACGCCATACGACACGTGTCGTATATCCGAGGAATTTTGCTTTCATTCATCATCTTCCTTACCCGAGTCTCCATTTTCCTGAGTTTGGTGGGCTACGTTCTGCTCGGCACGTTCCTTACTCCGGAAGTGGCCTTTTTAATAACCGCCTACTACAACATCCTGCGCACCACCATGACTGTGTTCTTTCCCCAAGGCATTTCCCAAATGGCAGAGACTCTTGTGTCCATAAAGCGGGTGGAAAAGTATATGCTGAGCGAGGAAACAGATGTATCCGATAAAAGTGAGGACCTGCCGGAAGACCTGGTGGGCAGTAATCAAGCCACAGTACATGCCGAAGCCGATGAGGATCGCGATGAGGCGCAGGATAAGTTATTGGCTCCAGTACTCTCCAAAATCAACGAAAACGCTGTTCTGTCGGAGGCAGGAATATCGATTACTGCTCTCAAAGCCAAATGGGATGTTAGTTCCCCCGACTACACCCTTAATGGAGTGAATCTTCGAGTGCAGCCGGGCACATTGCTTGGTATCGTTGGACGAACTGGATCTGGAAAGTCTAGCCTTATTCAAGCCATTCTTGGCGAGCTTCGCGCCGAGTCGGGAGAAATAAAAGTAAACGGAACCATGTCATACGCTTCCCAGGAGCCCTGGCTCTTCTCTGGAACTGTGCGTCAGAACATCCTCTTTGGACAGCCCATGGATCGTCGTCGCTACGCCAAGGTTGTGAAGAAGTGTGCCCTCGAGCGTGATTTTGAACTGCTCCCGTTTAAGGACAAAACCATTGTGGGCGAGAGAGGAGCCTCCCTGTCTGGAGGCCAAAAAGCTAGGATAAGTTTAGCTCGTGCCGTTTACCGTGAGACTTCTATTTATTTGTTGGACGATCCTCTAAGCGCTGTAGACACCCATGTAGCCCGTCATCTATTCGAGCAGTGCATGCGCGGATATTTGCGCGAACGTATCGTTATCCTGGCCACACATCAGTTGCAGTTTCTGCAGCATGCCGACCAGATCGTCATCATGGACAAGGGCCAGATTAGCGCCGTAGGCACGTACGAGTCGTTGCGTGAATCGGGCCTGGATTTCGCTAGCATGCTGGCCGATCCGGAACGGGATGAGCGGGAGGAGGAAAAATCCCGATCCCGATCAGGAAGTTACACTCACAGTCACAGTGATCAGCGCCGGAATAGTGAACAGTCGCTGCTTTCCATCGCAGACTCGTGCTTGGATGAGGCCGAGGCGGAGCAAATGATCAACCAGGAGCGCCAGGAAGCTGGACGTATCGGCTTAGGACTTTACAACAAGTATTTCAGGGCCGGCGGTGGTTTCTTCGCCTTCTTCGTGATGATGGGCTTTTGTGTGCTTTCGCAAGGATTGGCTTCATTGGGGGATTACTTCCTCTCATACTGGTAAAGTAAAAATTCAATTTTTTTTTTAAATAATTTTCTGAATAAATTTCTTAAAATTTTCCTAAAGGGTCACCAAAAAGGGCACGGTTGCTGCTCAAGCTGGCAACGATACAGTGAGCTCGAAAGTTCTGGAGTCACGAATGTCGGTGTGGTTACATGATTTGGGCTGGTCCGTGGACCCTGAAATGCTGGATACCTACATTTTTACCGTGATCACTGTTCTTACCATTGTGGTTACTGTGGCTCGCTCTTTCCTGTTCTTCAACCTGGCAATGAAGGCGTCTATCCGGCTCCATAATTCCATGTTCCGGGGAATCACACGAGCTGCCATGTATTTCTTCAACACGAATCCGTCCGGACGCATTTTAAACCGCTTCTCCAAGGACATGGGCCAAGTGGACGAAATACTACCTGCCGTCATGATGGACGTCATCCAGATTTTCCTCGCCCTCGGTGGCATTGTCATCGTCATTGCCATAGTTAATCCCCTGTTTTTGATTCCAACACTGGTGCTGGGTATCATTTTCTATCAGCTGCGAACCTTTTATCTGAAAACGTCGCGCGATGTTAAGCGAATGGAGGCCATTAGTAAGTATATACATACATCAGGTTTTTTCCAAAAAAAGATAAATTATTTAAATACATACTTCCCGCTTGCAGCTCGTTCTCCTGTCTACTCCCATTTGGCTGCTTCCCTGACCGGACTTTCCACCATTCGGGCCTTCGGAGCTCAGCGTGTTCTGGAGGCGGAATTCGACAACTACCAGGACATGCACAGCTCCGCTTTTTACATGTTCATCAGCACATCTCGCGCGTTCGGATATTGGCTGGATTGTTTCTGTGTGATCTACATTGCAATTATTACGCTAAGCTTCTTTATATTTCCTCCAGCAAACGGGGGAGATGTGGGTCTGGCTATAACACAGGTGGGTAAATCTCAAAGACGCTTATCCCGAACAAACTAACTTTATTTATTTTTACAGGCAATGGGTATGACAGGAATGGTGCAATGGGGAATGCGTCAGTCGGCGGAGTTAGAAAACACTATGACTGCAGTGGAGCGAGTGGTCGAGTACGAGGACATTGAGCCAGAGGGTGAGCTAGAGGCACCAGCTGACAAGAAGCCTCCAAAGTCATGGCCGGAGAAGGGAAAAATAATCTTCGACGAGCTCAGTCTTCGTTACGTGCCCGATCCGAAGGCGGACAACGTCCTGAAGTCTCTCAGCTTTGAGATCAAGCCCCGAGAGAAGGTGGGCATCGTGGGACGGACCGGGGCGGGCAAGTCCTCACTGATTAACGCCCTGTTCCGCCTGTCCTACAACGACGGATCCATCATCATCGATAAGAAAGACACCAACGCAATGGGCCTGCATGATCTGCGTAGCAAGATCTCCATTATTCCCCAGGAACCGGTGCTCTTCTCTGGTAGTATGCGCTACAACCTAGATCCCTTCGAGGAGTACAGTGATGAGAAACTTTGGCGTTCCCTGGAGGAGGTAAAGCTAAAGGAAGTGGTGGCAGATCTTCCTAGCGGGCTCCAGAGCAGGATCACCGAGGGCGGTAACAATTTCAGTGTGGGTCAGCGTCAGTTGGTCTGCCTGGCCAGGGCTATTCTGCGTGAGAATCGCATCCTTGTGATGGACGAGGCCACGGCTAATGTGGATCCCCAGACGGACGGCCTCATCCAGGCAACGATCCGGAACAAGTTCAAGGAGTGCACTGTGCTCACGATAGCCCATCGCCTACATACGATAATGGACTCGGACAAGGTGCTGGTCATGGACGCCGGACGGGTGGTGGAGTTCGGCACGCCCTACGAGCTCCTGACGGAGGCAGACTCCAAGGTGTTCCATGGCATGGTGAAGCAGACGGGGCAGGCTACTTACGACGGTCTGCTCAAGATAGCAAAAAAAGTAAGAAAAAACTAATATGGGAGTAAATTTGTACTCACCTTCCTTTATTTTAATTTCAGGCATTTGAAGATGGAAAGAACGAAAGTCGGCGGCTCTCTTCCTAAGTTCCTAAGGACCTTCCAAATGTTAGAGGAATTGCTTGGGTCACCCTCTCCCTGTCGGGATTAGATAGATTAACTAATATTTGTGTTTTTGAATGTGTTTATGAGCGAATGTTGTGTTTGTGCGTGTGTATGTTTAATCCTTTACTTATTAATATCGAAAAGTGTATAGTAATCAGAAGAGTTAGTTACTGCTTACTTGTATTTATTTTATGTTTTGTAAGCGCAAACAAGTGCCTTAAAAATAAATACACTATGAATAGTCGAAAGATATATAAAGCGATCTGTTAGCGATACTTTTCTCAAGGACTATACTTTAAAAAAGCGCGATTTTCAAAATCCGTGTCTGTTATCTGTAATCTGAAATAAAGGCAAACACTATTTATTATCAGCATGGTTTATTTCTTTATTGTTATAAGATATGGGGGATTCGTTTTATAAGTTATTAAAAACATATCCAAGTACGAAAACCATGTAATGTTATCAATTTTGTGGAAGGTAAGTTTTCCCCAAAATCTAAACTACTAGAAGGGAGCGACCATGCTGATAAAAAACTTGTAGAATCAAATACTGGTGCGATCTCAAGAGAAGTTTAGAGGGTTTAATACATATTCTTAAAGTATAATTATATTTAAATTTTCGACAATATTTTAATATTCTCTAAAGAACAGATCTTTAAAAACATATCAGCAAACATTTTTGAAGTTTTCTAGATAGGTAAACTAGGTAACCTAAAGTAGTGTTAATGAACTATAAGAAGTACTGGGTATTTTACAGTCGAACCACTTAATTATTCCATTTTTTTGTCGTGTTAAAAGAGTACTATCCTAAAGCCGAGAGCAGAGCAGTTGGCTTTTGGTCCCCTAGGCACGCGGTCGGATTTTAAGATTCGGATTCGGATTCGGACCCTTACAAAAGGTATTATAATTTTGGACCAAAGTGTGCAGCGCCGTGAAGGAGACATCTCCGACTATATTAAGTAAAAATATTCCTGATATTCCCAAGCTTTAAATAAACATGTCTGTCTACCTGGTTTGGTTTCGCGGTTAGCGAACTAGTTTCGCGGTTTTAGATCTATCCACTGCAATCTTTGGAGACATCCTTAATACTTTTTAACGCAATATATACATCAGTTAGGACGCCTTTAAGTCGTCTTTATCCCAAAGATGTAATAATAATTCTTAGGCCTCCCAACTAATTAAATTCTTAAATAATTAAATATGTTACATTTGTTTTTACTCGAATGTAGAGGTGACGATGGGGGAGAAATATGTACTAAAAGCAGTGACGTCTGATGATCTTCCTGAGAATCCTCGGGAATATTCAAACTGTATTTCAGCCGCCAGTTTCTGGTAAGTCTTTATAAAAATATAATTAATAAAACATAAAATTAGTAATTCATAATATCTAAAATAAAAACTAAAACGTTTGAAATTAAAAAAAATACAATTTCAGGTATACAATACCTACGTTTATGAAAGGAAGTAAAAATACATTGAATGTTACAGATTTATATAAGGTTTTGAAGGAGCATAAGTCCGGTATGAATAATATTTCTTAGTTTTATTTATAAAGAGTTTTTAAAGCAGATTCTGGATTCCAGACATATCATTTATTATGCTAAGAAAATACAATTTTTTATGAAGGTTCCTAAACAGATTATGTTTTATAAAGGTTAGTAGCAACGCAACGGATTTACAGATTGTCTGGCAACATAAAGTGTCGACTTATCTACACACGTGTCGGATGATAAGATATGTTTTTTTTATAACAGCTACATTTATAATAGCAAAATAATAAAAACTTTAATATTTTTTGGAAAGTTTAGATAACATTTGAATGAATGGTTCGTATCTTGTAGACAAGTTGGGCAATGAATTAGCTTCCTTATGGAGCCAGGAACTGAAAACTTCCAATGGGAGTCCGAATCTCTTGAGAGTCCTTGTACGGCGATTTGGATGGCACTTCGAAATCCTGGGCCTAGTCATATTAATGGTGGAAATACTGTTTCGAGCGATGCAACCTTTCTTCCTGCTAAAGCTCATTTCCTACTTCAATGATGGATCTGATCCCGTGGAGACTGGATGCTGGTGGACTGATCCTGAGTTCCGCTCTGTTTACCATAAATCTTTATCCATACGCATTTGCCGTAACACATATGGGTATGTTGAGTGCTGATCTTAAGGCGCTGGTGATCTAAAACCTTAATTATATAAAATTCGATTGGAATTCCAGCATTCAAGATCCGTGTGGGTCTTGGCAGCTTAGTCTATCAGAAGGCACTACGGCTGAGCGAGACCGCCTTGGGAGCTACCACGGCAGGACACGTGGTTAACCTTATATCTAACGACCTGGGTCGGTTGACCAACGATACGTATTATGGACATTATTTATTAGTGGGTCCTCTACAAACCCTTCTTATCACTTATCTAATGTACTCTGAGGTAAATTAGGATTCCCTTTGCTTTAATTTTTAACCATTTTTAAATTTATGCAGATTGGAGTGGCTGCTATAATTGGAATTGCCTTTATGATGATATTCATTCCCTTAAATCTTTACCTTGGGAAACAGACCGCCACTTTACGACTGAAAAGTGCAGAGAAAACCGACGATCGAGTTCGCTTGATGGGCGAGATAATCTCAGGCATTCAGGTGATCAAAATGTATGCCTGGGAGCTGCCCTTTGAGCGGATCGTGTCCTACGCCAGGAAGTTGGAAATTAAGGCCCTTCGCCATAAGGCCTACCTTGGAGGCATCAACCAATCCCAAATATTCTTTGTATCGCGTACCTCCATTTTCATCAGTTTAATGAGCTTTGTGATAATTGGAAATACTCTCAGTCCGCAAGTAGCCTTCCTCATCACCGCATACCACAATCTTCTGAAAGTTACAATGAGTAACTTCTTTGCGGCTGCCATAACTCAGTCAGCCGATTATATGGTTTCCTTAAGGCGGGTCCAGAACTTTTTGCAATTGGAAGAGACGACTGAATTGGACGTAGTGGTAGAATCAGAAAAGGGCGCGGGAAAGGAACGATATATATCACTTTCCGACAAACCCGAAAAGGATGCTTCGCAGAATCCCCAACTCGCCATATCTGGGTTGAAAGCGAAGTGGGACCGCAAATCACCTGAGTACACTTTGAATGGAATAAACTTGAGGGTGAACCACGGTAGCTTACTTGCCGTTGTGGGTCTCACTGGGTCGGGTAAGTCCAGTCTTATCCAAGCCATTCTCGGCGAACTGCCCATCGAGTCGGGCGAGATCAAGAAGAATGGGTCCCTGTCGTATGCCGCCCAGGAACCCTGGCTGTTCTCCGGCACCGTGCGCCAAAACATCCTGTTTGGCCAACCCATGGACCACCAAAGGTACTGGCAAGTGGTGAAGGACTGCGCTCTTGAGCGTGACTTTGGTCTTCTTCCATATAAGGACCAAACGTATGTGGGAGATCGCGGAGCTTCCCTTTCGGGAGGGCAGAAGGCGAGGATCAGTTTGGCCAGGGCCGTGTATCGGGAGGCCTCCATCTACCTCTTGGACGATCCACTTAGTGCGGTGGACCCCCATGTGGCTCGCCACCTCTTTGAGAAGTGTATACGGGGTTATTTGCGCGATCGCATTGTTATCCTGGTCACTCATCAATTGCAGTTCCTTCAAAATGTCGACCAGATCCTGATCATGGAAAAGGGGCAGGTGAATGCTGTGGGAACGTATCAGTCTCTAAATGAATCGGGTCTGAATTTTGCTACCATGTTGGCCGATCCAGAAGGGGAAAGACGGGATTCTGCTGCTTCTCCAAGTAGTGAACTAAAGAGCGAACAGGTTAATACTTCCGAATCTACTGCTTCAAATCCTGTCGCGGAACCTGGAAAGGAACCATCCGAACCTGAGGCAGAGCAGATGATTACCCAGGAGCGCCAGGAAACGGGCACCGTTGGCCTGGAACTTTACGGAAAATACTGCAAGGCCGGCGGTGGTTTCTTCGTATTCTCGCTGATAATGGGCTTTTGTTTGCTCTCTCAGGCAGTGGCTTCGCTAGGTGACTACTTCCTTAATTACTGGTGAGATATTTTCCAAGTATTGAAAAGGTTTCGAGTGGGACATAACTATGATCGATAAATTTCAGGGTAATCAAGAGAGGAACTTTAGTTCAGCCTGGAAACTTCACAGTCGTTTCCGGCGATCTGGAGTCGCATATTTCGGTGCGGTTGCATGAACTTGGCTGGTCGGTGGAACCCGAAACGCTGGACACCTATATTTTCACACTGATCACCGTCCTGACCATTGTGGTGATAGTATCACGGTTCTTTGTGTTCTACAATGCGGCAATGAGGGCTTCCATTCGGCTGCACAGGTCCATGTTACGCGGAGTCACTCGAGCCGCCATGTACTTCTTCCACACGAACCCGTCAGGAAGAATCCTGAACCGTTTTACTAAGGACTTGGGCCAATTGGACGAGGAGTTGCCCTCCATCATGTTAAATGTTATGCAGGTCTTCCTGGAACTAGGCGGAATAGTGATCCTCATTGCCATTGTGAACCCAGTATTCCTGTTTCCAACGGTGGTAGTCGGAGTTATTTTCTATCAGCTGCGGGCCTTTTACTTGAAGACATCCCAGGATTTAAAGCGCATTGAGGCCATTAGTAAGGATTGTTTAAGAATGTTTTTATAGAAAAGAAGGTATAAGGTCCTTCCTTTTTAGCACGTTCTCCTGTCTACTCGCATGTAAATGCCACGTTGACGGGTCTAACCACAATTCGAGCCTTTGGGGCTCAGCGTGTTCTGGAGGCAGAATTCAACAACTACCAGGACTTGCACAGCTCAGCTTTTTATATGTTTTTCAGCACATCTCGCGCCTTCGGATATTGGCTGGATAGCCTGTGTGTGATCTACCTCGGAATTATAACGCTAAGCT